AATTCTGTGACTTCCCAGGCTTCCCTCTTCACTTAGCATGTCATGCTTGGCTTTCAAGTGCTGGGTGGATTCTGCTCACTCCTGTAGCACGGTCTCCGAGAGGCTTATCTGGGAACATCAGTGTGCTGTGTTTATACCAGTACATCAGTGTCCCCACATGCACTGTCTGCATTGTGCTGACCAGGGTTTATTTTGTTTCCAGTTTTCACACAGTATTCACATCGAAACCAGATGTGAAGTAAAGAAAATCTACCTTCAAGAGGAGTTTAAGATTACGAAGAAAAAGCCCTTAGCTTTTCCAAAGCATCAGGATAAGTCAGTTACAGTTGATAAAGGTAAAAGGAAAAATATTACTCCTTAAGTTAATCATGATATACATATATAAAATTTTTTGAGACAGGATTTCTGTGTCACCCTGGCTGTCCCGGAATTCTCTCTGTAGACCAGGTTGGCCTTGAACCCAAGAGATCCACCTGCCCCCTCTGCCCACCTAGTGCTGGGATTAAAGGTGTGTGCCATATTAAAGGTGTGTGCTATATTTTATTTTCAAGTTTTCTTATAAAATTTGGTCAAAAAGTAATCAGTAACTTCGGGCCATCATTTCACTACTCGTAGGTAAATTTTCTAGGAAATTCCATGTTATGAGGCTTCCCATTTTATTTGGGTTACATTATTTGGATCATTGTAACCCAGCCCAGTAAATCAGTCAGTATTTCACAGATTAAAACAAAATAGAAGCTTTCATAAGTAACACAACTATAAGTAACACAATTTCTAGACCAAATTTAAAAATCTGTGTTTGGGACTAAGTGCAGATGCCTGGTCTCATTCTACACCACTTGAGAACTACTCCTCCAGACACACAGCCCTGTGAATTATCAGTACTGCAGTCAGGCAGCTAATGTTCTGGAATGTTCCAGGTTTGTTGTTGTTTGTTTTTGGAAAAAGAATGGTAGAGTTGGGACTGTGGCCAGTGAGGAGAAACATCCAGAAGAGCAGGAATAAATGCTGAGTGACATGAAGTATTAATCTACACAAGTAACTTAGAAAGTGATCAGTTTAAATTTACTATTAGTGTCTCTGCACACGTCCAGAGGAGTGTTCAGTCCCCTGTAGAGTACCATGCTTGTGAAGCTGCCACACACAAGACAGTGGCACGTGCTCAGCTGTCCCAGCCAGTGGGCCTTCTGAAATCTAGAGGCGCTCGAAAGCCGGCTGCCTTTTCTGTCTGTTCTGTTCACATGCTACTGAGGACTGCTAGAGGTGACACTTGAGAACTGATTTCTGTCTTTTCCTTAAAGAAATGTGGCCTGTGTATGTGGAACTAACAAATGGGACAATATACGGCTGCGATTTCCTTGTCAGTGCTACGGGAGTCACACCAAACGTACACCCTTTTCTCCATGGAAACAACGTAAGGCGAATTCTGTCCGCTTACTAACCCTACCATTTTAGTAAACTGTCACCTAGGATGGCAGCAACACTGTGTCTTAAGTCTGACTTGATTTACAGTATTCTAGTCTACTTGCCATCCCCAAGCACTTAACATCTAGCTTAAGTCTCATCAGAGACATAGTGTCCAATTTATGTATCTAAACGATAGTGTGAGATTGACCTGCATGAATTCTCAAGAGTAAATCTTGCAGATTGTTACATTAGCATCTTAGCATTCAAAGTGTTAAAGAACATTCTTCTGATTAGGGTTGGGGTAAACATATGACTATGGTGTATTTTTGATACTAAAACTATTGAGACTTTTGAGTCTGTTGGGTAGGAACTGATTCTGGCCAGGTGTCTACGCTCTGCACCTGCTTTTGTCTTTCTGATCAGAGCTTGGCTAACACACACGGGCTTGACTTTCTCATTAGAATGAACGTCAGTTTCTGTTTTTGTCATCCTTATGCTAATGAACAACTGTTTAGTTTGATCTAGCGGAGGATGGCGGCCTGAAAGTGGATGACCAGATGCGCACGTCACTTCCCGACGTCTATGCTGCTGGGGACATCTGCACTGCATGCTGGCAGCCAAGCCCGGTGTGGCAGCAGGTGAGCCTGCCCCTATGACCCCTTTACTGTCCTGAAGCAGTTGCTACCAGTGCATCCAGTTTTCTGGGCCAGCTTTTCTACTTTAAGTTGGAAGCCATTGCTGCTGATTTGCGGATGCATAACTAGATTCCCACTGTAAAGTCACTTAATATTACAGTAGACTGGAATGTTTTTAGTTTAGAAAGAATCCTAGGTGTTACCTTTCTCTTCTGCATAACCCCTCCAGAAAAAATTACATCTTTAATTTATGTCATAATTTGATACACGGGAACAACAGCTCGAAAGAGCAGATAACCCTTATTCTGAGGGAATTTCATAGTTCCACAATCTAATCTGCAAGCAAGACACTTAATTAGCTTTTAGCACCCTCAGTGCAGACATAAGGGAGTTCCAGGTTCAGACGACTCCTGTCAGGTATCTCCAGTCCACAGCCAACAGGCCTGTCCCCAGGACAGCTCTGGATGTGGCCTAGCATAAAACTGTAAACAAACTCCAGTATTAGCATGATGAGGAGCTTGTGACCATTGCAGACTCAGCCGCTCAGCTCACCAGTGTGAATCCTAGAGAAGGTATCAAGTTCTGGTGCCGGAGGTTCCAGCGGTGTGACACTGCAGGCCGCTTCTGCTGCCAATGCTGTTTACTGTACAGCAGGCCCTTAGTTCAGTAAACTTTCTTCCAGAGACTGAAGTAAAGGACAAACTCTCTTCTAGACACGCGGAGGGCTCATGCTACAGCTGTGATTGTACTAAAGTCAGCAGTAGGTGCACACGTCCACAGAGGGGCGGCAGGGAACTCAATCACTTCAAGCCAGCCTGTTCTCCTGATAGCCATGGGGCAGAGCTACTGTTTATTCAGGGAAAGTCACTGAAGATGAGAAAACAAACCAGCATTTTACTCTCGTGACTCCCAAGGCTACGACTTTTGTCTTCTAAAAAAGCCTCTGTGGAAATGTAATGAAAGCATATGAAGAGACGAACTGTCATAAAAACCCTGCAATGACCTCGGGGACTCTGTGTCTGTCTGACCAGAGTCAGCTCAGAGGCCACCACTGTCTGGTCCTGGGAAGTGAAGGCACTGGAAAATGGGATATAACATTTTGTTCCCACCTGGTAAAGACTAAAATGGTTCCCTACATTTAATGGTTACTACATCCAAACATACAGTTGGGTATCATCCCTTCACGCATGATGCACTAATTTAGAATTAGCAAATACCATGCTGACTGGTGTTCAGTGGTGACCACTAAAGATAACACTAGCTGGAACAGTCATCAGACGTACACTTAAAGGAATTTGTAAGACTGAAGCCATAGGGAAGATGCAGAAGTTGAAGTGGGTATAAAAGCTCTTGCTACACAAGTGTGAAGACCAGAGTTTGGATTCCCAGAACCCATGTAAAAGCTGGAGTCACCATAAACCATCGTAATCCAGCATTCCTACTGAGAGAGCCAGGAGGGCCGCTAACGTGGCATACTCGACTGAAAAACAAATGACAAAACAGACTCCACCTCAGACAAGGACAGACTCAGGTGCCCACTGACACTCATACGTGCTCATGGCATGCACGCACTCCTATTCATGCTCACAAATATGCCCATACGCACCCACATACATGGATGATACTTTTTATTCAGATAACTAGGAGTAATACAAAGTACCATTTTCCATTATTCAGATGAGACTATGGACCCAGGCACGGCAGATGGGGTGGTATGCCGCCAAGTGCATGGCTGCAGCCAGTTTGGGACACTCGATTGACATGGATTTCAGCTTTGAACTATTTGCTCATGTTACAAAGTTTTTTAACTACAAGGTAAGATGATAAAGGGGAAAAATACCCTTTATGCTTGAAAATATGACAACTGTATCTCTTTCCAAGTAATTATCTATGGTTTAAACTGTGTTATCAAAAATGATGTTTGGGGGACTGGAAAGATGGCCCAGCAGTTATTGCTAATCGTGAGCGGATCTGAGTTCAGTTCCCTGCTCCCACATTCGACAGCTCACAGCCACCTATAACACCAGTTCGAGGGGATCTGACACCCTCTGCTGGCCCCCATGGGAACCTGCATACCCATGATGCAAGCACAAGCATGTATACACAGATACACACATACACATCAAGAGCCAGGAGCTGACAGACGTTTACTTTTTGTAGTTGTCTTCATTCTGCCACAGGTCTCCACTTCCTAAACTAGACATAAGGGGAAACATGCCTACAAGTCTGAGGAAGGGTCTATCATAGTTCCAGGAAAATGTGGTTCACTGTGTGTGTGTGTGTGTGTGTGTGTGTACACTTCTAATCTTAAAGACTGAATAGCATACCCACATATATTCTACTTTTAATGTTAAAATATTAATGATGCACATTTAATGGGACTGTAGGCTGGGTGGCAGTGTCATGTACAGTGTGTTCATGCCATTCAAGTGCTTTCTTTGGGTCCCTCCCACTGCAAAACTTTTGTGTTTTGTTTTTCTGTCTAAGCTGACATGACCCAGACATGACTTATATTATCTGTGGGGGGTTGGGAGGAGCTACTCACAAGTGATCTCTTCATCCTCATGCAGGTTGTGCTGCTGGGAAAATACAATGCACAAGGTCTAGGCTCAGATCACGAGCTAATGCTGAGGTGCACCAGAGGACAAGAGTATGTCAAAGTCGTCATGCAGAATGGACGCATGATGGGAGCTGTCTTAATTGGTGAAACTGATTTAGAGGAAACATTTGAAAATTTAATTTTAAACCAGATGGACCTTTCATCATATGGAGAGGACCTCCTAGATCCAAATATCGATATAGAGGACTATTTTGACTGACAGAATTTCTTCAGGAATACTAAGTTCAAAATAAGGAGGAAAGAAAGAACTGGGAAAAATAACAACTGCACCAAATGAATGACCCCACAAGTCGAGAATGCTGAAGACAGAGTCCTGATTCGCAAAGAGTCAAGAAAACTCCTAGGATGAACTCAGTTTAATGATTCATTAACAGATGAGCATTCCTACTACAGAGTTGACAATAAACCTTGACTCACAAAAACACTCAAGTACCAGATCCTTTCTTTGCCTGAACATTAAAGTAAGGCCAGGGTTTCAGGAGGTCTGCTATCTTGATTTGCATAGACTGTAGAATCTTCTTGCTGATACACTTGGTACTGATGACTTACTGTTTTTATCTAAATTGTAACAGCAGCTTTTCTAGTCAGAAATCATCTGCATTACTCACTTTAAAACGACACCATCTGGGGAAGGTGTGTGCACCCATGCCAGCATGTGTTGCTTCAAAGGAGAGTCACACAGAAAACAACAGCTAGTCATGGCAAGACAAATGAGTTTATGACAGTCACATGAACTTAATCTCATTTATATTACATTTAGACAGCCTTGCATGTAAAATATAATTCTCAATGGTCCTGAATACACCCATCTTCAGATAAGCTCTGAAAATATAGCTTTATATGTATAAGATACAAAATTGCTTCAAAAAGTAAACACTTGATTAGCTATAAAAGTGATCCAGACAGGAACATGGGTAAACAGTTATTTTGTGCAAGATTAGGTCACATTCAGACATCATCAAGTTTTCTTTTCTTAGCTCCTGTGTTTCTAGGACCAGATGGCTGAGGCCTTTTTGTAGACTTCTGGGAGCTACTTGAGCTTTCTTCTCCCCCTTTCACATCCGCATGTTCTGACTGATAAGCTTCAGATGACGCAGCCTGCGACAGAATGACAAAATAGCGCCCTGTCAGTGACTGCTCGGCTCCTCAGCTCTGTCGTGAGCCACCAGTCTCAGGATACCCCGTGTACCAGGCAGCTCTTTACAGGCTCTGGTCTCTAGCTACACATTTCTGTTCAAATATGGGCAACTGTCTTAAATGAAACAGGGGTATTGTAAGAAACACCCTGAAGAAGACATGCAGTTCCCAGAGGCCGCCACAGCACAGACTTAGCAGCGGCTTGTAACCTCCGGAGAACACAGGACTTCACTCTCTTTTCATTTATCATTTATCTATTGTGTGCACACATGCACACCGTGGAGGTCAGAGGACACACGCAGGAGTACAGCCTCTCCTCCGTTAGATGACAGCTCACAGGAATCAGTCCAGGGATGGAGCTTGGCCAGCAGAAAGCACTTTTATCACTAAGCATCTTGCTAACCCCAGCAGAGACTTCTTAACCAGGGGATCCCACCCAGCATTATGAGGGAAGCATCCCACAGAATTTGGCTCTAAATCGAGCCCTCATATTCCAAGTGGTTGCAACCCCCCCTCACTCTACACTGGGCCAGTTTAGAGCCCCCCCCACTACTTAACTGTTCAAATTTAAAACCCAGGGTGTCTAACCAAACCCAGTAGAGAACTTCAGTAAAGCACCCCAGAGGTTTCAGGCACATACTGAGAATTAACAGCCAGTTACCCTGATGCTGCTCTGTGTGGACCTCGTCACTTGCAAAGTGACAACATGGGCTTCATTGCTCAGAAGACTCGCTCTGGATCCAACCTTCAGATACGAGATGGTAGCGTAAGCTGTGAAACTGTAGTCTTCTCTGTAAAAGAAAGGAATCAAGCAGAGAGCTTGAAGGAGTCACAAAACACTTTTAGAAGAGTATAATTTTAAGACACACTAGAACACCACAAATACAACCCTTAAGGGAAACAGGTTGGGTTTTGGTTTTTCTTTTTTCTTTTCCTTTGGGTTGTGGTGGTTTTTTGTTTTTTAACTTTTCTAACTTCATGACCAAGGAAGGTCTAAGACTATTAGGTGACCTGTTTTCTATAGTGCTTAACAGTTCACATAAAACAAATGCAAAGCTGTTGACTGTGCTCCAGTTACAGAGGAGGAGACATGAAGACAAGAAGACAAACAGGCTGTGTACTTGAGATACTGCTGCAGGAGAGCATGTGCGATGATTTTCTCCAGGTCTTCGCGGGGAAGGGCCGGGGCAACGACGCCAGCCACTCTCAGCTTGGCTGCTCCCTTCCCCGTCCACGCATCCATCAGCTTCAGTGGAGTGAGCTTCTCATTCAGTTGCTCCGCCTGCTTCAGAATCTTGACCAGGCCTCTGCAGTGCTGGGTTATATTCCTCTTCTCAAACACTGCAAGAACAGAGAACGATGGGCAACTGGGATCTAGAGGCGAGGGCGAGAAGCCAACTCTGGTTAAAATGGCTTAATTAGTACTGAGGCCCTTTACACCTACTTCTTTTAATGTCTCAGAATTAAGAGCAGGGTGCGCCTCAGGCTTTATCACCAGGCTAAATTCCACTCCTAAAACACACGTAGGGGATTGTGGTGAGGTACAGACGGTGACCTCGCTGTCAAAGGCTGCAGTGTGCCCAGGAACAGGTGTCTGCCAGACATCACTGTGAGGTGTGCAGTGCAGGAGAAAACCCAGTCTTCACACCGTCTTATCTGATGCTGCTGATCACAACGTACTAAGAAAGCCAGTTCTGATAGAAGTTCCCAAACACTAGACTAGCATCCTGTCTTACACTAGGATTCATGAGTTTGGTCTCTATAAAACAGCCTTGTGAACTAGCTATCAGGTTAGTATCTGTAGCTGTCAAGTTAAAAGCAGAGAGAGCTCTACCCACTGAAGCGTCAGTGCCCAGGGGCCTCCCGTGAGAACTGCTGAGTTCAGCTCTTCAAGAACACAGCACCGAGCAGAAGTTAAAACTGATTGAGACGGGTTCCTATACTGTATCACGAGCAGAGACTATGAAGTATAGAGACAAGCATGACATTAGCCTTTTCTTACAGTACAGTATTTCTTTCCATTCAGGGGAATTCTAACTTTTCCTTATTTCTTAAAAACTTTGATGTCCTCAGTATAGCAATATAAAATGTGTGCCCACACATTTGATTTACCTTTGTTTCAATCACTTTTGAATCTGAAAAATTCTACCCATCGTTTGCCTTCTAATTCTATCTGGTTTTAATTCTACTTAATTCCCTTCCCCCACGCACCACTCACTGCACTGAGCCTCTAAGCGTCTAAACATCAGGCTTACAAGTGTCTTTACAGCAGTTGTCACACATTTTGTTACAGGCGTCTGCGTTCCACACTTCATCGAAATGTTGTGCTATCAGCACACGACGGCACCTGCAGACACACGGGAGAAGTCACTCACCTAGTCAAGCTTGTAGGGTTTGCTGCAGAGTAACACATACCCTGGGGCTTCCTACTGCTGTCACGGCAGTTCAGACATGGTGACCAGGACAACACAAGTGTGTTACCTGACCTTTGTGTAAGAAATCTCACAGGGCCAAAGTCAAGGCAGTGGCAGATCTGGAAGCCTGATCTCTGCTTTCACCCGAGTTTGCCCACACTCCTCAGTCCCTGGCCCCCTCTGCTTCAGAGCATCACCTGTGGGCTGCAGCTGCTCTCGTCACAACAAGCGGACCTCTTTACTCCCTCTGCCACACAAGGACACCAGTGACTACAATGAGCCCACCCAAGGAGTCTCAGGTGACTCCTATTTTACCAGCGGTGTGTTGACAACCGTCACTTCAGAAGTTATCTGTCTCACTTTGAGAATGTTCTTGATGCTATAGTTTCTTATATTTTACACTAAACCTGAAAGTTTCCTTCCTAGGAGTCTTCTGGACTCCTGTGAAAAGAAATTTCCACTTTCTCCTTTCTTTCGACTACTGTAGCATTAGTTAGAAAGCAAATGTGGTTTGTGTCATTGGCAGGTCACTGCATACTTGGACACTTTTGAGCTCTTTTGTGACATAGGATGGCTGCAGCCATGGAGCCCCAAGGGAGCTGAGTGCTATAAGCAGAGACTGCATGTATTTCTTAGTGAGAAACTTGACTCCGCCCTGGATCACTCAGAGACTGCCAAGTATTTCCTAATGAGAGACTTGACCCGGCCCTGGAACAAGCAGAGACTGATCGCCAGGATGGACATGCCTGAACTTCCCTCCCCGGTGCCTATCTTCCCACACACCTTTCCAGTCACTGCAGGGAGCTACACATCAAAGCCAAGGGAAAAAGGCTTCATTCGTAACTTCAACAGACTGGCCTTGAGGAACACCTCATAGCCACGCAGAGCCCCTTCTCTTAGAGGAAGGCAGTCAGGGGTCCAGGTCTCTCCACCATAGGCATCTACCCTTACAGTGTTCTGTGCTAGCTGTGCTATTCAGTAGGTACCCAAGCACCACACAACACACATATGACATGCTATATGTAGGAAGGCAGGTGGCTCACTTGCTTATATTCTGGCAGTATGACACCATCTCATACAACTTCTGCTGTCCTACATTCTCCATGACCACCATCGAGCTGATCCTGAATATGTCTCCAAAGCCATAATACAGAATACAGTCTGCTCTCGAGTCATCGCGACCTGTGCTTTGAGGAATCTTGAGTTTGCATCACTGCTTTCAAAAATCCGTAACATGCAAAAGTATATGTCAATTGGCTGACAGCTTCACAATACAGCTAGAAGTTTTTAGATATGAAATTAATCTATAAGATCTACCTTGAGGGTTTTAAATGATTACAAAGAGGTTCATCAAAAATCAGATTAATATAGAAAAAAGAATGTCCATGAATAGTTTGATATTTAGGGTTGTATATGTGAACCTACTAACTAAAATTCCAAGTGGTAGACATAAGCATTGCTTACAACATGTAAGGAACAATTTTTAACATCCCAACAGAGTGTGTGTAAATAAGTATAAATCTAAAAGACTTGTTCTAAAAATTACCACCTAAAGCAAGCATTGAAAGCACGCAATTCTTAGCATGTCCTCTGCAAACCTCCCGAGGTCACTTCTGGACTGGAGCCCTACATACCTGCACGCCCACTCTCTTGGTAGTAATTCTCCATGGATTTGCTCATTGAGTGATGGATGACAAACCTCACGTCTGGCTTATCGATGCCCATGCCAAATGCAACTGTAGCCACTACCACCTGAAGTGTGTTAATACCTGGTTAGTTAAGTACATCATTTAAGTGTCTTTAAAGGTAAGCCAGGCTGTCATAGAAAACACATGTACTTAACCTGAAGTTCATCGGCTGACCACTGTGTATGAACCTTGGTCTTATCTTCTGGTTCCATATTGGCATGGTAAGTGCCTGCACGAATTCCCAATTTTTGTAAACTAATAGTAACTTGTTCAGAGTCTTTCTGAGAAAAACAGTATATGATTCCTGCAGTAAAACATGACCAAGTATTAGGTATGTATGCACAGCACAGACCTGTGAGTTAATCTGCACCATGTTCAAGACACTAATCTGTTACAAGGCAGAAGGGGAAATGAGTTATGAAGGCCCAAACCCCTAAGCAGATACTGACTGTTGGGTATAATCCAAGGTTGGATGTCCAGATAACACTAAGCAGAAATGAGCCCTGGGCCACCAGCTGGGGTTCCCACACCCCAAAGAGCTCTGCAGCTTTATTCCCACTACACAGCATTTCTTTTTTTTTTTTTTTTTTTTTTTTTTTTTTGGTTTTTCGAGACAGGGTTTCTCTGTGGCTTTGGAGGTTGTCCTGGAACTCGCTTGGTAGTCCAGGCTGGTCTCGAACTCACAGAGATCCGCCTGCCTCTGCCTCCCGAGTGCTGGGATTAAAGGCGTGCGCCACCAACGCCCGGCCCATACACAGCATTTCTTAAACTGATGTACACTCTGTGAGATGCTTTCAAGAGTGACTTTGAAGAATCTGCCAAGATTCAGTTAAACTGGCCTTTCCATGGGGGCAGGGGGGATGATAGCCCCTAATATGCAGGCACAAACTCCACGGGGGGGGGATAGTCCCTAATGTGTAGGCACAAAACTCTGGGGGTGGGAGGGATAGTCCCTAATGTGTAGGCACAAACTCCAAGGGGGACAAACAGATGCAGCCTCTCTCAGACCTGACTCAGGAACTCCTTTTCCCAGAAACCATTACTCTCTCCTAACCACCTAGAGGACAGGTAGGCACTGGTGTCGTCCTTAGCTCAGGAACTCAGGAACAGATGTCCCCAATTTCACCTTGCTTCCTCTGTAAGTATGCACAGGACCCTTCCTATAAGATACTGTGTCTTGCGTCTGTTCAGAACATCATTGCTTACACAGGAAGGTACACAACAGATACTAGCTAATGAGTCAACCATACTGTCACCGGACCTACTCCACAGCAGGCAAAGCAGGCAGCTTTGACTCCAACTGTGACAGGGATGCCACACACAGCCCCTGAGACCAGATGAATAGATTGATCTCATTTTCAGGTATAAGTCATGTATCACTGGAGAGATTTATGCCATTTCATAAACAGACTCTCAGCCCCCAAGCTGACTTGTTTTTAATATTACCTGATTGTCCTTTGTATCGTCCATTAATCAGTTTTACAATGTCCTCAATAAAGTCTTCAGCATTCGGAGGTTTCTGCCGAACCTATAAAAAGCAGTCTCATTAAAAAGTAGATTGTGCCTGCTACAACCTCTGAGGTGTGAGTCCCTTGTGGGAGGTGTCCCTTCCTGTCACTCTTGCTAAACTCACAGCACTCACCCATCTGACTCATTCCTGCCTCTGCCCAGCCTCTCCCTGATTTTCAGTCCCTACTCTGCCAGAGTGAGATTAGCAGGTAACTTGTGAAGATGGGTGCTTTTCTATTGTCTGAAGCTTTAATACAAACATGAAGCTTACTATGAAAGCAACGAAAATGCAAAGATTAAATCTGTCCTTAACACAGCTTCAAAGAAATCAGAAAGCCACTGGGATATTTTACCTCCAAGCATAAGAATCAGATAAAATCCACATGGGAAATACTGGCGAACTCATTAGTGTGTATATGCTTCCATTACTTAGTTACAGAGATGTCAGTAGGCCTCTTGGTTTTACCCCTCCTTGCTCTCAATCCTTGTGCAGGAAAGAATCGAACAAATATACCATACTTGCTCAACTGTATGTAAGGCAGTATCACTTAACACTCCTAATGTGAGTTATGCTGTACAAGACACAGATAAACTAAGCACTAATGAATGTCTTAATTATTTCATGACATTAAAAATGCTTACATTATCATTATAAATAAGCACCATGAAGAAACAACCTCTGTATACCTCGTAATAAAGATTTGGTCGGTTGAAAGATGCTGTAAAAGTCAAACACTTTTCCACACACAAGATTTTCTGTGCATCCTTCAACACATGGTTGGTTGCTGTTGCAGTCAGCCCAATCAGCGAGGTGTTGGGAAACTGGCGCTTCAAGATGCCGAGAGCCTTATAATCTGAAAAAGATGGCATGGTCTGTCTCTCCGTGAGCCCTCGGAGGAAGAGTAAATCAGACGCTCAACACCACACAGATGAGCAACGGCTCCCAGTTTTACTTGAGAGTTAACTACGTCTGAAGGGCCTGCCGCTCGAGTTCAGAGGCTCGACGGCACTTTTCTCCAGAAACGACGTTGACGGCCGTCTGTTAGCAGCGGGTGTTGTGCACATAGTTCCTCTGGACTGAAACATTTGTGGGAGGGTCACTCAGGCTCAAGGAACCCACATGACAGAAAGGTCTCTCCATGAGGTTATGTGAGTAAACATTACAGGGAAAAGGATGGCTGTCCAGTAGTGTACTGCCAGTAAATCCTACCCAGGACTCCTGTGCTGCACCACTCCCGAGTCATCACCCAAGCCGGCACGAGCTTTCCAGTGACAGCTTTCCAAATCAGCTGGACTTGTGTGGAACTGTTTCTCTGATGTGTCATGACCTTCTCTATCTGGGTTGAATGGCAGTGATAGTCCCAGAAAGGTCATGCAGTAAGAGGCACTAGGCATGCTGTCAAGCAATGCACTACGGTATACTTGTTAAACAATAGGCTCAAGAGACATTGGGAAAACTAACACTTGATCTTTGCAACCAGCAAGCTGGATGATGCCGTTAGTCGTCTGTGTGCTCACCACAGATCTACCACCGGGTACCACCCAAGAGTAGCAGTTCAGAGAAGACAAGGTAAGGCCACTGCTTTTGGGAGAACCTGTTGCAGAGACACCATCTGTCAGAGATACCTATCACACATTCTATCATGACAAGAGTGGTTCTTATTCCCCTTCAGTACTTAAAATGTTTGGAAGAAACTGAAAAGGCAATGTGGTAGGCGGTGGGCACTGGAGAAGATGACTGCCTAGGAAGTTGTTGACCTCAGAGATAGCGTTTGCGTCAGGTCTGGAAGAATACACAGGGTGGAGCAGGAAGACAGCACATAGTGGTAATTACTGTGGGAGTTACCCAGCAAGCAATTCAGGGCCCAGATCACAGGGGTGAACCTACTGTCCAATGCATTCAGGGAATTCCACCTCCCAGAATTCCTTCTACAGACAGTACCAAGAGCAGTTTGTCTTTGAATATCTAGTCAGCCTAACTCTTCCATTCTTCCTTGGCCTCCTCTTCCAACTGCGAGCTTCGACAACGAACAGTTGTAGACCTCACAGCAGGCTCCACAGATGATACTCAGAGGACAAGGCTCTCCATCAACGATCCCACTGAGGCCCCTTGGACACTATGTGTGGCCCTCCCAGCCCTGGTGGGACCTCCTTCACAATGCTCAGGAAAGCGCTCTGGGGTTACCCGCTGACCCTCCAGCTTCCCTCTTCAAACCAGTTCAAACTACGTTCAGTTCCTCTTTCAGCTGTGCAAGCTCTATGTCCTGTCTCCATAAATCCTGTCACATCCATAGTGTCTCTGCCTGCACCCTCACTGAAACATTCATGTATAAATCAGGCTTATGTGAAGCTACGAACAACACTGACAGTTGGTTCTAAGAAGACAAGATTCTACCTGATAGGACACGAGGGGTCATCACCTAACTCTCAAGTCAGGCAAAGAACACACAGGCTTACGTTCCAGAAATAAGTCTTGAATAGCACTGCAAAGACCATGTAGAACAGGAAAACACTGGACAGGGGGAAAAGCCCGTTTTAAGGCCCATACTGATGTCTTCAGTGCTGAGCTATGGCAACATGGTCAAGATAATGGACTTTGGGGCTGAAGAGATGCTTTAGCAGTTGAGATCACTACCTGTTCAACTGGGTTCAATTCCTGGGACCCATATGGTAGCTCAGTCCAGTCCAGGGTATCCAACAACTCTCCTCTGGCCTTTTGAGGCATCAGGTACACACAAGGTGAACATACATACACAAAGGCAAAACACTCATACATGTATGATAAATAAATCTAAAAAAAACAAAACTTTTTTTTAAGATAATGGAGTTCTGGGGTTGAAATTTAAGAAAAGAAATTACAATCTAAATAATTCAGTCTTCGAACCATAAGATCACTGTCACAGAAGAAATTTAAAGAAAAGTAAAGGCAGAATAGAACTCTAGAAAACACTGATACTTAAGGAAAAAATGAAAGAGACAAAAAAAAACTGGAAATGAGAAATGCAACAGTGTTTGCTACACACTGGTAAATAAGGGAGAAGAAGGTGGTGAGAGGTGACCAGTGTGAGCCACTATGAGGGCGCACAAACCAAATCCTGGCAGGTGGAACTTGCTGGAAGGATGGTAGACAGCTAACGGGATGACTGACTGGTGGTAGAAAGCTGAGCTGGGGTGGAAAATGGTGCAGCAGTAACGTGGACACCAGGGGGGGGGACGGCCCCTCATCCGACACAGGCTGGTGGCAGGGCCACGGCAAACGCAGCAGAGGCCAGTGGCCATGGCACACTGACTGCATGGGAAAACACGGGACCCATGGACAGACAAGCAGGCTGACCCAGGTCCTTGAGAGTGAAAAACCCCAAAAGGAAAAGTGGCCAAAGCCAGGGAATAAGAATTCTTAATTTAAAGTTGTAGCTAGAAAGTTGCACGTGCCTTTAATTCCAGCACATGGGGGAGAAACAGGCAATCTCTGTGATCTCAAGGCCAGCCTGGTCTACATAATTGAGTTCCAGGACTACACAGAGAGAACCCGTCTCAAAAAACAAAACAAGTAATAATAAAATTGTGCATGTATGCATGATGTGTGTGAACACATCCACGCAGAGGTCACTGCCGCCTGAGGGTTGGTTCTTCACCTTCTACCATTTGAGGCAATGTCTTTGTTATCCTGTGCTGCGTATACCTGGCAAGCTGGCCCACAAGCTCCCAGATTCTCATCTCCCCTTCCCATCTTGACAAAGGAGTGCTAAGCTACTGGAGTCACCTTTCCATGGGTCCTGGGGATTCGAACTCAGGTCCATACACCTGGAGAGTAAACACATACTACTGAACTATCTCCTGAGCCAAGATTTTTAAAAATGAAATAATGAGTAACTTTCTCTAGGATGACTATAGGATTAAGTTGGCAGCTGAAGTATTACTAAAATGTCTCATCAAACTTCAACTGCTCCAAGTTGGGTGGGATACTGAAAAACCCAGAAAGACGAGAAGAGCTTAAAGTCCTGCAAATTCCTCAATAAATAGGAAACAGTCAAGAAGCGATGTAACCGGGCCAGAAGGCAGGTATGTCACAGGCTAGCACGAGTACATGAGATGCTACAATGAAGCCACAGGAAATGGTTACCCACCACACGAGTGAACAGTTTCAACAGAGGCAGGCACTTCCACCATGTCGAACTGAGCAAGGACCCAGTCCCAGCGTGAGCAAGCGTACCGGGCCTGAACTCATCCCAGCGTGAGCATGCGTACCGGGCCTGAAATCATCCCAGCGTGAGCATGCGTACCGGGCCTGAACTCATCCCAGCGTGAGCATGCGTACCGGGCCTGAAATCATCCCAGCGTGAGCATGCGTACCGGGCCTGAAATCATGTCCCCACTGACTGCAGCAATGCACTTCATCCACCGCTATTCGAGTCAGTCTCCCCGCTTCATAGGCTTTCTCCAGTCTTGACATGAACATCTTGCTTTTTGCAATTTTCTCTGGAGTCACATAAACCAGCTTTAACTGGGAGTTTTTATTCACCATTTCGGCGTGAACCCATTTCACGTGCTCCTGTTAAAGACAAAACAGACACATCGTTGTAGAGTCGAGCTGGTGGACCACGATACTAAGTGAAAAGTGGGTGTTCGCTACTGAAAAGCAACAGCCTGGAGCTCTTCTGAAGCAGACGCTGGCTCATTAAAACTGAAGCCACGTCCTCTGCAAGCTCCGTGGCAGCTGTACCAACAGTATCCTAGCGACTCACCTACTCCAGATGGCTGAAGAAAATCAGTCACTTGGCAAAAAAAGGGGGAAGGGGGGGCACAAACGAGACAAAATTCTCTAATAAAGAATATGTACAATTTTAAATTGTCAATAGAACCCAAATGTGAACCAAATACAGTAGCTGTGGCCATAAAGGTTAGTTTCACAAGTTCATTCATTACATTAATTATACACCCATGAATAAAAATATTTGTAATTTTAGCCATTTCAATGACGTTACCGAATACCTATTTAAATACACAGACTCTTGGGTACACTCACCACTACACATTCTATCGTATTAGCTTTCTTTTTTCTCTTTAGAGGTATGTACAGGGCCAGGAACATGGCTCAGCAGGCACAGGAGTCTGCCGCCAAACCTGAGAACTGAGTTTGATCCTCAGAAAACACATGGTGGAAGGAGACACGACTCCTGCAAGCTGTCTTCTGACCTCCACACGTGTGTGCACTGTAACATGTTCACGCCCTACTCTACTGACCTCCACAGTGTGTGCACGGTGACGTGTTCACGCCCTACTCTACTGACCTCCACATGTGTGTGCACTGTGGCGTATTCATGCCCTACTCTACTGACCTCCACACGTGTGCACGGTGACGTGTTCACACCCTACTCTACTGACCTCCACACGTGTGTGCACTGTGATGTGTTCACGCCCTACTCTACTGACCTCCACACATGTGTGCACGGTGACGTGTTCATGCCCTGACCTCCACATGTGTGTGCACTGTGGCGTATTCATGCCCTACTCTACTGACCTCCACACGTGTGCACGGTGACGTGTTCACGCCCTACTCTACTGACCTCCACACGTGTGTGCACTGTGATGTGTTCATGCCCTGACCTCCACATACGTGTGCACGGTGACGTGTTCATGCCCTACTCTACTGACCTCCACACATGTGTGCACAGTGACGTGTTCATGCCCTGACCTCCACACGTGTGTGCACTGTGATGTGTTCACGCCCTACTCTACTTACCTCCACATGTGTGTGCACTGTAACATGTTCATGCCCTACTCTACTGACCTCCACACGTGTGCACGGTGACGTGTTCACGCCCTACTCTACTGACCTCCACACGTGTGTGCACTGTGATGTGTTCATGCCCTGACCTCCACATACGTGTGCACGGTGACGTGTTCATGCCCTACTCTACTGACCTCCACACATGTGTGCACAGTGACGTGTTCATGCCCTGACCTCCACACGTGTGTGCACTGTGATGTGTTCACGCCCTACTCTACTTACCTCCACATGTGTGTGCACTGTAACATGTTCATGCCCTACTCTACTGACCTCCACACGTGTGCACGGTGACGTGTTCATGCCCTGACCTCCACATACGTGTGCACTGTGGCGTATTCATGCCCTACTCTACTGACCTCCACACGTGTGTGCACGGTGATGTGTTCATGCCCTACTCTACTGACCTCCACACATGTGTGCACGGTGACGTGTTCATGCCCTGACCTCCAGTGTGTGCACAGTGACATGTTCACGCCCTACTCTACTGACCTCCACATGTGTGTGCACTGTAACATGTTCATGCCCTACTCTACTGACCTCCACACGTGTGCACGGTGACGTGTTCATGCCCTGACCTCCACAGTGTGTGCACAGTGACATGTTCACGCCCTACTCTACTGACCTCCACATGTGTGTGCACTGTAACATGTTCATGCCCTACTCTACTGACCTCCACACGTGTGCACGGTGACGTGTTCATGCCCTGACCTCCACATACGTGTGCACTGTGGCGTATTCATGCCCTACTCTACTGACCTCCACACGTGTGTGCACGGTGATGTGTTCATGCCCTACTCTACTGACCTCCACACGTGTGCACGGTGACGTGTTCATGCCCTGACCTCCACAGTGTGTGCACAGTGACATGTTCACGCCCTACTCTACTGACCTCCACATGTGTGTGCACTGTAACATGTTCATGCCCTACTCTACTGACCTCCACACGTGTGCACGGTGACGTGTTCATGCCCTGACCTCCACATACGTGTGCACTGTGGCGTATTCATGCCCTACTCTACTGACCTCCACACGTGTGTGCACGGTGATGTGTTCATGCCCTACTCTACTGACCTCCACACATGTGTGCACAGTGACGTGTTCATGCCCTGACCTCCACAGTGTGTGCACAATGACATGTTCATGCCCTACTCTACTGACCTCCACACATGTGTGCACGGTGACGTGTTCATGCCCTGACCTCCACATACGTGTGCACTGTGGCGTATTCATGCCCTACTCTACTACACACAAATAAGTGAGACAAAGCTAAATAGTAAGAGTTATACACTGAAAAATCTCCGATCAAAACATGAGACCTTGGATTTGTTTAGTAATACATCAAGAGGTTAAGGGTAAAGATGAAGAATGGCAACTATGCAGAAACTTCTTTTCTTTATTTTACTATTGACACTAGTTTGTGTATTTTTAAAGAGGTGGAGAACAGAATTTACAAAGAACATCTTAGAAGCAGTCTGTCCTTGCAGATAAGGATAAGATGGTCCATGCCCACACACGTGTTCTTAGTAACCCATTCTCTATATTAAACTAGACTAAAGGTTCTTTACTATTTGTATGTGTGTGCTGTATGCATGTGGAGATGTTCACATGTAGCCAACATCAGAAGTCAGAGTAAAGTTTCCTCTTCTACACGCTCCGCTTCAGTGTCTGAGACAGTCTCCTGCTGAACCTTGAGCTCATCGATTAGGCTAGGTCATCTGGCCAACAAGCTCCAGGGACCCTCCCGTCTCCAGCTCCCCCTGAACCTCTCCCCAGCCGTTCCTTGCTCTTGTATAGGACATAACACAAGCATGGTAGCAAGCGCTTCCTCTGACGTGCGAGACATGAGGAAGGCTGTCGTGTGGATGCGTGCTCACCACCACCACTCAACTCAGAGTTGCTGTAGGAGTGAAGCGGCGCCTAGGAAGTGAGCTTGCTGGGTCCAACACAAGTTTACTTACGGACACTGAACCCCAAATCTCTGTGACTTCACATGCCATAAAACACTGCTGGTTTTCACTGTTGTTTGGTTGTTTTTCTTTTCCCCATCTTTATAAGTATAAAGGGCATTTTTAATGAATGGGGTATACAAACAGTGTTCAGAACTAGCCTGTGAGCAGTTTATTGCTTCTAGAACCGTTGGCAATAAACTTCAACTGTTTAGAAATTATGGCGTCTAAGACATTTATTATAGCACATCAGACTCCTGACTGAGGGTTTGTAACTTAGAGGCAACTCGGACATAGCTGAGACCCAAATGAACTAAGAGTTTATAACTGAAAACCCAAACCACACTCACGGACCTTAGAGCTGGAAGCGTTCAACATAGTAGCTGAAATCCCCAACTGTTTTAAAACCATCAGTTGATCTTCCATAAGAGAGATGAGTGGGCAAATCACAAGTGTAAAACCTAAAAGAGAAGAGAAACAAACCTACTTTCAACCTCACACTCGCACCACGATGGGCTGCACTACTCACTTTCTGTACCCTGTGGGACCTACCTACTGTTCAGGCAGTTGCTGACGCAGATTTATCAGTGCAACTATTTCCTAGCTTCATAAGTAAGGGAGATGGGCAAAATAAATGACCAAACAAGATGAGTGTAACCCAAGTAAAATGTAAGAGTGATGGCTCAGGAGTTCAGAGCACCAGGATTCAGTTCCCAGCATGTGGTGGTTCACAACCATCTGTAACTCTAACTGCACGAGATCCAGTACCTCTTCTGAGCTTAGAGGACTCCTGCATGCATGTGGACACAGACATACACTCTCACCCACACCCACACAAATAAAAACTAAGTATTTTTAACAGAAATCTCTACCTTTCTTCAATCTCACAGAAAAACAGATTTCACTATTTTGAATTTGTTACCCTCTTTGATAACCGATATACAAAATCTCAATGAAGTAACACAAACCAGACATTTGTTATAGCACATCAGACAAACTAACACCTCTCTTCTTTCCTAGTAGCTGTTTTGTTTTGTTTTTTTTTTTTTCCAGAAAACCCCACCCTCAGAAGCTTGGCTTCCCAGTCACTCAACCTCACTCATTCTTGCTGGCTGGGCCCCACACCAGCCTCTGTCTAAATTCCTAGCCAAGGTCAAAGACTAGCGCTGGCCTTTAACCTTATCTTTTAGGTTCGGCTTTTACGTGACCTTCTGCAGGCAGACATCACAACCCCCTCCTCCAAGCCCTGCTAACCCTAGACTGTTCCAGCACCTTCCCCTGGTCTTCCCGAGGCTGGCTGCTCCTCGGCTTTCTGCATGCCCTCTCTCGGCTCTGGGTGTCACTTGAAGCCCTCCTCTCTCCTCGTGGGAGGACAGAGTTCACTCCAGTGGCTCCAGAGACATGACTTATGGCAGCCTAGCTCATCTGGCCCAGAGCTGTCTCACACCTCCTCCACTCCAGCCCACCTGCATGCATCGTGAAGCCCGCATGCCCAACAGCAACGTCAGCATTTCCCTCCCCAACCTCAACCACATCCTTTCTCCAGTGCGGCCCATTTTAGCAGAAGACTGGAAGAACAGACAAATGAAGCAAAGCAGTCCAATGAGACCCACTCCCTGACTTCCACGTCAGCCGCTCTACTGTACACACCCTCTGAGCACAGTGCCGGCAGCTGGTAGCACAGGCTCTTCCCACCTCCTGTGGGCATGACCAGAAAGATGTCCTTTCTCGCCATGGTGACATTGACGGTTTCCAGCTGCAGGGCTCTGAACTTCTGCAGTTTGAAAACATTTTGCAGCACATCTTTAACCTTTCCAGACCACGGGAAATCTAGAAAGAGAAAAATAGGCTAGCCAGATTAGAATGAACAGGACTGTAAATGAGAAACAAATATACATGTTCATTTTTTTATAGAGCTACCAGAATATATACAAATCACACAGACATACATAAAACGTTTAACAACTATAAACCACCAAATGTGTATAATAATTTTGTGATGAATGTAACTAGGTAGTCAAAAGCATATTGACTATTATATTGTTATTCCAACAGAAACCAATTAAACACTTGCCAGTAACGAAATTAGCCCAAGTGAAGGAGGGTGATGCTCAGCCAGGCAGGCAGGCATGTGACAATCTCAACGGTGACTAGGGAGTTGCAGTCCTGCAACCTCAAGCATGAATGAACTCAACAAAGGTCACATTTGCATTTAGAGACCAGTACCAGAAAATAATCTACATACACACAAAAATTATAATTCCTAGAAATACCCCACTAATACGGAACTCATAATATGTTTTGTACGTTTTTAATTGTTTACATTAGACACCCTGGGACTGGAGATACAGATATTTGTGAGCCACCGTGCAGGCACTGGGAACCAACCCAGCAATCAGTGCTCTTAACCACTGAGCCATCTCTCTAACCATTCACGACTTTAAGAATGGTTTGTTCTGGGTTGGGTGTGGCACATGCATTTAATCCCAGCACTCAGGAGGCAGAGGCAGTCAGATCTCTGTGAGTTCAAGGCCAGTCTGTTCTACACAAAGAGTTCCAGGACAGCTATAGCTATGTAGAGACTGTCTCAAAATAAGGGAGTGGGAGTTGTTCACTATGACAAGCTTTTTTTTTTTTTTTTTTTTTTTTGGTTTTTCGAGACAGGGTTTCTCTGTGGCTTTGGAGGCTGTCCTGGAACTCGCCTTGAACTCAGAGATCCTCCTTCCTCTACCTCCCGAGTGCTGGGATTAGAGACGTGCACCACCCAATGCCTGGCCTATGGCAAGGTTTGGCTAACTTTTTCTCTTTGTTTCAGTTAACGCTTAAAAATTAGCTAATACTCTATTCACTTTTTAGACATTGAGGATTGCTACTAAAACCGTATGTGGAGAAACCCCCTAATTTTCAAGTCTACATATAAAAAAATCATGGACCTGAATAAAGAATGTTCTACCTGAAAGCTCCCCACGCCCGCCCCCCCCCCAAGAGCCAGCTTTATCCCCTGGCACAGACTGACCCACATGGAGTGAAGGGATTCTACATTACAGCAATCAGAAGGCACGAGGCAGACTGGCAAACCTTCTTTATCCCACTCGGCTGGTGAGGAGTCGCAGTCACTGCTGGCCACGGCATCTGAGCCCTCTAAGCACTGCTTGATTTTCTTTGTCAGGACTGCCTTTTTCTGGAGGAGCTCCTGCTGCCTCTCTGTGAGTTCCTGAATCTGGATGTCAACTGCATGCAGCTCATCGGTTACGGATTCCAATTCCTCCGTTAGAGCTGGGGGTGGGGGAGTGGGCAGACAAGACAGAATGGACAGTATGAGATTCTGGAAATTCCTCACTGTCTAAATTACAACCTAAAAGTAGAAGAGCAGGGGGCTAAGAACGTGTTCTAAAGTCACAGAGACCTGGGGTTAGCTAGTCCCCCTCCCCACTAAGTGACCTCAGCAAAAAACCTTTGCCAACACCTCAATCTCCCCTTCCACTGAACGCCCAGAAGTCCAATTACTAAGAACAAAGTACCACTAGGAAGAGTTAAGAGGGACGACACATGGGGAGTTCTCGACAGGGACCTGGTCAGAAGCTAAATATGTAATAAATGACAGTAGCCATTCTTATTATGTCACTCACAACTGGTTTAACAGTCTCTTAAATCTCTCCCAGCAAGCCACCTGGTGACTGAGCCATTCCTTCACAAAGGCCTTCACGTTTCAGCTGAAGCAGTGCTATGATAACAACCTGCCAGTCGCCAGCAAGTCGATGGAATGCGTGAAAGGTATCAGTACTGTGCTAACCTGCGCCACAATACCACAGCAACAAACTTGAAGTCTCTGTGTGAAGCCCACTATTAAAGTCAAGTAGCAATGCAAGACTGAAGTCACAGTGAAACCCTTTCTGATACCCCATCAAGGGAAAATTTAAAGCTAATGGTATCACATCTGCCCAAGCAGCTAGTGTATTTAATGCTTCTTTCTAGGATGACATCTTGTGGTCATGATCCGAAAGGAAGAAATGAAGCGGCTGTCAGGTCCACACGGGGAAGGCAGGCATAGGGTCAGGGCTCACTAATGGCAGGTGTCTGCTGACGCCCTTGCTGCCATGGGTCAGAGGTCAGCGCCTCCAGCACCTGCTGAACATTCGTGGAGCAGCAAGCGGCCTGCAGCTTCTCTGTTTTCCTGGAAGTCTGGGGTAGGTTTGCTTGCACATCTGTGTGGCAGAGGTCGTCAGCAGGCCAGAGCGTCCGGGCCATGCTGGCACTGTGATGCAAGTCCCAGTGAGCACCCATGCTGTCCTCCTAAGTTCCGACTTACCCTCCAGAAGCTGCCTACCCGTGCAGGCTTGAATGCATCCTTCCCATGCTTCACACCCATCTCTCTTTCTCGCTGTCGGCACAGCTAACCAGGCACGGGTACCTGACTCTCACAGTTGTATCTCACTGTTGTTTTTGTTATTTGATCATTGCAGGGCTGCACCTAAGACCTCACATGTACCACACAAGCACTCCACCCTGACCTACCGCACGAATCCTCGTTGTGTTCTGAGACAGGGGCTCACTGACTTGCCCAGGCTGGCCTTGAACTTACAATGCTCTTCTCTCAGCCTCCTGAGTATGAAATTCAGGTGTGTGCCACCACCCCCGGCTGCCACACATTTTTACAGGTGTTTATTACCTTCCTTCTGAAATCAGTGTGGCGTGCCGCAAGAAACTAAGTGACCTGTGCTTCCTACCATTCGTGCAGAGGGCAGACCGCCAGACCACAAAGGAGGTCGTACATGAAGAAGTGAGCCCACACGGGTTTTAAGTGAGGGCAACAACAGGGCGCAAGCCTGTCTCGCCCCCTCATGAGCCTAAGACCTCTCAGGGAGATTCTGGCTGTTAGACTGAGGAAGAAAATCAACACAGGTCCAACTTGTAGAAGAATCTGTGTGACACACTGGCACAGTCTAGACACGAGCAAGAATACCTCAAGGGTCCCTGAGGAACAACAAGGAAAGAATTAGTTTGCAGATCCTCAGGCGGTGCTCACACGGCTCCTCAGGTATTACATCAGGCTGGCAAGATGGTGAGGGCTGGGCTAGGAGTGGCACAGGGTCTGGGGGGACTGCAAAGAACTCCACAGGGCACCACTGTGAAGACCCTCCGTCCTGTGGGACTGCCCACCAACAATAACAAACAAGACGCTAACCCGTCGGACGGACAACGCCATCTGGACATCGGCCAAGGCCATTCTTGTGCAAGGGCAAGCACAGACCGTTGGGAATTCTGTCACTGCTCTGCTGGCCAATCGTAAGGAGCAGTTTAGCCCAAGAGGCTGGGGTTGCACTGAAGAGAGCATGACCCGGGTAAAGGGCAGGGGCCGTGGGTTGCACACTCTCTGGGGAGGCGGGTGGACGGCAATGAGCCACTGGAGCAGGCGCACTTAGCGTCTTGTTCAAGTCCCCATTCCCCTTGGGAACGAGGAAGCAGCCCAGATTCCTCATTCTGTCTCGTAATTACTGTGCACAGGTTCTGCAGTTAATAAAAGGTAACAAAACCCCTGAATTCCTTCTTTAACGAACTCTCGTGTTACAGCACCAACATCCACTCGCTGGGACTACAGTGGTTCCATACAGCTCACAGACAATACAGACTCACTGTGTCTCCTCTGTGGCACCTTCTTAAAGGGAAGACCAGCTGCCTGGCAGCAGGCTGACAAGTGACTCACTCACGCACACTTACTCTGCACATGGGCCTGCCTTCCCTGAAATGCTCCTGTGAAATCCACCATGCTTCAATTTACAAAGCGCCTTATGGATCATACTCATATTTTGCTTCTAACCACAGCTCGCCCACTGGTGCACCTGGGGCTTTCTCCTTGGTTCCTCTCCTACTTCCCAAACACCTAAGCAAAGGATTAATAGTAGTTACCTCCTCCATCAGGCTGAGTCTCAGGTTAACCGAGAGGGTGTGGCTGAGACAACAAAGGCAATCAGTGCTCTCTGGCAGGCTCCACAGGGAGTTGCTCCAGGCGCAAGCACAATTGCAGCACCATGGCAAGTGCTGGGCTGGGCTGCCTTGGTCAGGGTAGAGCTGTACTGCCCAGCATCCCCTTCGCTGAGAAGCTCTAGAGAACCCTCCCTTCCACATCTACCGCTCTAGATGAGTGTCAGATCAGGGCTTCTTGACATGGAACCCTCACGGAAGCAGCGGGCCTGCAGCACCTCCAGAGCCATCCTCCTGCCGCTCGCTCTCTGAACCTTCAGCCCCACTGTGTGAGAGCCGTGGGACAAGCAACGTGATAAGGACTAACAGTCATCTCCAGACAGCACTGTGCCTTTGCTCCCCCACCTTCTGGGACTCCGCTTATTCTGCTTGCTGCCCAGCCACCCCGGCCCAGTGTCAGACACACAGACAGCACACAGAGGGCTTAACTACTTCCCACGGTCATGTAAGGGTTAATCACTGCAGCGAATCCCTTTCAACCAACGTGGTGCTTCTGCTTCTCTGATCAAATTCTGCCTCGTCCAGGCGTTAGTGCCAACCCACGAAACAAAGTCAGCACGGGCAACCTTTACACAAAGTCCTGATGGACTACGAACATAAGAAATTCTGGGTACTGAGACATACTCAAAGTAATACTATTTCTAAAGCCAGCCTATACAATACAAGTTACAGGCGAGAATAATACTCAAGCGAATGGCTTCGGCACTTCACAAAGGAGAAGGAGGACAAGAGCACAGGCACACTCTGCTTTTATCTAAGAGCACACTGAGGCGAGTGGTCACATCCCAGTGTCCCTAAGCTCATGGTTCATGTGTGGATGTCCTAGCAATGTCCCAAGTTGAAACCAGCAAGTGGTTCCCTCCCATCGAATACCAACAACAAACCACAGGCAATGTCAAAGGGTGTTTCAAACACAGACCAACAGATGGGCAGAACAGCACAGGAAGTAGACTAACTTCTTAAAGTGGACCTGCTCCATCACCTGGTTAGTTTTAAGCCATACTCCACGGGAGAGCTTAAGTCTGGTAGTAAAGTAAGATATGGGATCCAGCCATGACCACAGCACCCTGGGTTCATCAGCACCTGGCGGCCTCATCTTTCCCGTGAAGTAAAGACCACCTGGGGAAGGACCTAAACCGATCATCACCACTGACCACTAACCTGCAGGCTGTGAGAATGAGTCCTGAGTCGAAGCCAAAACCGTGGGTGGTCACACGTCCACGTTTACACTTAGGCAAACTGTCATGCTGTAATGAGGCCGTTTGTGTGGCAGGTGTGTTCAATACAGACGAAAACCCTGCTGAGTGTGTTTCTAAAGAGAACTCAGTCTTGTTTCCCGGCTGCTAGGGTAGCATGCAGCAAAGGCCATAACCACTACACCACAGAAAAGGCTGGAGAACCATCCTACTTTAAGTTCCCTGCCCCTGCCAGTGGGTCACCTGCCAATCAAACCGAGAGCAAGACCTTACTATCTATCACAGCACAGTCTGGTCATGTGAAACCTGCAATAAAGGGAAACACATCAACACGCTGACAGCTGTTCCAGGGAAGGTGGACAATGTAGGGGCTGCTTCTGGGACCTTAAGGAACTACTCAGAGAGCCACACAAAGCTTAGAGTCCAATATGTTCAATGTGGCACTGTTCATGTTGTCAAAATGGATAGAGAGCAAAAGTTCAAATAAGTAAGGTCAGGTTTTAAAATGTTACACATATCAGGCATTAAAAAGAGAATAATTAAACTAAAGAATTTATTTAGTACCACATCTGAAGTCTATATTTGTTTTTTTTTTCCAAATCACACTCCAAAGCTGTACAAATCATTAAAACTTTGGTTGAAAACTAATAAAACTGATGTCAATTAGCATTCATATTAACTGGAGCATTGGGGGTTGAGTGATTTATATTTTCTTCTTTATCTGTTCTCAGTCTCCTAGACATTCTCAGAGCCTTTACAATCGATGCAGTCACTGTGCACAGCAGCACCAGCTCCTCAGAGCATTCAACATGAAATTACCACTTGGTTCTGCAGGCTCAATACACTCAAAACAACTGGAGAGACGGCCAGTGAGACAGACAGCTCAGTGGGTAAAGCTTGTCTGATGGCCCGAGATCTATCCCTTGACTCCAAAGTGGGAAAGGGAAGCGGTTCCAGAATATTGCCCTCCGACCTCTCCACAGATGCTGTGGCACACATACACCCATAGTCACACCACAGACACACACGCACAATTTAAAAGTCCGTTGTAAGGAATTTAAGACATTTCTATACCTAAGGCCATATGAGAATTATTGCTAGCTGTCAAACTTGGCAAAAGAAAAAATTTAATTGTTCATCAACAGATGCATGAGCAAACAAAACGCAGCCCATATATTAAATACAACAAGTGTTTTAAAGAGGAAAAACACTTAGACACGCATGACCTTGAAGGCATAATGCCATATGAGGTTCAAGTTCAGAGAGAGAGAAAGGAGAAAGGAGAACAGTAACTCTCCCGGGTTGGGGGAAAGTTAGTGTGAGGGGCTTTGTGGGCCAACTTTCAAACTGGGGTGGTAAGAACGTTCCGGAGTTAAGATGGCCATCAGTGATCTGTCTGCTTAATAATACTGAAACAGGAAATTCTGTTGTGCATATAAATAAAACAGCTTTAAAAAAATCATTTCTAGAATAAGTTTACACTTTTTTAATAAAGGAGCAAATTAAAGTAGAACACAGTAACAAAGAATAATTTCATCCACTAACCTGAGACAGATGCCATTCTGACACTGAACTGGAGATCCAAGCGTCCTTCTAAAAGTACAAGAACAAATAAGGCGACATTTTCTAACTGCAGTACTGTGGAGGCCGGAACAGGTCCTCTTCAGCATGCACAAGCATTAGTGATTGGGCAAGGCAGGCACTTTTCGGGGACAGACTCCTCAGCAACGCACTTCGAAAATCTTCTTTACTATCCGCTGTGCACCCTGGGTATGTGCAGGAATGTATCCTTCCTGATTCTCCTGCCCGGTATGAATACGAACAGGGCTCCCGATTCCTAACTTTCCCTTTGTTCCTGGAAAGCATCATTTGCAAAATAATTCCCTTGTTCTCCCTGCCTCATAGTGCCAATACATTCTCCACTCTTTTCAAATCTTAGCTGTGCTTGCTTTGGCTTTGGGTTCACCAACTTTGTGACCTCGTGGAGCTCAGCTACACAGTTTAATCTCCAGCACCACAAAACAAAATGCAAACCAAACCAATACAATGAATACTCCTCAGTCAAGGACAATCTGTCACTATTGTGTGCAAAAGGAGTTTTAGACAGCAAATACCGTTTTTAAAAAACCCTATAGTTGCTGGTGTCAAACAGAAGGCCAACAACATTCACCAAGCATCCTACAGTGAAATGATGCAGCCAGAAAAGGCCATCTACTAAATAGATCTGCCTCCAGGTCCATAGCAACATGACACACTGTTCCTCTAAGCCCTTCCCCCGGCCTTAAAAGCAGGAATAGCAGGATCCATGGCCTCAACCCACAGGGGTCACGGGTCCTGAGTTAGCCTGCCTCCCAGGTGTTAGACTAAAGGTGGGCACAGCCATGCCTGGCAGGACTTATCTTACAAATAAGAAGATGGATGGATCCAAACACCGCAGATTACGTCAAAACATAAATAAGTCAACCACTTAGCACGTTACTAAACACTTGCTTTAGAGAGTTACCGTTAAACTCACCCTTAGGAGAAACTAGTATTCCAAGCGGGTCATTTTCAGGACACCCTCTCTGCCTGCTACAGGGAGCTTACGGCACTTGGGCTGCTTGCTTTATCAAATCACACCCTTCCTGTTACACGGCTGCAAAGATAGCCTGAGCCTTGATTAAACGGGATGCAGGCCACACATCCCCAACGGCATTGAAGGAGGCGTGTAAGTCGAGACTCCTCCTAGCCACTTCCTAGAGCGATGGCATTCCGCCCACGCGCGGTGAGGTCAGAGCACAGACTGAGTCTTCTCACTTTCGTAATCAAACAGCCTAGCAAAGTGCCTTTTCCAGGACCCGGGATCGGGAGCTACCTCTTCGCTTGGGAGAGCCAACGATCTATGCGCATGTCCTCCGTTATTATTAAAAAAAAAAAAAAAGGATTTTGCTGGCTAAAACCTGTCCCTTCCCCCAAATTATGCCACTTTGCAAGAGAAGATACCTCGGCACAGAATGCACCCAAGAACCAGTTAAGCTACGGGAGAGGCGTGTCGTCCGTCAACAGCCCGAGCCGGTGCGGGAGGAGACCGCACGCTCACACCGAGCGCGTCCCTCCACCCCGCTGCCTCCACCAGGCGGCGGCAGCACCCGCTGCGGCGGCGGCCGGGGCTCCCACGCGCGGGGCTGGACGCACGCACGCACCCGGCGACTAGCAACTCGGCCGTGAAGCACCGTTCCCGCCACCGGGCCCGCAGCGCCCACCACTTCCGGATCGGCCCCCTGCACCAATCGCGAGCCCGCGCCTGCTCTGATTGGCGGCGCGGCGCGGCGGCCGTGCACGCGTCGGAAGAAGAGCGCGTCCTATTGGCCAAGCCGCAGCCAATGGCGCGCGGCCCGGCGGCCGGGCGACGGCGGCCGCGGCGGCCGCGGCTGCGTGTTTCCGGAAGACGTGGCGGCTCGGGCCGGGCGGCGTCCCCGCGGCTCTGCTCCGGACTCGGCTTCGCAGCGTGGGCCCCGAGGCGCCGCGGTCGCTGCCGCCGCCGCCACCATGATCTCCCTCACGGACACGCAGAGTAAGCGCCGCCCGGGCTCCCGCGCGCTCCCGCCGCAGCCTCCGCTCCGCCCCGCAATGAATGGAGCGAGCGCGGCGTGGGGCGGCGGCCTGCGGGACGGAAGGAGGGAGGGAGGGAGGGAGGGGACCGCGGCCGTCGGCCTGCCCGGCTCGGGGGGAGCCGCCGGCGGACGGAGCCGGACGTCCGGGCCGACGGGAGTGCGAGCGTCCGCCTGCTCTCGGGCTCCGGCGAGGCCGGGGCATGGGGGACCGTAGAGAGCGGGGATCGTTTTTTTGCCCTCGGCCGCTGCGATTCCCCAGTTGCCCGCGACTCCCTGCAGGGGACCCCGGTGTCCCTGCCCGTCTCGGGGTCTCCCGGATGTGCCAATCGGAAGGTCGCTCTTTGTGTGCGGGCCGGCCTCCAGCTCGCCATCCTTCGGCCTGAGCCTCCAAGGCGCTGAGATGACCAGCGGGAGCAGCCCTGCCTGCCCGTCTCTGTGGGCGAAGGGTGTCCTTACGCCTTTGTGTGTGTCCAGAGATCAGAGTATACTGGCCAAGTGTGACCTGGCTCCCCTGTTCTCCTTTTTCGACCTTTTCTAGACAATCCTAGTTATTTTTTATCTGCTGACTTACCTGCCGAAAATGTTTACTTTTATTTATTTTTTTCTATGAGCATGACATCTTTTTGGCCTCACCCTTCCTCGTTGCCATGACCTTCGCTTCCTCAGACTCTCATAGAGTCACCTTAGATTTTTCAAGATCCTAACATCCCGCTGGAAAGAAACGAAAACTTTACTCTGAAGTTATTCTCAAGTGGAGTCTGAAGATTTAAATTCAAGTCACGGCACCCTGGGATGTCACAGGTCTTCGGTGGTTTCCTAGACACCTTCGCAGCCCACTCGTGCCCACTTCGTGTTTGGTTTGAACTAGCCAGGGAGCGTTGCCTGTTGGTCCATCTGCTTCACTTGGTTCTAATCAGAAATAAAGGTGTCCCTTTTTTCCCCCCAGCTGTTACTAATATGAAAGTGTTTTCTTTCCTCTTAATGTCAGATGTAGATATATAGATAACAATGGGTTAGTTTTTCTTTTAATGTGTCTGTGTGGGGGTATCGACGTCTGCATGTGGGTGCCAGAGGCAGCCAGAGCCATAGGATCCCTTGGAGCTGGAGTTATAAATGGTTGCTAGCTGCCTGGTATGGGTGCTGGGTACCAAACTCAGATCAGGAAAGCAGACATGGGACATTTATAAATTGGAGCATTAAGACATTCACACACACACACACACACACACACACATCTACAGAAAAGGCAGTGGTCCCAAGACTGCTGGCCTAAAAGCCTTTGTTCTTTTCACTGTACCACTGACTTCTAAGAGACTTGATGTAAAAGTGCACCTCTGGGGATGGTACAAGCCTGTGGTATTTAAATTACCCAGTGCATAAGGCAGAGAACCTTACTCTCCAAGAAAAGAAAAACAAGACAGTGAGGAATTGGGCTCTGAAGAAGTCGCTTTCCCACGTCATTTTATCAAATTTCTTGGGAGGGTGAACTTCTCTGTGTTTACTTGCCTAGCTTGAGGTGAGATGATGAGTTAGAACCAATGCTTAAGGAACCAGAGTTTTTTTTTTTTTAATTCAGATTGTATCTGTGTCTGTGTTTACTGAGAGATTGGACCAGTATCACCCCAGAGATGTGCCAACATGATTCAGGGCTTTCACTTCTGAGAAGGGTGGATGACAGACAGTTTATGGCTGACTTAAGACTCTATAGTAGCCCTCTCCTCATTCCAGAAGTGCCTAAAGAAATGCCAAGGCTTTAGATGGGAACAGCATCCTGTTACATCTGGATTGTCACATTAAGTAAAATGCTGCTGTGCTATTTGTTTGACTTACTGAGCTTCATACCTGGTTGAACTTACCTGTTTCTTAAAGAACGTAATGGGGCTCAGTCTCTGTGAAGTGTCACCCTCACTAAAATGTCAACCATGATTGACATTAAGTTAAACTGATCATTTTTTTATAAAGTTCCTTAAGTAGGTTTTTTTTTAATGTTACCTAATTTAACCTCTCAGATTGCTTATATCAAAATTTACTTTTTATGGGCAGAAAAATAAAAACTGAAGACGGGATATTACGTTTTCCCAAGTATAATCCTTGGCTGGAAGATCATTTCACCATATAGTCCCTTTGACTTCAGAGAACTTATGGTTGGATAAGGACAGGAACAAAGGGGAATCTGGAGGTGAAAGGGGGTGTGGTGAGGCTGTCCCCCTGTGACCTGCTGCACTTGATGGGGTCATGGGACTGTTTGTGTCCTGGGCTGTAGAAGGATTGTGGAATGAGAAGACTAGATCTGAAGTCTACCTGCTGCCGGCGACTTGGTTGCTGTCCACAGTAATGCTTGCATGCAGCAGTCAGTAGTGGATGCTCGCAGAAGCTTAAGCCGTTGCTGCTTGGTGCCTCAGAACTTTGTTGAAGGAATCACCAGGCGTGCATATGGACACGGCGCTGTGATGAGCCATGTGGGGCATTCTTTTCCACTGCAGCTAACTCTCAGTAGTTCTGGTACCTACTGGATTGTTCTAGACTGAGATTAAACTTATGTCAGTTACATCATTCTGTGCAGCCCAGTACCCTTGAGTTTAGTAAATATGTTTTAAACTATGGGTAAGAATACTTACATGGTTAAAATGGACCTGGTTTAGATAATTAACTGTAGTTTGATTTGGGGCAGCTTAAATCCCCTGTCAAGGCATCATCTTCCCCCAACCCTGAAGTGATGTCGTTCTGCCTGCTTCCCAGTGACACTGGGGGGATTGCACTTCATGTGCTCTGGGAAAACCTGACAGCTCCTGACTCCTGGCGGGTTCTCAATGCATAGTCCCTGTGCTTCCATTTAATTTCCTCCTTTACTTAGAAACTTGGGGATGCTTTTCCTTTGTCTGTGCTCAGTTGTGGCCAGATTGACATTCAGTCAGTCATTCTGGGGGTGGTGAATATGAATGACAGGGTCTCTCATGGAACCTCGAGCTCACTGATTTAGCTGGACTGCCTAGCCAGAGCTCTTCAGAATCCTGTGTGTTCCCCAGCCCTGGGATGTCTGGCATGAACCACCCTGTCTGCCTCTGTGGGTGGGTGCTAGGATCCGAACTCAAATCCTCCTCTTGCATAGCAGGCCCTTTAGCAGCTTGCTCTTCTTTTCCATAAACAAACATCTTGGAACTTGTGTAATTATTAAGATAATCTGAACATAGAAGTCACATTTGGATAGCTTGGCTGTTATGAATTGCTCCTAACTCCTAGTTGCTTAATAAAGTTTTACTTCCTTCTAGTTGCTTTGTAAATTCTCCTAAAACATTTGAGCAAGAAAGTATTAGCCTGGATTTAGGGTATTTGCATCTGAAATACATTTAAACTAGAATGGTGGTAGACATGCTTGTCAGTACTTTCAGGCTAATTTTAGAAACAAAATGGAAGATAGTATAAAAATTGAGGCCATGGAGATGTAGAGAGAGGTAAAGTTTTAAAGTTTGGCCCGTCAGACCCTTGATATGGTTCAGTCTTAATCTTGATTTCTGATGTGTATGGGGGTGGAGGGCAGACTGGCCTGGATTTTAGCACTCTAGAGCTGAAGGGAAAATCCTAAATAACGGGTCAGGAATCACTAATACAAGCAGCAGTTGTGGGGAAAAAGAATAGAGGTTGCCAGTTAGCCTCTAACAGCTAAAGCAGGGTGACCAGGAAGTAACTGGCAGGCTTTGTTTTGTAGCAGTAGCAAGAGTGTCTGTGGCCTCAAACAAAATATAGGACCCAGAAAATATAAGGTCAGTAAAGCATTTTATGTGCAGGGTAGACCCTGCTGTGTCCACCACTACGTTTAGTACCTACAACAAACACCCCCTGGTCTCTAGTAGTTGATGGGCGAGTAGGTTCTAAGTGAACAGGTAAAAATGTGGGCTAGGTCGTGATTTCAGGGTCTAGTCCTAAGCATGTAACAGGGGTAGTATAAAATTTGTAGGAAACAAATAGTTAAAATCTGTGCATTTTTGTCTAAGACCAGAGAAGTTTTTCAGAGAGAGAGAGGTGTGTGTGTGTGTGTGTGTGTGTGTGTGTGTGTGTGTGTGTGTGTGTGTGTGTGTGTGTGTTTAAAATCTAGACCTATCTTTTCCTGTCTCCTGCCTAAGAATTGAGACTTTTCTTCTGTTCCTGATTTACACTTGGCCACAGAACTCGCTGACGCTGCCTCACTTTGTTAGAGATCTGGATGCCATTGAGAAGCTGACCTACCTGCGGGATTTTTGCTGCGTTTGTGGGATTGTCAGGGACCTGGTTCTCTGCCTTAACCATGTGCTTTGTGTTGCAGAAATCGGCATGGGCTTAACAGGGTTTGGAGTGTTTTTCCTGTTCTTTGGAATGATCCTCTTTTTTGACAAAGCATTGCTGGCTATTGGAAATGTAAGTTTTGGATATGTGCATTTTAAATTCATCAGACTTATCTATTAGTGACTTGCTTGCTGATATCATAGGTCAGTGAATCTCAGGTTCACTGTTTGCAGTGGCAGTGAACCCCATCAGCTCTCTGTGTGATAGAAGATAAACGTAAGGTTCCCACCTGGTTGGTCAACTACTCAGTGGTGTGATTTACAATGGAGGAAAGTGCTAGCCTTGAATAGGAGTTGGAGGCAAAAGACCTAGCCAGGCATGGTGGCTTAGACCTACAAGCTCAACACGTAGAAAACCAAAGCAGGGGGATTGCCACCAGTTCAGAGATAGCCTGAGCAAGGTGCTATTTCAAATAATAAAAGAAAGATGACTTGCTAGCTCCTTGTCTTCTAAATTTATGAAACTATTTTGAATGTAAATGTCTGGAACCCTGTGTGTTTTTAAATTGCATAAATAAATTTTTAATAAGCAGAAGCTTTTAAAAAGTACATCTTTTGTCGTGAGCTGGCTCAGTAGGTAAAGGGGCTCACCACCAACCAGTCCCTGGAACCTCCATGAGAGATGAAGAGAAAGAACCAATTCCTCTAAAATACCCTCTGTCCTCCATGCACACGCCTCCAGACTGGTAAAGAAGTGAATACACCTTGTCACTTGCTTTCTGAATACTTGGGTGCCGTGTCCCTGACTTCACTAGAAAGGAAACGCTTTTCTTGCTGTGTACTAACCCTACTACCCTGTCCAGTGTCAGGTCGGACAGGAGGCAGGAGGAAATAACCCCTGTGAGAAGATGGGAAAGCCCTGAATGGCACTGAGATGTTTTTAGAGTCTGTGGCTTACCTTAATTAAAAAGAAGGAAAAACAAAGTTAGTGATTTCTGAGAATGTGGCACTTAGCTGGTGGGCTGGTGTGTATTGACAAGGAGTAACTTCCGCTGAGGAAAACTATGGGGGAGCATTTCATACACAGTTCAGGGAAATAATTTCTTATTCTGCTGCTGGCCTCTTTGGCTTGATCCTCTGCCATCTGTATAGACAACATTGAAATCACCCACCCGTAGAAACCCCTATACCCCACGGTGACTATTATAGAATCAGGGACGACACTTGGTGGCAAATTCAAGCAAGCCTTTAGTCTTTTTAACTAGGGTGTTCCCTTTTCCACCCAGACAAGCTGGGGAAACTGCTGCAAATGTGATCTTTCTGTCCCATTTCATCATCTTTCTCCATTGAATGGAGTTAGGCAAAAAGTGAGACAGCGAAGACAGCCAGGACAGCATGCGTGCACCATGAGCTGGCTCTGCTGAGGGTATATACGCAAGACTCTGGCAGTGCGTGCTTCAGATGCCAGACAAACTGCTTGACTGCTGACGGACGTTTCTCCTGGCTCTTCACTTGATGAGGTGTTTAACCTTGTCTGTGCTGTGTTGTCTTTCTCTCCTAGGTTCTGTTTGTGGCTGGATTGGCTTTTGTAATTGGTCTAGAAAGAACATTCAGATTCTTCTTCCAGAAGCACAAAGTGAAAGCCACTGGATTCTTTCTGGGTGGTGTGTTCGTGGTCCTCGTTGGTTGGCCTTTGATAGGCATGATCTTCGAAATTTATGGATTCTTTCTCTTGTTCAGGTAGGCCATTATTTCCTTCTTTTAGTGAGCCAGTGAATGAGGTACCTATTGCAGAACCTGGGTAGGTGAGCTAACGTGGGAAGATCGCTTCCTGAATGACCACTCTTTAGACTAAGACTTTTAATTTTAGGTCAGTCAGCTATAAAAATGTTTCCTAAAGGTAAATGACTGCCTGAGTAAGGTAATAAAAGTATTCGTTAAGTATCTTCAATGCTCTTTCCCCAGATGACTCTAGCTTGTGTCAGATTGACACACAAAACTACCCCTTGTCAACTTGACAAACAAACACATCACTGTTAAGCCACACCCTTTCTTATTCATCCCCAAGATCTTAAATAACTTTAAAAGTCCCATAGTCTTTACAAATTCAAACACATTTAAAATGTCAATTCCTTTAAAATATCCAATCTCTTTAAAAATGCCAAGTCTTTTAAGTCTCTCAACTGAGGGCTCCAATAAAATACTTTCTTATGTCAAGATGGAAGAAAACTCAGGGCACAGTCACAAGCAAAGCAAAGCAAAATGTCAACCATCCAACACCTGGGGTCCACTCGTGGTCTTCTGGACTCTTCAGAGGGCTGAGTCCCCTCTGTGCCCTGTGCAGCACACACAGCTGTCTTCTAGGCACCAGCTGCTCCACTCCGCTGCTGCTGCTGCTCTGGGTGGTCCTCGGTGATGCTGCATCCCCAGAGTCCCGAGTCCCTTGCCGCACTGGGCAGCACTTTCCCCAGTGGACCCACATAGGGTGTCCTTGTGTCTGCTTCTCTGCATGACCCTTCAGTCCTGAGCCTTCAGCTGCCACCGAGGCTGCACCTTCACCAATGGCCTCTCCTGGCCTCTCACAGTGCCGAGCTTCAGCGGCTCTCCATGACCCCGTCATGCTGCAAAACCAATACCACCTGGGTGATGCTGACACATTACCAAGTACGGCTGCCATCATGAGGCACAATCTTAGCTGCCTCTGGAACACAGTTTCTGTGCCCTCAGGAAACACTTCCAGAAGATTTCACCTCAATGATTCTGGTCTCTTCTTTATCACCTCTAATTTCTTAGCTCAGCCACCAGCGTCGAGTATTCCAGCAAAGCAAACTTTTGCCTTAGTACTTCTGGTATCTTGTTAATTACAGCTGATTCTCCAGCCCCAGCTAAGCAGAACTACGGGATCTTAATTCAAAATAACTAATGACCTTCATAGAGTCTTTAAACTTCCCTCTGAATCTTTGCAAGTCAGGCCTCTGCCCTCTGTACTTCTCAACATCCTTATATTCTAAGTTCCTAAAGAACACCCCACTGAGCTCTTAACCCTCAATGCGTCTTCTAGCCCAACGTTCCAAAGTCCTCCGCAGTTCTCCCCAAAACACGGTCCAGTGTGTCCGAGTACCCCACTCTTGGTATCAATTTGTCCTAGTTAGGATTTCTATTGCTTTGAGAAAACACCATGACTGAACAGCAAGTTGGGGAGGAAAGGGTTTATCTGGCTTACACTTCAGCATTGCTGTTCATCACTGAAGGAAGTCAGGACAGGAACTCAAAACGGCAGGATCCCAGAAGCAGGAGCTGATGCAGAGGCCATGGAGGGTGCTGCTTACTGCCTTGCTCAGCCCATCTTATAGAACCCAGGGAAGGAATCACCCGCCATGGGCTGGGCCCTCCTCCATTAACCACTGAGAAAATGCCTTACCGTAGCTAGCTAGCTGTCCAGGAGGCATTTCCTCCACTAAGGCTCCTTCCTCTGATGACTCCAGCTTGTGTCAGCTTGGCACACACAAGCGCCCAGTACAACAGGCTTCGATTTCTTTGGCGGGGTATGTAAGTGGGTAGCTGTAGGGAGAGGTCTACGTACTGCAGTGCTGACCACGCCCATGTGGGTGTGTTCACAGGTGTGTGCCACATCATTTTCTTATGCAAGGGTCGCTTTCTAGTGGCTCCCCTTGACCACAGCGTGCTCCATGTGCATGCACGGGGAGGCGTCCGCGCTGAACACAAGGGATGCTGGTCGCTGCTGTCTTAAAGGAGTGAGTCAGGCAGGCAGCAGAGTGTGTGTGTGAAAAGATAATGCTCAGCAACACTGTATTTATATTTTAAAATGCCAGGCACCATGTCACCATACCATGAAAATGAATTAATTGCCAAATCTGTCTCAGGAAAGCTGCCATTTCTGATGTGGAAGACAAACTGTTAAGGTCTCAAGCATCCAGTGATAATGACATGGTAGTGTACGAAGACACAGAATACTCTAAGAGCAGAGGTGAGGGCTTCTCTAGGGAGAGCCAAGGCGTGTTCAGATAAGTTGAGACCTTTCTCACGGCACTCTTATCCCTGTGAATGCATTTTAAGAACCACGTGCTGTTATTTCTAGTGTGTTCTTAAACTGCTTCTCAGCTTAGAGAGAGGCAGCCCCTCTGACCCACAGATAAACTAACTAGAGGCTGCTTCGCTTCTGTGGGCATGTGTCCACAGCAACAGGGACAAGAAGTGAGGCTGACCTGTCGTGTTGTTTTCAGGATTTCGCACATAGTCTCAGCTCAATTCTTCTGGTTACCCAATCCCTCAGCTCCCCTGTCTTCAGCAGTACAACAGAAAGCAGCACAGCTAGGTCCCATTGTACTGTGGGCACAATTTTGCCAATTACCAAGGTGTTAACTGTGTGGTAACTGGTGACTCTGAAGTCTCTGTTTCCCTTGGTTAGTGGTTCCTCCTGGTAGAAAGCACTGATCTGACAACCTGTCTTCTGCCTCCCAGGGGTTTCTTTCCTGTGGTCGTTGGCTTTATCAGAAGAGTGCCTGTCCTTGGATCCCTCCTAAATCTACCTGGAATCAGATCAGTAAGTAGTCATAGTTAGCAATACACTTTTAAAACCATGCAAATGAATAGATTGTGATGCCTTTTTACTGGGAGCTTGAACCATTGATATGATTGAGTCATTATGATATAAATGATTGTGTCACATAGATTCTAGTTACCATGAAAACCAGAAACTAATAGTTCGTAGTCTACGAAACCTAACATTTTGTTTGAACATGCCATTTTTAGTATTTTCTATTTTTAGTGTTACTCAGGTTGATAATGCTAAGCTACTTTTGTGAATTTATAAGTGAGACCCATCCTGCTTTCAGGGTGTGTTCTGTGGATATGTAATGCTGACCTGCCATGGGGGCTCCATCCGTTGTGGGGTCTCTGAAACCTCCCAGGCTTTACCTGCCTTCCTTGTGTACACCTCGATCATAACATTTACCTGTTTAAATTATCAAGAGGAGAGCTCCCGAGCTGTGATCATAGTCATAGCAGAGTAGGCAGATGACTATTAGCCATTCCTCTCCCGGGCCACATAGCGCCTGCCACTCAAGTCAAGGAAGAGTGACATTTCACCGACCTCAGAAACCCAGTCCACCTCATGACAACTCTAGGTGACCTCTTTCTAGCTGTCTTCCTTAGTCTGAAAACTGAGTGAGATGCTGATACATTGAGAGAATGCTCTAGAGCTAACCCACACCAGAAGTCATCTGGGGAGAATCTGCGTTCAATAGTCCCATGCTCGTTCTGAACAGGTTAAAGCACAGAAGGTGGTTAGGCCCATCTGTCTGTCTAGAGATTGCAGGGAGTGCCACGGTGTCGCCTGAGTTGTCAGCTAACAGAGACTTCCAGGAAATGAGCAGCACTGTAAGTCCTTTCCATAGCAGGTCAGTTTCAGAGGCAAAGCACCCTGTTACAGCTGGGCACATTATCTGTGGAGAGCAAATACGGTGTTTTGACCACTGAAATTTGTTTTAAGGTTCTAATGAATCTACAGATATTATCAGTCACCTGTTGATGATCATTTCAAAGGTTGGTACCTCAGCTTGGGGTGGGGTAGACCCCAGCTCCATTCATTCTTATGACCACACTCAGCTTAGGTATTGTTTATATATAGAATTTGCTAATACGACTGGAGTTGTGATGGCTTACTGTGTCCTCAGTTACGAATTCTGTAGTGATTGTGTAAATGGGCAGTCAGTGCAGTACAGTAGGAGTCTACAGTCAGTACCTGAGCAGCAGATTTGAAACGTGAGGCAGAGGCACTGCTGGCTGGAACTCTGAGCAGCGCCCTGCCTTGTAGCATTGCCATGGTTATATAACTGTTGCAAGTGTACATCATCACCATCGGGGATGCCGAAGTAAGACAAACGTTATGATTTGGGAAGGAATAAACAGTGAATAGCCATTTACATGAGTGTCGTTGAAGTTCATATTTGACAATTACACGTTTACGTTGGCAACACTGAATGTTTCAGTGTCTTTGCGCCCTTCAGTATGATGTCCAGAATGCCCATTTAATATATTTTTAGTTGATAGCTGTTTTTTATTACTGAACTTAATTGAGTTAAATCTGTTTGTCCAAAGACCACATAGGCCCAGAAGAGATCCACAGGAATGGTCAGTGGAAATATCTTATTGGGTTCATTAATGCATGAGTGGCTGGCATTTCAGTCTTTCTTTTTGTTGAGCTAGCGGTGTCAGTGTCATTTTATACATTATTTTATTCGTTGTGTTGCATTTTTCATGTTTCACCCTTAAATTCATGTGTATGACATGTCATGCAAAAGCAACTTTGAGAAGTAAATTTTATACGCACCTGAGAAGGTGGTGGTGGACACCATCCAGTTAACCACTGTCATGCCTTGAATCCCTGCAAATCTTGTAACACTGGATGTTTTAAACCAGCATTTAAAGTGTTAGTTCAATGTTATACAATGCCTGAGCCCCCTTTAATTGTGTTTTTCTTCTCCTTACAGTTTGTAGATAAAGTTGGAGAGAGCAACAATATGGTATAACAGCAAGGGAACTGGAGACTTTAAATGTTATATTATTTATGAACCCTTTGGAGACTATTCAGCACAAAGTTTAATTTCACAAACTAACTTGTAAAGTCCTTCAGAAGTTCAAAACACGCACCCTCCAAAGTACCAACACTTACAGAAGAAGCACTGACAGCAGGCTTGTGACCAGGTCATCTGAGTGCTGCGGCTGGAGAGGATGAAGCCTTGTTACGATGCTTAGTGACTTGAGAAGGCTGTTTCTTAGGCTTGCTGCAACCTGTGAAACAGCCAGTGGTTCCTAGAGAACCATGGTGTCTGTTACCTTTTTTTTTCTCTTTCTTTTTTAGAAGATTCAGGAACACCAGTAGGCATTTGATTTTTTTTTTTTTATGATAGCCCAGATATTTCTAGGTGTCCTGGGTCTCTAATAATGATGCCTGAATTGGATTGGATTATGTCGTCTCCATGTATCAGCCCAAGGAAAGCCCAGTTTCATGTGTGAATCACTTTTTTTGTAAACATGAAAATAAAACTTTTGTGGTCCTTTTGAATCTTAATATTTTGGAGCCAGATAAAAATCTGAACTAGATATTCTTTTTCAGAATATGCAGAGGTCATTTTGAGCTGTTACTTCTCAATCATAGCTGACCAAGTGCTTTCTTGACTCTACAACACTCTGGATGCACAAATCTCATGGCCTGGGTGTATTACAGATGCCAAGCAGAGAGCATTCTGACCATGGAGTAGTCTGCTACAGAAGTTGTTGGAATCAGTTGTTGAGATATTAAATGATGCACATCAGATGGTTTTTCCCATGTCATGATGTAGTTTTTCTTCTTGTGTTCATAAGAAATTTGGCCACACGCCACAGTCTCCTACCTTGGTTTCACAACTTGTGGTGCTGTTGAAGGTGTGTAGCATGTTAAAGGCATGATTCTATGACTGTGAGAAGGGCTGTTATTTCATCTTAATTTTCCTATCTTCAGCTTTATTGTAACATCCAAAAAGCAGCAAGCACCACATCTGCTTCCCCCACTGTTCTCCATCTTGAGTTAGGAGAAAAGATGCCCCATTGACATGTAAAAACTATTAGGTTATAGCTAAACATGTGGGGTTCCTCAGAAGCATGATGCTGGTGGAATCTTGTCATTCCCTTCTGTTGCTAGTCTGCCAACAGGAACAATGGTTTCCTTCCTTATCTGGTCATGGGAGCACTTCCTCAGATGTAATATACTATTTACCTTACCACTAATAATTAAGCTATTTATTTTTAGCAGTTTCAAAGCTTTTTAATGCAGAAAATCATAATTGTATTTATTTACAAACCATTTCTACAAGACATTACAATGTTTGTTTTTAGTTACATTTCTTGGTGCCAGGAAAATCCCCAGCCTTGCCAGTCTGCAGAAGGAAGGACTGGTTTGTAGTGGGATGGCTCATTCTTGTGGATTACTGTCATGTTTGGTACTTGCATCTGACTTTATGGTGTAACCTGTGAAAACTCGATAAATAGAGAATCCTACCTCAATCGCTCATGGGATAATAAAAGACCTGGCGTTGTGTCTGATGCTCCTCAAAAAGTCACACCTTCCCTGGAGTGTCCATGCCATGCTCTGAGAACTGACTTGTTTGAGATGCCCTCTAGACTTCTCATAGGCTTTGGTCCATATGATTTGACAGTGACTAGGTGTCACTCTGTTAGAGCAGGAGTTTGCCATTTAAATCCTCTCTCGACATGACCCCATCAAAGTGTCTTTTGCACTACAGCAAGCATCCCCTTTCAGCAGTCTGATTTCAGAACACTGAGCTGTGAGAAGATGCAAGAAGCTCATGGTCCTTTGTCAGGCAGACGACTGGGCTGGCTTTCGGTTCCAGGTGAGTCTGCAATGGACCTGCGACTGCTTGACTGCTCATCTCTGCGCTTCCTAGTCAGAACCGTGAGGAGGCTCTGTCTTTAAACAAACCAGCCTTTTGACTTCCGGAAGCCCTGTTCTTGAGGGCTCCCTCACCCCACCCACTTCTAAAATCAGCCTTCTGTCTTTGTAACAAAAACCAAAACCCCAGATGGAGGAAAAGTTCCAGTACTCAGCCTTAAGTGTTTCTGTCATGTTCAAATGTATCTTCTGTAACAGAAACATGCCTGCAATGTTGTCCCTTACAGTTCTCTGGAATTCAGCTGCTTTACAAGTCTCATGGTCAAATTCTATACTCTAACAATGGCATATTGTAAATACACTTGTCTTACCTCAATAAAAGGGTACTTTTCTATTCATTGGTGGTCAAGTTTATCTTTGAAGTTTTAAGACTTAAATAGCACTATAAAATAATCTACCTTTTAAAAATCTGGCCTATGTGCAATTTTGTCAAGTGGCCTTGATGTTTTAATTTCCAAGTTTTTTAAGTACAGTCATAGAACAACTAAATTAGCAAAACACATTTGAAAACTAGTCAAATGTATTAAAGAATATTGAGTGGACAGAGAGAGATGGCCCAGAGGTTCACAGCTCTAGCAGGGCATCCAGATTTGGTTCCTGGCAACCTTGTGTCGTCTCACAACCTTCCAATTATGCCAGGTCAAGAGAATATGGCTCCCTTTGGGCCTCGGGCACCAGGCATATGTGTGATGTATGCATAGGTAGGCAAAACACTCACACATATAAGTGTTTATGAATATTCATTGTCTTCAGCCACTTGCTGTTTTTTTAAAAATGGTGAACTTCTCTGGGCATATTGGTGCAGTCTTTAATCCTAGCACTCAGGAGGCAGCACTAATAGATCCCTGTGAGATGCAGGCAGCCCCGGCCACTTAAGTACTTTCTCAAAAAAACCAACTCAGAAGTCTGCTAAGCATTTGGTTATTCAACATTTTCTGAGTGTCTCTTGGAAGCTTAAAACTCTTGACCAAATGTTAGCAATTAGAAGAATAATAATCCCCGTCTACAAGGAATTTTTAACTCTTAACATTTCCAAACTTACCCTTGAGTTGCACTGAAATAAATGGTGGTAAAATAATGTTCAGACATCCAAGCCTTTCATTTTCTTCCACTTTTAGCCTCCAGCTTTGTAATAAACTTGTTTTTTCAGATGTGTGTTGTATGTTAGGGATCCATAAAATGAGCATATGTCACAGTGGTGTTTAGGTTGGCTATCAGATTCAGTCTAACCATCCCTGTCTGCCCACTGCAAAGGGCTAAGAATCCTGGAGCCTTTCAGTCCTTGAGGCTAGATGCCTGATACCCAGTCTGGTGCTGGTGGCATGGGGGATTCCTGGGGAGCCGCAGTTCTTCAGTCCATGTTGGAAGAGCAAAGGAACTGAGTTCTGACAGCAAAGGATTGAAGGCTCAGAGAGTAGATGGCAGACTCACAAGCAGAGGAGGGCAGGCAAGAGCAGCTGCTTTTCCCTCAGACCATCTGGCCCACTGCCCGAAGGTTCTGTTCCTCTTGAAGGGTGTTGCCTGTTTTCCGCAAACCTTCCAGGAGATTTCCCTCACCTGCCCACAGGTGTCTCCTAATTGATCCCAGTGACATGATTATGTTTTTGGATGACAAAAAAAAAAAGCTATCAGCATTAATTCGAAGAGTCTTTCCTCAAAACGTGATTTCTTTTGCTATTCCAGGAGTGTATTTATTGTAGGGTGAGGTGATGGGTGTTGGGAGACAAACCTTTGTTTCTTTTTGTTGTCATGTAGATCCCAAGATTCAGAACTGTCACTGCTACACACCATAACAAGCTTGCTGTGGATTTTCTTTCACTACATGTAGCTGGGCTTTTTAGGGAAATTTGTTGTGGTTGCTATCATTAATTACAGAATTTAAAATTAGCAGTGAATTTTAGAGTGAGTGGAATGAATTTCTAAGTTCAAAAGGCTATACAATATTTTTTTCTGGAAAAGAAATTTATTGCACTTTAATACTTGTGATGACATGAATGAAAAGAGTCTTCATCAATAGCGTTATCATAAAATTTGTTATTATAGGCAAAAACCATGAGCCATTGCACCATTAACCTGGTAAGTATTTACTGAATCCCATATTAAAACCTGATTCCAGTTTATTGTCAATGGGAACTGAATATCTTGAGTCTGTTAAGTGTCTATCCCACTACTTGGGAGGCTGAAACAGGAGGATTGCCAGGACTTCATGACCAGCCTGAACTAAATAATGAAACATCTTGACTGACGATAGATAATTGGGGATGGATGCATGGATGGATGGATGGGTGGGTGGGGGATAGATGGATGGATGGATGGATAGATGCATGGATGGATGGATGGATAGATGGATGGGTGGGTGGATGGATGGATGGATGGATGGATAGGTGGATGGATGGATAGATGGGTGGATGGATGGATGGATGGATGGATGGATGGATGGATGGATGGATGCATGGATGCATGGATGCATGGATGGATAGATGGATGGATGGATGGGTGGGTGGATGGATGGATGGATGCATGGATGGATGGATAGATGGATGGATAGATGGATGGATGGATAGATGGATGGATGGATAGATGGATGGATGGATGGATGGATGGATGGATGGATGGATGGATGGATGGATGGATGGATGGATGGATAGATGGATGGATGGATGGGTGGGTGGGTGGGTGATCTAGCACAACTCCCAAACCTTGTCCAGGAGCCACAAGTTTCAACTTGAGTCCTGTTGTCGACTGAAGTAAGGTGTGGAATTTACTGACTGACTGCAGTACTTTCCAGTGATACTACTCACTTGTAAGGACCTCACTAAATGCCACTAGCATATCTCCCCTTACCTATCTGCCATGCCAAGACAGCTGCATCTTCTGGGTCCTTTATGTTGGGCCTAAAAAAGGCTCCTATGTGAGGCCCAGTGTAACCTCCTGAGCCTGGCTAGAGTTTGGTGACCTGTCTCTGACCTGTAACCTCCACGTGGGGGTGACTCAGCCAGACCTGATGTAAGGTTGCCCCCTGCCTAGCTACCTGTCTTCTTGGTGGAATACTATTGGCCCTCACTATTGGCCATCACCTTACCCTATCCTAAGATTCCCATCCCCTGCCTCAGTCCTAAATTCATGCCTGTTGGAATAAATTGAGATTCTACTTCAACAGACTCCCGACTCAGTGTGTATTCCTGACACCCCCCCCAACCCAGTAACTAGTAGTAGCGGGGAGGGTCTCGATCCCTTCCCACCCCCCGACTCCCTTCTCACCCACCCCCATCCCCGCCCCACTTTCTGCTTTTACACTGATTTGGTAGCAAATGATTCTTAAAGCTCCAGTCTCTTACGACGTATATCCGTACCTGGGTTTCATAGGCACCAGGAAATGCTAAACCAATCAAATGCAGTTGTCCAGATTTGCTGCTGTCCCCTCCAACCCCTAGTGTATCTAAGTCAGTTTTGTGGAATTGGGAGGTCTCTGTCAGCTACAGTGAATGAGGTGATCCCTGCAGAGATCTCTACTTCACATTCCTGACCTTTACCCAAGGTAACTTGCTACTGGAGAGGATGGGTCATCGGGGGCAGTCTGTCTTCCCTAGGAAAGTGAAATGCCAGGACAATGCAAGTCACTCTAGATGTCTCCAATTGGGCATGAATCATTGGTCACCATTGGTCACCGTCCCTTCCACTGTTAAATAAAGGGGCGGGGAAGACTTTGTAATGAGAGTTGATAGCATGAAGAACTCCCTGGAGGTGAAAGTAATGAAGTAAGCTTGCTCCCCAAGGGACTGTATCTGAAAACCCATGCTTATCAGCAATGGAATTCTTGGGCCTTGAGACTGGAGTTTTAATGCAAAAGCCCAGCTGTGGCAGCCCCAACAGACTAGGCTGGCAGCTGGTGTCAATGCCCAACTGAAAAGATAATCATGGAAATTGGAGAAAGGAGATGTTTCTCTGTGTACATTGGGAAGGGGACAAAAGGGGCTCAGTGACCCCCAGTAAATCTTCAGGTAAACGAATAGTGATCCCCAATTAATCTTCTGGTAGACTAACAGTGATCCCCAGTTAATCTTCGGGTAGACTAATATGAGTTCCAGGTTTCATCAGAGGTAGAATTAAGACAGGAATGCAAGAGGTATGCAGCCCTGACTGCCTTGTGGCCCAGTAATGCTTTGTCTTAGCTCTGATTCTGCAGGGTCTAAAGAAGTCATGGGCATGTCGGCACACACCTATAAATCCCAAAATAGTCGGAGGCAGAAGGATCAGGCTGTATTTATGTTGCAGCTAGGCCTCAGTGAGGAGTCTTCTCCCTGGAGAAATGAACTTCTAAGAGCCTCTTCTTGTGCCCGTGAGCTTATGAGGCAACTCCGAGTTCAGAGACGATGTTAGCACTGGTACTGATACTACCCTTGGCTGAGCAGCCAATCAATTCAAATATATGTCACTTTAAACAGTGACAGGTGATTGTTGTTCAAATGGAACCTGCGCGTACTAGAGCCAGGTTTCAGAATCCAAATCGTCTTAGCGATGAAGGCATAATGATCTCTAATGATTATACCTTTAAGGAAGGCATGAGAGCCGGTTTGATTGGCAGCCTGCCTGTGCACATAGGCAGAAAAGGTTCGGTATTTTGACCGATCACATTTTGAACCAAACAGCATGGCTCGCTCCCTTGATTCAGAAGTGCATCTCCTTTTAAAGCCCGTGGCCTAAGAGCAGTGACTTCCTGATGTGATGCCCTCTGTCAGGTCTTTCAGAGCAACATCTGGCATGCTGTCCATGGTGAGCCCGTGATATTGATAACATGTCAGAGCTATTCCCTTCATTGTTCCACGAAATGGAAAATGGCAGCTTTGACGTAAAACACCTGCTTACAGATTCACCAGACGAACAGAGCGTGATTGTTTTTCCTTAGACTGGAAGAAGTGTTGGTGACTCATTTTCCTGTTGCTCTTCCCAACACTTTTGTGGGCTTTTTTAAAAAGATTTTTCCTACACTTCTTTACGTGTGTGTGTGTGTGTGAGAGAGAGAGAGAGAGAGAGAGAGAGAGAGAGACAGAGAGAGAGAGAGAGAGAGAGAGAGAGAGAGAGAGAGAGAGAGAGATGGGGGGACACAGCGTACATGTAGAGGTCAGAAGACAGCCTTTCGCCTTATGGGACCTGGGGATCAAACTCAGGCCCTCAGGTCTGCCGAGCATCGCTGTGCCTACTAAACCAGCCCCTGGTTTAATCTGTCTGCTAAGACAGTGGATACAAGCCACCGTTTGAGCAGCTCTGGCTGCTCTGATGGGAAGAACAGTCTAGAAATCCGTAAATATGAACGCCTCTCTATTTTCCATTCTCATTCACTATAATGGATGGTCAGTCGTCAGTTTGATGAGATCCAGAGCTTTTGGCATGGTGCCATTCCTTGGGCTCAGATACTGGACTGTGTATAAGTGAGCTGAGCACAAGCATTCCGTACTTACTCTCAACCTCTCTGGAGGCACTGTGACCTGCTGTTCTCATCTCTGTGGATGCTCTCACTCCCATCCCCTTGGCTTCCCCACCATGATGGACTGCATGTTTGAACTGTGAGCCACAATAAACACTTTCTCTTTTTAATTGCTTTTCTTGTGGTATCTCAGCATCAGAAACAGTAGCTACGACTCTAGTCAAACCTCAATTTTCCCGTCCGTATCCAAGGACCAACCTGATCATCAAGCATCTAAATCTCAGTCTGGTTTCCAAGAATTGGCAAATAATATCCACCCTTTAAACATCAATCTCCACATTCCACATCCAGGCAAAACCTCATACATACATACATACACACACACATACATACATACATACATACATACATACATACACACACACACATACATACATACACACACACACACACACACACACACATACATACACACACACACACACACACACACACACACACACACACACACACACACTGAGACCAATGGGACACATGTCCTTATAACAGAGATCACAGGAATTTGTTTTCCTCTTCCAGCATATGAGGACACAGCAGAGAAGGCCCTTACCTTACCAGAACCCAACCATGCTGACTTTTGACCCTGTAGAGTTGAGTAATGAATTTCTGCCACCTACAGGATACCTAGCTATGGTAGTCAGCTCTCTGTCACTGTCATGAATGATGAAGATGATACAGTTTATGGAGTGAAAAGGTTTATTTTGGGCCCACATTTTGAAGGTTCCACTCCACAATGTAGTGGACACTGTTGTGGTTTGAAAGAAAATTGCCGCCCCCGCCGCCAAAGGAGTGGCACTATTAGGTGTGGTCTTGTTGGAGTAGGTATGGTCTTCTGGGAAGAAGTGAGTCACTGTGTAGGTGGGCTTTAAGGTCTCATATATGCTCAATCCCACCCAGTATCTCAGCTCACTTCCTGCCTCCTTTGGATCAGGAGATAGAATCCTCAGCTCTTGGCCTGCACACTGCCATACTCCTCTGAAACTGTAAGCTACCACCTCAAATAAATGTTTTCCTTTATAAGAGTTGCTGTGGTCAGGATGTCTTTTCACAGGAGCAGACACCATACTTAGATAGACACAGAGCCTCAGGCCTCTGCCAGCCCATTATAGCACAACAGAATTGTTCATTAAAAGGCAGAGAAGAAAAAGAAGAGGAAGAGGTTGGGGCTCTGACTACCCATGTCAGGAGTGCACTGGAAAGACCTGAAGGTTCCCCCACCCCCACCCCAGGCCCTCCGAAAGTCTCTGTCATCTTTAAGTCGGCCCTGTAGGACAAACTTTCAACTCAAAGGTCTTTGGGGGACATTTGAGATCCAAACCAGGACATCGGTTCACTGTATTGTTACGTAGCCTCCATGGACTGATAGAAGCCAGCTCGCACACTAACCTTTCTTGTGTGTAATAGTGTGTGGAGTGGAGCTCAAGTCTTCATCTAATACCTGTCTGTATGCAGAGCTGTTTCGATTGAATGCTAGCACAGTTGACGCCCTGTCCCTACTGCTGCACTCTCCTTTCTTTGTAACATATTTTTAAAGATTTATGCTTAGTTTTATTTATGTGAGCATGTGTGAGCCTGCATGTCTGTATATGCAGCACATCTGTGAAGGTGTCCATGGAGGTCACAAGAGGGCATTGGATTCCGTGGAAGTGGAGTTACAGTATGTTATACACTGCCCAGTGTTGGTGATGGAAACCAAATCTGTGTCCTCTGCAAGAACAGTATGTGCTCTTAGCCGCTGAGCCATCTCTCCAGACATTTGTAGCAAGCTTTCTTGTAGAACTATCCTTGGATCTCCACCTCACAAATAATGGCATGGAGACTTGTTGTTAATTATGAAGGTTTGTCCTTTAGCTTTGGCTTGTCCCCAACTAGGTCCTGTAACTCAAATTAATCTGTTTCTAGAAATCTACATTCTGCCACGTGGCTCTATTACCTCTGCTCTGTACCGTATGTCTGACATTTTCAGAGTCTCTCTGGTGTAATCGGTACCTAGATTCCTCCTCTTCTTCCTCTCTCTCCCCAGAAAACCCACATATCTCCTGCATAGCTATTGGACATTCAGCTCTTTAGTAAACCAATCACAGTGACACATTGTCACACAGTGTAAACAAATATTCTGCAACATGTTCCTTTAGTTTTTTTCTTTATCTTTATTCTCCATTATCAATAGCTCTGATTATCTTCAATGGCATACTTCTTATAAATGATTGTTATCAACAGACAATGACAAACCTAACTGCTTTAAACAAAAGACACAAAGGGAATGTCATCATGCCCTAGCACTGAGTTCTGGAATCCACCACTAACACTTCCAGAATTGCTCTAGAAACTAGCTCTTTCTCATTCTAGGGACTCCTTCTGACCAGTCGAAAGCCCTATCAAGCACACAGGTGTTCTAGAGAAGCCTGGGGGTGCAGAAATCTACAAAGTCAGGGAGGCATTTGCAATCTACACAGAAGAAGAAAAACAAACCACTCAACAACATAATCCCGTAACCCACAGCTTCAAATACTCCAATTCACTGTTTCTCCCACCCAAAATGTGAATTTTGGGCAGGTTGTCAACACTTATTTTGATTTTGTTGTATTTTATTTGCTGTCTAACGCACTCCAATTTTGCTTCCACTATCAGACAGCATCGTATTTCCAAATTCATTGTGTGTTGCCTCATCTTGCTTGAGCTCTGAAATTTTAAACTATGGTGTGTGTGTGTGTGTGTGTGTGTGTGTGTGTGTGTGTGTGTGTGTACACAGCACCATGTACTCAGTCGGAGGAAATTTTAGAGGAGTCAGCTCTCCCCTTCCACCATGTGAGACCCAGGGATACAACTGAAGTTATTAATCGGTCTTCGCAGCAGGCGCCTTTACCTGCTGAGTTCTCACAATCACTGCAGACTGTTTGGCCTGCTTGACATCAGTCCCCCTGGAAGGACTGAGTCCCTTTTCCGATTGCTTTTCCGATGGCTCTCCTTCATCTCTTTTCCTGGGTCTTTACCTGTTCACTTTCTGTAGGCTGGTTTCGTAGCTCTGTCAACCTCTTGTTGATAGCTTCGTCCACGCCCCGTCTTTCCCCGCTCTTCAATTCTTTGAATTCTTATAGATCCTACAGTGGACCGCTCCTTTGCTGAAAAGGGAAAAGCTGAGCTAATGGACTCTTTGCAGGGCTCCTACGTGGCATCTCTGGCCACCTAGTTTGCATTCCCACTTGCAAGTCAGACACACATTTTCATTTCTGCGCGTTCATGACTTGTTTCCTTGGGAAGTCTCTGTCGCTCCTGTAAACTGTTTCATGGCTCCATGCTGGAGCCAAAAATCTAAGCAGCACCCTCGCTTGACTGGTTTCTGTTTCTCACACTCTCTGGTTTACCCACAGGCCCTGTATTGTCCACCTCCAAAATGGTTCCTCACTTTCCATCCTTTGACACTCCAGCCTCCCAACACATCTTCTCAGGTACTAACCAGTGCCAAGCACGCCCCCCTGTACCCCCACGGTGTGACTGCCTTCTCCCCCTCAAATAAGCCAAGCTGTTTGCTGTCTTCTCTCTGCATTCCTTTTCATTTGACTGCAGTGAGTAACCTGAATGCCAACTCCAAAACCCCAGGAATCTTATCCTTCTAAGCCCCTTTGAATTTCACGCTCTCCCCCTCTAACTAGAAGAGCACCTTGAGGCCAAGGGGGATGCTGCAGTTAGAGGGGGAATCTGTCAGACGGGGGGGGGGGTGTGGACGGACAGTCAACACATACTTGTTAAATCATTGGCTGGACACGGATGCTTGGGCAAACGGCTGATGTCAAGTTCCTCTGAGGTCCCCTAACCTTTCCGTGTTCACCGGGGTGATTCATCTTCAGCCACAGCTCCTTGTGTTATCCGTTTGTTTTCATTAATAGGGATGGGGATGGAACTCGTGGGGTGGCTAACAGGAAAAACAAAGGCGATGATGATGCTGGTCCAGTCAGAACGTCTCCTGGCTGGTGTGATCAGTCCCTAAACAAACGATATCCGCTCATCAATCAGTGTCCTGTTTCTGCCAACCAGATCTCCCCAGAGGAGTCATCAGATCGGCTCAGTTCTGAAGATTGACAAGCTGCCCCGTGGTCTCCTCTCCCCTGTGCAGGCTCACACTGAGTTTTTAAAGGCCTAGGTTGCAACAGGATTACCAGGCTTGGCGGGTACAGGGACAGTGCACCTGTCGGCTCTGGAAAGGACCAGAACATGAAGGTAAGCCGCAGCAGACCCCGGCGTTTGCCAAGCATTTGCCTCTCTGCCTAGGTTGTATTTACTGAGTATTTCAGCTACAGGGCAATGGAAGAATACACATCCAAACAGGGAAACCCTTTGTCTTTGCTGAGTGAAATAACTTATTCCCCAATTCTTTATTTGGGTGAAGTTAAGAAAAAAAAATCCTGTGTCTAGTTTTTGAAATTAACTCTGCGTGGATTATCTAGAAGGTGGGATCATACACGGAAGTGAAGAGCTTGATGTCTGGTTTGAGGAGAAGGCAGAAAATCCTGGGAAACTCAGACGGACCTGTTTGGTTTATGTTTCTTGCAGGGCCCCAGCAGCCTGGTGGTGACAGCCTTGGCCCTTCTCCTGGCGCTGTCTGTCCTGGGAAACGCCAGCGGAGCTCCACAGGTAATCGCAGGCGGAGGAGAGCACAGCCCCGGTGGGAACTGTGTCACCTCTTGGCTTTTTCTTCCTGCCCCCTCTGCCGCCCTGCTTCAACTCTCTTCTCTCCTCTCTTGGCTGCAGAGACTCTTCGAGAGGAGGAACTGGACTCCCCAGGCTATGCTCTACCTGAAGGGTGCACGTGAGTCCCAGACTCTTTATTCACCGAGCAGGAGCCTGGGGAGAGAGTAGCGGTTGGCTCCGGGAAACAGTTGGGGGGCTCAGGCAATACAGAACCGGTAAGCCAGGTTAGGCGAGACGGAGGACGATGCCTTGACGGCCCGAAACTCGCTGTCGGGGAACGCAGCTCTAACCCCAACACTCTCGAAGCCGAGGCAGGAGAATTCCTGCGAGTGCGAGGCTAGCTTGCGCTACATAGTAAGTTCCAGATCACAGTACGATCCTGTCAGGGCCGGTGGAAGGAGGGAGGAAGAAAGGAGGGGAGAGAGAGGAGAAGGGATCGAGAGAGGGGGAGGGAAGGGAAGGAGAGAGGGAAATAAGGAAGGATGGAGGAGGGGTGCTTGGTTAAACGAGAGAACTACTGGGATTTTTGTTGTTTGTTGTGCAAGCAGTGTGTCTGGGGCTGAAGGAGCAACGAATGAACTTGACAAAGGAAAAAAAAGTTAGGAGTTGGCGTGGTAGGGGTAGGAGGAAGGGAAGGGAGAGGGATGCGCGAACCCGGCTGGGCTGTGCTCCGAGGCAGGGTCGCCCTCCCAGGCCCCGACCTGTGGTCTCCCCTGGCCCGGGTCCGGCGGTCCGAGCTCAGCCCGTGTCTCCCCCGCAGAGGGCCGCCGCTTCATCTCCGACCAGAGCCGCCGGAAGGAGCTCGCAGACCGGCCGCCTCCAGGTGGGTGAGCGCTGCGGGCGGGGGCTCCACCTGCGCCGCTCCCACCCCACCCCACCCCACCCCAGAAGGCAGCTGGGGAGGCCGGTGCCCCCATCAGTGCAGGCAGAGCACAGAGAGACGGTGCTGGTTCAAGAAGCCCACTGGTGTGTTTATGGATAGAGCCTTGCTCTTTTTCCTCCTAATTACTATTAAGGAATGACTTAGAAGATTCAAATGTACCCCCCTCTTAAATTACTAAAAAACAGCTACTAAAAGGTTTTTAGACAAACAGGGTCATTAAAAAATGGATGCCTGAGGCGGGAATCAGTTTTCTCCAGGGACAAGCTCCGGGTTAAATTATCCAACCCCAAATGGTCAGTCCTGAATTATTTGTACACATGAGTTAACACCAGATGACTGGGGGGGGGGGAGATAATAAAGAAAAATTTATGAATTTGAAAAGGGGCATAGGAAGAGTTGGGGGCAGAGAGAGAGCATGGAAATGATGCTTAAAACTCTGAGGGGGAGAGAGAGGAGGAAAGAACGAGAGAAAGGGGGGAGGGAGGGAGGGAAAGAAGGAAGGAAGAAAGAGAGAGGGGAGACAAGAACATTTTCTTTGATGAACTCCATGTCATTGCAGTTTAACAGGAAGAAAAATCGATTTCAGTAAAATCTTGTGTACAAATGCTAAGAATAAAAGCTAGCATTTGAGAAATCTTCAACACTGCTGAACATACCCGTAGCAGACGATTCACAAGCTACCGTTTCTGTTCCTCAAGTTCTGCAGTGTGATCCATCTTATTTTGTGAGGGTGAAATATGTGTCTTCTCTTTCTCTTTTTTCCATCTAAACTCCATGTCTGCATAAAACTGGGACTGTGTCATCTGGCCACTTAAATTTGAGGTGCAGCACAGTGAGGAAGCCTTCACCCGTAGTGGACTAAACATGGAGTTTAAGGAATTTGAAACAGCCCTGAATGTCTAGCAAAAGCATCCTCAGTCAGCTTATTACCTGTGTGTAGCCCAGAATGTAGATGTTCGTCTCAAACTGATTCAGTCGCTGGAAAGTAGAAATTTCAGGCTCCAATGGAATCATTCCAGGATCTCTTGGCCAGACAACAGTTCTGAGCAGTGAGGGGGAAATTCACTCCCTGCTAAGCCCGGAAGAGGGAAAGCTGCAGGGACTGCCCTACTCCATCTTCCTTTCGCAACACACTCCCTAGAATAAGGTGTACATTCCTCTTCCATCCCCAAGCAGAAACACAGCAAGAACAATCGGAAGTCATTTCCAAGAGAAATATGACATCTCAACTTATGACGATCACCATGAGGCCAATGAGACCTGTCTTCAGGTGAAGGCACCCACCACCAAAGCTTACCACCTAAATCCAGTCCCTCCAACCCACATATGCAAGGATAGAGGAGACTCCCCAGAGTAGACCTCTGACCTCCATGTGTGTGGGCTCACGCACGGCTAATTTTATTTACAATGTTTGGTTGACACTAATATTTAAATGCTGCTTTGTTTATATGATTATCAAGGCTGTGTACACTTCTGTTTCTCCAGAAAGACGAAACCCAAATCTTCAACTTCTGACTCTCCCAGAGGCTGCAGCCCTGCTACTGGCTTCGTTGCAGAAACCACAAGAAGGTACAAGTGCGGTGACTTCTTTCCGTTCTGGACTCAGGAGCTTTGACTCCTGCCGAGCCCCTCCTCAGACCCACAGAAACGCTTGTTCAGTAGAAGCCAATGTACTTCCCAGTATAATTAGTCCCAAGAATACGAAAAATACTACCTTGATGAGAGTGGGGAATGGTATGTGAATTTCATGACCCATCACCCATCTTAACAACATTTATTTGTTTCTTTATTTTTAAATGCAGTGTCTTATGTATCCCAGGCTGGCCTCGAATTCCCTAAGTAGCAAAGGTTGGCCTTGAAGTCCTTATCCTCCTGCCTCCACCCAACAGTTAAAACTGAAGGAGCTCCAACCAGTTTTATTGTTTTATAATTGAAAACACTAAAGCCAAAAAAAAGTTGAAATAATCAAAATCCAATTGCTCACATTGAAGATTAAGTCAAACGGAAGTACGGATCCCCAATCCTTTTACAGTTGTGCACACAGCCGTGGATATGGCTCCCCCAAAGTCAGGGTAAGCTTTGGCTGCATGGTCTGTGTCATTTTCTCCCTCCCATCTGGCTTCTTCTAAGCCAGGAGTGGATATAACCTGCAACCAGCCATTCTGTCCGTGTGGCGTGGAAGTCCTAGCAGAACTGAGACATCTTGGTAAGGGATCAGCTAGGTCTTTGGAAGTTCACAGAACTGAGTGTACATCCTAGCTCCACCAACTTTTACTAGCTATGTGACCGTGATACAGGGATGGTCCTACCACTCTAGGGACCCATTGTAATGAGGTGTATAGTATGTGTCTATGCAATATGTGCGTATTTGTGTGTGTATGTGTGAATGCGTGTGGAGACCAGATGTTGTCACTGGATGTCTTGTCATTTTCCACTTTGGTCTTTAGTACAGGTCTCTCACTGAACTGGGACTCACTGATTCATCTATCTGGCTGGTGGGTGGACTTCTAGAGACCTGCCTGTCTCCATACCCCGCCAGTGGGGTTTGCTGGCATGTGTCATCATGTCTGGATCTTTCATCTGAGTGCTGAGGATCTGAACTCAGATCTCCATGAGTGCTTTATTGACTGAGTCCATCTCTCCAGTCCCAATCCTATTATTACGAGTAGACATTGCGGGGCGTTGGTGGCGCACGCCTTTAATCCCAGCACTCGGGAGGTAGAGGCAGGTGGATCTCTGCGAGTTCGGGGCCAGCCTGGTCTACAAGTGTTAGTTCCAGAACAGCCTCCAAAACAATACAGAGAAACCCTGTCTCGAAAAACAAACAAACAAGCACAACAAAAAAGAGTAGACATCATCAGCTGGGCATAGGAAAAGTGAGAGGAAGCTGGATAATAGAGAATGTTGTGTGTAAGTGACCGTTTTAACTTCAGGGTGTGAAACAATAACCAAGTCTTTAGGTTCAATAGCCAGTACAGCATAAAGCATCATCTTGATATAAAATCTGTGATCCCAGCACTTGGGAAATGGAGGCAAGAGGGTCAGAAGTTCCAGGTCGTCCTCAGATATACAGATGTTTGGATATAAAATGTGAATTACCAGCTGTGTTCCAATGTGAGGGGGCATTTCTAAAGCCAAACAAATCAAAATCCAATTTGTAAAAGAACTGTTAGTAGCATAGACCATGAATGGATTTAACTTTAGGAGTCAAACACATATTTCTTGAGGTTCTTTTTCTCTCTCTAAAACCAAGCATGTGAGAGTTTACTATGTTCTCTCTCTCTCTCCCCCTCTTTCTTTCTTTCTCTCTCTCTTTCTTTCCTTCTTACAGATGAGGGAGGGAATTTCGACCAAAGTGAATTCCTCGAAGACAGACTGCTGAGCTGGTGAAAATGCACCAGGGCACATTCAAGTGTACTTCTGTCCATGTAAAAACCACAGCCCCAGGACTAGGACCCGTGCACCCTTCCTTCCACACCTGTAACCTTAGACCCCTGTGCCTCTAGGATTACTCTTCCAGGAGCAAAAGACGCGTGAAATTCTTCGCTGGAACGCCGCCAAGTTCGTTCCCCGCTTTGGGTTCGCATCACCTGTGTCTGATGCAGGCCTGGATTCTATATGGCCTTTAGAATGCCAAGGCTGGGGACTCAGAAATGTGCGCTCTTTTCCCTGCAGTCGGGCGCTGTCTGGATCTCGGCAGTTTGTTTCTCAGCCCGTCACCCCTTTCGGCATCACTCGCAGCAATTCTCCTGTTCCCCGTTTCTCGTTCCCAGTAAGAGAGAAGGCAGGCACGGCAGGGCTTTCTGTGTACGGAGCAGCGGGTATCTTTCTGTAGCTCCTCTAGAGAAGTCAGTTAAGGAGGAAGGTGGGGAGAGGATGCGTGGGATAAAGCATCCATGGAAACGGGTGTTATCTACTGCTGTTTAGACAGGGGAACCTGCATGGTCCCGAACCCCTTGGAAGGTCAGTGAAGACCCAGGGCTGGGCGCCTCCTTGTGTTCCTAGGGGATCTAACTGAAGTCCACTTAGAAACTTGGACCTGAAAGTCACTGGCATAAACAGATGGAGATGGAGTTTGGCAGAGCATATGCCACACAAAGGTACCCTGTTGAGGTACTCTAATTTCTGTGGCTGAAAGAGACTTCACCATGACTTTACATTAAGGTACTCCCATGACACGAGTGTATTCCATATGCGTGATTTACCCATTTCCAAATCTAAACACAAGTTCAGGCGTGTGCACTCGCGTGCGCACACACACACATGCACACACACGCACACACACACAGAGTGGGGGAATTTGGGGATGAGATCCCTACAACAGGCAAAATAACTACTTGGAATTACAGCCTGATCACCATGGTATTTTTTACCTAATCAATTCAGAGTTGTTAACCATAGCAACTGACAAGTGTTGATTCTTATCACCCCCACCTCACAACTATTGCTTCCTAGCTACAGAATATCTTTATGTGAACATCTGTAATCTGTAATTCTATTGCTTCCTAGCTACAGAATATCTTTATGTGAACATCTGTAATCTGTAATTCTGACTTGGGCTGTGTTAAGTAATTAAAACCATGTGTATATGTTTTGTCTGCATCTCTCTTCACAATTAAGTAATAAAACTATATTAAATTAATATACTATTGGCTTCTGCCCCTCCCAAAACTTTCCAAGAACTAGAAACTGTGCGGCATTATCATAGGCACTTGTCACTAGTCATGACTTGACTTAAAAAGTTGTTTTACTAGAGTCCTATATTCAACTTATCGAGCTAGTGAATGGGTACACCGGGTATGGCTTGGTCATGTAAATAGTTTCTTTTTTCCAAGGGTGTCTTTAGCATCTAGCTCTTGGAGTGGGACTTCTCATGGCTGCCGTTTTAAGACGCTGTCTAAGTAACCAGCTGTTGGGGTGCCCCCATCACACTCTCTAAGTGTTCTTCATGTAGAGGCGCTGGATGGTCACATGGCTCCCTCTCTCCACTTGGAAAAACTGTCCAACCCTCGTAGGATGTGTCTGTTGGGTTTTCATTGCTATAGCAGGTTACCTGGGACCGGGTAATTCGTAAAGACATCTATTTTGGTTCAGGGTTTGGAAGGCTGGGAAGGCTGGCATCTCTCTGGTGGTTTGGAGAACCCGGTGCTGTTTGCAGCCTGGAAGAAAAGCGAGGGTAACAGAACACAAGAGAAAGGGAACAACAGGAGGAGACGTCACGCTTCACAGTAACATACTCCAGCGTAACGGCCCGGTTCCTGAGCCTGCAAAGAACTGCATTAATCACTTCCGATGATCTGGCCCCTTTTTGGGATTTTGCTTATAGTGGGAATTTGATGCAGGCAGTGTGCGTGATCAGCGTCCATCACTGAGCTTCACAGCCAAGGGCTTTAATCTCATCTTAGAAGGCCCACCCTCCAACACTACCCCAATAGCAAGCGGATTCCAGGAGGAACAGGTGGGAAGACCGCCTTCCACACAGAACAGGGTGTGTTCTCGAGTCTCTTTATTTCTACCTTTATACAAACTGAAATGAGCAAGGTCGCAGATCAAAACTGTTTTCCTTATGAGACTCATGTTATCAGTTGGAAGTTGCTGATATCAACGCGTGTCGTGTGCTGGACCATGTCTTCTGTGGGATTTCCGGCCCCTTTCTGCGCAGGATGTCGTCCTTTTTACTCTCTCCCCCTCATCTTCAGTCTTGACTCTTGGTTGTTCTCTCTGTGTTTCTGGTAGATGTCTCCCCAAACCCCGACACCATTGTAACTGAAATAGGACAGACAAGGGCAAAGGGGCTCTGCTTTGCCTGGATTAGTGTGGGTCCACACCCCCTCTACTTGGTGAAAAGCATAGAAATGGGTGCATGTTAGAGGCCTTGAGTCTCATTGTTTTATCTTGGCCTTGGGTAAAAGTAGAGCTGGCAATGCAGCTCCGTTCAGTCCCGTCTTTCCAGTGGCTAACGCTTCTAGGAAGAGTCCATCTCTCATTTCGTTTGAGTCTTAAAATCGCTGCACGGCGACACAGCCATGTCACCATGTTACTTCATAGAAACTTGGGTTCCCCCTATGAGGCCTCTTTGGATTTCCTCAAGAACAGTCCTCCCTGCGACCTGAAAAGCCACCAGCACCACATTTGTAAGTCCTACAGTTCCTAGATGCATGCATAACGCCATCTCTGTTCACCTTGGCTTTGCCACAGGAGGGTGGTGGTTTCAGTTAGCTGGGACTGACTGCTGAAACAAAATGCCCCACACTGGCAGTATAACTGAAGCAGACTTGCCTCTTAGAGTTCTGGAAATGTCAGATCAACATGTTGGCAGAATGCCTGTCTGGTGAAGCTGCTTTCCCATAGGTGGCTCCTTGCTGGGCCTCCATAAAGCCACTCCCTGGGGCCTCTCTTCTTCCTTCTCCTCCTCCTCCTCCTCCTCCTCTCCCTCCTCCCCTTTTCCTTTCTTCCTCCCTCTGTAGCTCCCTCCCTTCCTTCTTTATTCTATGTCTTTCCTCTCTTCTTACTTTGCTACTGTGTATTGAGCCCCGAGCATCATGCAACTGAACAAGCAGTCTATGTCTAAGCTACTATCCCCAGCTGAGAGGGTGGGGTCCCTTTTCTAAGGTCACAACTTCATTCCCAAGGACCATGCCCTCACAGCCTAGACACCTTACAAAGGCCATTGTTCCTAGTGTCCTAGTGTTATCATATTGCAGGGTTTTTTTTTAGCAAGATTCATGTTCCTCCTTCCTGATGTGTATAAAAAGGTGAACTTACAACTATCTTCTACATTGGCTTGAGTCATTGCTTGCATTCGTGTTTCTGCTTTCTCCATGGCAAAAGAGGAGCCTACCCTTGTTTTCAACCATGTGACATGGTGTCTTTTTCACTGTTACTCTCAACAACCCAGCTCTAAGAAGACCAACTCATCTACAGAGCATTTTCAGAGCAAGGCCAACTGATACGACGATCAGCGTGATCACTCTGCGGTAGGCGGGACACAGTGGATGGCTAGTCAGTTATGAAAAAATGAACCATGGGGTAAATCAGGGTTCTATTGTTAGTGTTTAGTCAATTTAGTTCATTACATTTGCAATATAATCCTGCTTATTGCAATCATTCAACTATCCCCTTAAATACATTACAGAATATGTTAGAGAAACAGTTCCTGAATTTAAGTAGATTTCTACTTTTTCTACAGTTTCAGTAATTCTTTTTAAAGGGTCCCTTTCATCTGGCTGATGGTGGCACACACCTTTAATACTAGCACCTGGGAAGCAGATCTCTGTGAGTTCGAGGCCAGCCTGGTCTACAGAGGGAGTTCCAGGACAGCCAATACTACACAGAAAACCCTTTCTCAGAAACAAAGAGAGATAGATTCCAGATTCCTTTCAATATGCTAGGTACTATGCATGACAAGTGCTTCACACATGTTATTTTGATATCTGAAACATTTAAAGCAAGATACTATCAAAGAAAATAAAATCTATAGTGACACATTTATTCACTTGGATTTGGCAACTTATTATCTATAAAATATTGAAATTTCCATTTAAACAACTAAAGTACTGTTACAATAAGGTAACATACATTGGTGGTAACATCTTATTATCAATGATTTGAACACAAATTCTAGATGCCAGACATCATGTAGTAAATATCCATTGGCATACATCAGAATATGGATGTGGGGTAGTTTGTTTTCTTGTGGATTTTGACAGTCATCTGCAGAACAAAATAGAAACCCATGGCTTTAATTCAAATGACAAATGAGTAACAAAGTCTTGCTGATCTAAAATACGTGAGCCACACAATCATAGTTCAGATTTAATCTTTTCAGGAAGAGGCAAGCTTCATAAATTAATCAAAGGATTATGATTTTTGAATTTTCTTATCACTTACATTAACCATTTTAATGTAGGGTCTCACTCTTTAACCCCGTCTGGCCTTGGCACCTCCTGTCCCAGCCTTCTGAATGCTAAAATTATGGGTATGAGTCACCATCTCCAACTAAATTGCCCATCTTTAAAATGCCTCTGGTCCTGCCACTTTAAAAACTCTCCTCATCTTTAGATTTGCGGGGACAAGACTTGAAGATTAAAACGTAGTAATGCCATACAATACAACATTGTTGTATTCCAAATTACAAGACGTAATCGCCGCCATTCTTTACGGGCAGAGACCATTGTGATTGTGATTTTCAGAAGGAAAAGGAATCAAGCATTTTCACTTTCTCCCAGAGTCATTCTTACTTTGCTCACTCTGGATCAGTTCTTATATGCCCCGTGGAGCTTTTTCTTCCCCTTTGGTATGTGGTTCAGGAAAAAGGGTGACTTGATGTTTAACCGGTCCCTCTCGGCCTCCTCTTCCTCATTGTATCTTTCATCTTCATCCTCGTCTCTGTCATCTTCCACATCGCTGCTCTGAGGGCTGGAGGTCTGAGATCCCGATGGAGATGGTGGTACTGACGGGGGCCTGGGGTACTTAAACCCATCCGTCTGCCGAAGAAAAAGAAGACGCAAATGTTCAAAGAGACTTCTAGGTGTTCTCTTTTTTGTTGGTTTTCTTGTTTTTTTCTCTCTCTTATTGTTTTTTAAAACAGTCTCTCTATATAGCCCTAACTGCCCTGGAACTCACAATGTAGACTCACAATGACTTCAAACTCATGGAGATCCTCCTGCCTCTGCCTCCAGTGTGCTGGGATTAAAGACGTGAGCCACCATACCTGGGTGGCTTTTCTTTCTTTCTTTCTTTCTTTCTTTCTTTCTTTCTTTCTTTCTTTCTTTCTTTCCTTCCTTCCTTCCTTCTCTCTCTCTCTCTCTCTCTCTCCCTTTCTTTCTTTCCTTCCTTCTCTCTCTCTCTCTCTCTCTCTCTTTCTTTCTTTTTTTTTTGGTTTTTCGAGACAGGGTTTCTCTGTGGTTTTGGAGGTTGTCTTGGAACTCGCTCTGTAGACTATGTTAGCCTAGAACTCACAGAGATCCACCTGCCTCTGCCTCCCAAGGGCTGAGATTAAAGGCGTGTGCCACCAACCCCTGGCTTCTTTTCTTTTTAATATAATGGTCTTTTAAGATTTCTAATTACATTATTACATTCGTGTGTGTGTGTGTGTGTGTGTGTGCACGTGTGCACAGTACATGCTATACACGTGATTTATCTTTTTCCAAATCAGCTTAGGTTTAACACATCCAAACACATGTGAAGGCACACACACACACGTGCACACATCTCACAGATACCAGATGAGAGCATCAGATTTCTTGGTGCTAAATTAATAGGCCATTACTCCATGAGGAGTGCTGGCAAGTCAACTCAGTTTTTCTGGAAGAGCAGCAAGTACTCATAACTGCTGAGCCACCTCGCCAGCCCTGACTTCCTGGTTTTCAGTGACACAGACAGTACAGATGCTAATTTGACTGCTTTTAGGTACTCTGTTGTTATCCTTCATGTGCTCGTGAACTCTGACACTGGTACTGCCAACATTAAAACAGACTCATTAAACATACCATTTAAAATAGACTCATTAAACACGCAGTTACCTTTGATTAAGCACTAAGATATACCAAGGGCTATATCTATTGTCTATAATAACTGTATATAATTATACACTGTATAATTTGATATTCTAATAATATCATCATAAATTTGTTCTTCCTGCTTCCTCTCTGGGAAAGAGACAAAGGAACAGCAAATGACTTTCTAGAAGCCACGGCATGTGAGTGGTACAGCGAAATTTAGTGCCAGGTCTGTGACAACCCCAGGGTCTTTCTTTCCTCCCAACGGGCACACAAGTTTCTCTGTCATCTTTCAGATATTTCCAGAAAGTTCTGGGACATGGGCAGCTAAATAGGTCACCAACACACACCACTAGGGAGAATCCCGGCTGGGTGACCTCAACTGATTGGTGAGAATGTACTAATTGCATACTTTTAGTTTGTGTTCCTGAGACTGTACCAATGGTATCATTTTACATAGTGATAGACACCACATGGTATAAGTGACGCCGCCCAGCTACCCGGAGTCATTGAGAAAGCTCACTTTGCAAATCCATGCTCAGCACCAACTGTGCTTCCTGGATCACAATGACACCAAAGACACAGCCTGGAACGCACCCCAGCATCCCTGCTTGTAGGAGTACATGTGCTTGAAAGCCATTGGTCAACTTCATCTCAGTCACTTTTGCACGCTGTCATTATGTTATACACACGCACACAGTCCTTTCAAGTACTTTGCATGAAATCAAAATAGGAACTGGAGCATGAGTCTGCTAAAGAAGACAGACACTCCCCTCCTCCCTCATTGGCCATTGACTGCTGACAGTTTCCTCACTTGGGGGTGGGCTGCAGCCCTCTCCTGTGAAATCCTTATTAGTGCCCTACACCCATGGGAATACATGCAGTGCTAATTGAACTCAGGGGGCCAGAAGGAGGAGAAGTAGTAAGAGGAGGAGGAGGAGGAGAAAACATGAAGTTGGGAGGGGTACGGGGGTGATCTAAATACATCTGCGAAAGTATCAAGGAATTTTTTAGAAAGAGATGAACTTGCACTTAGGACCCGACAGAGTAAGAGCTGAGTACTCCTTAACTGACTAGAAGTATAAATGGGCGAATGGAGCTGAGTTAGAGAGTGAAATGTGTACCTTTAGATGAATGAGGCACCCAGATCTCTCAGTGACCGCATGGTAAAAGCTGAGGTTGGCATGTGCAGAGGGGAATCCTCCTGCCTCATCTAGGGGCTCATCCTGCCTTCTACATCTCCTCCAGAAATCCGATCTAGATGGGCTAGTCACTGCATTATTAATAAAAATTGTTTTAGTAAAAATGATCCCTCCCTAGGACCCTTGATCAGAGTGCAGCTGGATTTGAGGGGGTTTGTGTGTCCTTAGTGGGGACAGGTAGTTTCTGGGGGTGATAAAATTGATAACACTTGACACTGCGTATACTGTGGAAATTTGTGCACATTTGCTCAAAAGATACTTCTTCAGGACACAGAGCCCTTGAGCAAATTGGGTCTTTCTGTTTGTTTTGTTTTGTTTGTTTAAGACAGGCTTGCTCCATGGTTGTCTCGAAGTCACAAATCCAAATGACTCTTGTGACTCAGCCTCCTGAGTAACTGGGACTATATGTGAATGTCCCTAAGGTGATCTTATGCACAGTGGTGACTCAGATGTAGCCAACCTGCCGTCCACGGGCTACATGAAGCCAAGGATGATAATGAATGCGGTCCAACACAAAACTGTAGACTTTTTTTTAAAGGGTAAGATTTTCTTTGTGTTGTTAAAACAAAATTTGACTGCACAGTTCTTGTGTGAACTTTGTACACTACTGCACAGTATTGCAATATCAAGTGTGGAGACACCCAGATCTCATATTTTCACTCTGGGGCTGTCCCTGGATTTATTCAAGGCTAAAAATAAATGTAGTCTTTGGATCAGTGTGTAGATTCCAGCAGGGATGCTGAAGAGAAATGCCTGGGTCTACACTGCTTCAAGGTATGCCCTCTCCTCTATCTTTAGAAGACAGTATTGTGAACTGTGGTGGTTTCATTGACTGAGATGTCTAGTTGGATATTGGAAAAAAAAAACTCCTGTGGGCCATGCTGAATGGAGGGATCCAGTTCCTCCTCTGAGCTTGAATTTGCTCTATTTTACCCTTCCTAAGTTGGCCATTTTCTATTCAAACACTTCCTTGGATAGCAAATCTACCTCCTGGTAAATCAACCCACTCTATTGTTGAACATCTCAGAAGAATGAGAGCCTAACTGAGCTTCCCAAGCACCACGGCAGAGAGAGTTGTAATGAAGAGATACCCATCTGGTGGAGTGAATCGGCCATTAGGTTTGTGTGCCTCTAGTCTTGACTTTGATTCAACACCACAAAAGGCATACTGCTGGCATCAAAGGTCTTCTTAGAACTGTCAAATAAGAAATGTCATTTTTGTAAAAAGCATTCAATATTTACCGTTGGAGGTGAGGTGGGCTCCAGATGGAATTTGTCTGGAAAAGCTCTGCTTAGACTCAGGTGTCTGGCATGCTGGTAATACTGTCAAGACAAAGCCAATTCACATGTTAAAACATGTTACTTCAGTAATGAGTTAAGGATACAAGGTCCTATCTTTCTAAACCTGAAAGATCTATCTCTACATTAACGGCTATGTAAGACTGTACTTATCCTGGGCTGTCATGTAATAGTTTACTGTATCAGACATTGCGTTGGCCAATAACTAGCTGTATATTTGAAGGTGGGGAAATCTATGTCCCAAGTTTGAGAATCAAAGAAGAAATGACCATTTATAGCTCTATTACCTGTCAACATACATGCCCAGAAATACCACAAAATATTGAGGGATATCAACTGCAGTGGCCATGTTGAGCTTTGGATTGGATATAAACATGACAGGAAATTGCTTCAATTCTTTGATATTGAGATACATTAGACACTAATCTTGCCCAGACCTAGGCAGAGAACAGAACCTAAGGCCCAGCCTTCCTGTTCTTGGTTCAAATGAGGTAGTGGCATTAACTACTTAGGTCATGCTGAGCACAAACATTATTGGATGTAGATACTCAGCAGATGGCTACACCAATTCTTGACCAGGAGAATTCAATAATATGCAAAAAGCGTATTTCAGGAAAGCTAAGGTGCTTCATTTAGTAATAAATCACTCAGTTTTAAGATATGTAGACACCTGCGTTACACCCCTATGGTCAAGTGAGTGGAGGCGTTGCCTGTACTTGCTGCATTTACAGATAGTGTCCACGTCCTTTCCACCCTGCGTTGTTGAAAAATACGATTGCATTATCCGTGGAGTGAAAAACAAGTAAGGTCTTTGCTCTCAACATTTCCTCAACTCCACAAAGCCTCTCTGCATGCCTTTATGCATCAAGCTAAGCGCTACATCTGACAGACTTGCAAGAAGACTTGGGTTTACAGCTTTGAGGCTTCACATTCAGTTAAAAAGCACAGAGACACACCCTGAGATTTCAGCACCTGTGCTACTGAGTTGATTTTACACAGATTGGAACCAAAGGCAAGGTTTTCACTGTAGGTTTTCACTGTGCAAGGTGATCCCAACGTGCTCCTCCTACTCCTGAGGTGCTTGCTCACCCTGCCTAGGTATCTCCAGTCCAGAAGATCTGAGAGCCTCTCTGTGCGGTTCCTCTGGATGATTCTCTGACGGCGTGACTGTTTGCAAAACCCATAGAGAAACTGAGTCAGCTGATTGCAAGAATCATCTGGAGATCGGAAGCGCCGGTCGACTATGTAAATACCTGGAGAGCACACACATATATCAAAATCCGACTTCCAACTCTGTCAGTGTAAATACCTGGAGAACACGCACACAAACCAGAACGTGACTTACTTCCAACGTATTACCTAGGTTCCACCAAAGACCAGAACCAGCATGTCTTCAGCAATTGCCTAAGCTACCACCTTCACTCTGTCTTTCCCCCTCCTAAGGCTGTATGCTTTCTATGATCTTCTAATTATTAAAAATCATTGTCGACCCTCTGCCAACAAAGCAGATCTTACCTTTAAAAAAAGATATGTAGCCCTCTGGGTCAGTAATTCTCTAGGAATTGTTACAAGCCAGCAACACCAGGCAGAACCTGTATCATCTCCTCTTCCCCCACTCTCCCACTTGCAGCCTCACTGAGAACTAGCAGAGGAGAGCTGCCCCCTGCAGACTCAACTGCTAAGAAGTAGGCAGAGAACACATCCTGAATTGAACTTTCTTGTTGCTAGGCAACATGAACTGATTGATACACAGTGAAATGCAAATCGTCCTACAGTCTTTAAAAAAGTGTTGGTGGTTTTTTTCTACCTTGGCATGGATCTTTAAAAGATTAAACGTATTCTCTATAGATTGACCAATATGCATACTCCAAGACCACAGCCACTGAGCTATTGCTCCTAGGACTTCAGGGAAAACATTTTATCACCATCACCAAAAAATAAGTTAAAGGCAAAGTTTGCCCAAGTTCCACCCTTTTGCAATTCTTGGGAACAGTATATTCAGTACTAAGAATATTCTTCCCTACGGATCTCCTACTAAATTTACTTTTTATTAAATGAGAAATATAAACTTTAGTTTCATTTCAGGACAGTTTTAGCATTAAATCCCGTGAATACCCTGAGGGCCCAATGGGGAAAGAACTCACCATACGCAGTAGGGTCAGCCACATGCTCCTGCATGAAACACCCAAAGCCTGAGAGGTTTGTTGTCACACTCGGGATGCCCATGACCGTGCATTCGGCTGCCAGAGAATGGACAAAGAACAGAGAATGAGCTTTGGACCCCACTCTCAATGCTCACAGGCTTGTGGAGAAAACAAGTCCTGTTTGCCTGGTGGTAGACGGTTACTCCCTGCCAGGCATGGTATAAACCCTTTATGTGCATATGTAATCTCTCACCCATCCCATGAAGGGATGCTGACATCATCGCTCTCTGACGGGTGAAGAAATTAAAGCATGGGGAGTTGATGTCACTTGGCCTCCTCATAGAATCGGGGGACATGGGGAGCTGGGGCTTGAAGTGAGACATCCAGTCCTAGAGTCCTTGCTGGGACCTGCTGCTCTCTGCTGCCCAAGCCCAGCTGCCTGTTTTATGGTTGAGTCTCGTTCCGTTCTGAGCTTGTGACTCTGCCTGGCAACTTCATGGGGTTAGGGTGTGTGCTTGGACACAGCCAGGTTCTCCCCTACCGTAATCCCCTCTATGCAATCCCCGCTACTCTCTTACCCCCTCTATGCAATCCCCGCTACTCTCTTACCCCTCTATGCAATCCCCGCTACTCTCTTACCCCTCTATGCAATCCCCGCTACTCTCTTACCCCCTCTATGCAATCCCCGCTACTCTCTTACCCCTCTATGCAATCCCCGCTACTCTCTTAAGGGTGCAGTGAAATCGTGGCATGTTTCAGTCTTCCCTCGCCTTTTGATTAAAACCTGCTTCCCACAAAATATCTGAGCTATCTCTAAAAATACTTTATTTCAAAGATAGCGACACTTTTCTTTGTTCGTTTGTGTGTGAGTGTGTGAACCTGTGTGCACACATTTATTTGGAGGCGAAATTTCCTCAATTGGTCCTCCACCATATTCATTTAGGCAAGGTGTCCCCATCAAACCCAGGGCTTGCCAATGTGGCTGGTATGGCTGGCCATCTTTCTCTGGGTATCCCCTTCCTATTACCTCTGCGGTTGGAAGAACAGGCTTATCGCCAGTCTGATGAGGTGTTTGGTGGGTTTGGGGGATCTGAATGCTGGTCCTTGTGCCAACATCTGAGCCCTTTAACTCTTGAGCCATTTCCCTGTCCCAGCATCTACTTTTTTTTTTTTTTTTGGTTTTTCGAGACAGGATTTCTCTGTATTGCTTTGGAGGCTGTCCTAGACTCACTTTGTAGACCAGGCTGGCCTCGAACTCACAGAGATCCACCTGCCTCTGCCTCCCGGCATCTACATTTTAAACAAGTTATGTACATTTATAGAAATACTCTTGGCTCTTGAATGGAGACGTATATAAGAGGCGTGCTATTACATGTGGTGTAGTTCAGCTTAAATCATGGCTTTGTCTCCTCTGCTTGTGAACACTTCCTCTTGGCTCATCTCTTCAGCTGCCCAGCAGTGTTTTTGACTTTCAGGGATGTGGCAGAAGGAGTGTGGATGGGGATCACCAACTTCTTTGAAATCTACTGAAAATTTTGCAACTCCTCCTTAGAATAATGCATATACACAAAATTTTGCCTAAAATACCATGGGATTCCAAAAACCCTTACTTTCATTCTTATTAGGTAATTCACTAATGTATTTTGTAGTAAAAGCCAGGGGCTCGTGAAAATTCAATGCATGTCCCTTGAATGAGTTTAATAAGTGTTTCTTAGGCCTTCTCAAAGCTCAGTGCTGGTGTCTTAGCTTGATATCTACTGTTGTCCTAAACACCATGACCACAATGGGGAGGAAAGTGTTTGTTTCACCTTATGTCTCACGGTCTATCTTGAAGGGAGGCACCTGCAGGCAGGAAGGTCATGGAGCAACACTGCTCGCTGGCTTTGTCCTCTGGGTGTTCTCAGCGTTCTTTCTCATACAGCCCAGGCCCAATTGCCCAGGAGTGACACCACCCGCAGTGGGCTGGGTCCTCCCAGGTCAATCATTAATCAAGGAAATCCCCCACAGATTTGCTTACAAGGCAATCTCATGGAGGGATGTTCTCAAGCGAGGTCCCCTCTTCCCCAAAACCTAGCTTGTTCCAATTTGACAAGAAATGAAAAATATCCAGCGTAGCTGGCCTCAGCGAATGCTTTCCATAGTTAGAACAGCATCGTATTGTCGTTATAAAAACAAATTAGAGGTTACATATTATGAGAAGGCTCATCTATACCACAGAAAGGCTTGCTTTTCTGTCAAGTATCAATTTGGAGGGTGGCTGAGTCTCTTTGGTGGTCTAAATATAAGATGGCCGCACAGACTCCTGTGTTTGAACAGCTGGTGGTGGCATTTGGGGAAGCCGTGAAACCTCTAGGAGGTGGAGTCGCACTGGAGGAGAGCTTTGGGTTTTATAGTCTCTCTCCACTGCCTGCTGACTCTTCTTCCTGAGTCTAGATGCAACCGTCTAGTCCAGCTTCCCTGCCTTCCGTGTCTGCTGCCATTATCTTTTCTGTCATGGCAGACTATACATCGCTGGGACCAAACGCCCATAAACACCTTTCTTCCTTAAGCTGTTTTTTATTTGTTTGTTTGTCACGGAATTTTATCAAAGCAACAGAAAAAAAAACTAACATACTAATTTTGGTCAATTTAAAAGTACAGAAAAACTATGTTAACACAACTCCCTTCCCTGGTCTCTATCTCGTAAGTTCTTCTTTGTCCTTTATCTTAAGACATTAGGTAAACCTTCTCTACAATTTGGGGTCCTATGGAGTGAAGTGTTGGGAGCCTGGAGAGATGACTCCATCCTTAGAGCATTGGCTGCTCTTTCAGAGGACCCGGATTTGATTTTCAGCTCCCACATGGTGGCTTACAACCCTCTGTAAATTCAGTCCTGGAAGATCCACGCCTCTCTGGCCTCTGGGCACCGCAAGCATGTGGTGCACAGACACCCATACAGGCAAAACACGCATAGGCTTAAAATAAAAGCAGAATGCCTTAAGTAAAAGATGCTTTGCCTGGCGGTGGTGGTGCACGCCTTTAATCCCAGCCAGTGGAAGGCAGAGGCAGGTGGAGCTCTGTGAGTTCAGGGCCAGTCTGGTCTATAAAGTGAATTCCAGGACAGCCAGAGCTGTTACAAAGAGAAACCATGTCTCAAAACAACAACAACAGCAACAAACATTCAATGGAAAGGCAGCTGTTACGTTGATAGCAATCTTTGCACTGAGGGGAATGTCCTCCCAGTCCCCTCAGTCATTCGTGCATTTGGTTTTTTCCTACTCTATCCACAAGAGCTCTCCCTATGGGAAAACTGCACTGCACGCTGCAGGAGAACTGCACTGCACACTGCAGGAGAACTACACTGTACTGCATACTACAGGAGAACTGCACTGCACACTGCAGGAGAACTACACTGTACACTACAGGAGAACTGCACTGCACACTACAGGAGAACTGCACTGCACACTGCAGGAGAACTGCACTGCACGCTGCAGGAGAACTGCACTGCACGCTGCAGGAGAACTGCACTGCACGCTGCAGGAGAACTGCACTGCACACTAGGAATCATGGGAACAGGGATGCATGACAAGTGTTTGGTTCATCAGCAAAATGTGTGTTTTGTTTAACTTTTTATAAAATATGTGACTAAAATATTTTCTGTGGACATTTCCTAAAAAGGAAAACATTTCAACAATGTAGATGTGACTCTAATAGTAAGTTTTAGAATTTCAAGGGAGAAAGAACTAGACAAATGCATTTTATGTCAAATTTCACATTTGACAGTTATATTTTGTCTGTTAATGTTTTAATAATTTTCTACTGCTGATTAACTATATGGGTGGAAGGTAGAAATTCTGGGTGCAAAATCACCTAAAAGAGAAAATACTAATGAAGAAAAAGGAAAGATCAAAAAGCAAATCCTTTACAGTTTGCTTATTCCAATACTATAGAATCCATGTGTTGTAATTTGTTGGGCTTGAATAGTAACAGCTGCAGAGCCTTTATTGTTTGTATTCAGGCATCTGTATTGGCCTGCCCTTGGGCTTCTAATAGGATACACCCTCAGCTGTAGCACCACCTGTTGCACAGTCACTGCATTCCCTTTTAAAAGGGCCCTGACCTCCTCCCATCTTTTTCTATCTCCCCCTCCCTCTCTTCCTCTCCTACCTGTCTCTTTCTCTTCCACCACTCTTGTCCCCAGGGACCAGTCTCTGCCCCTGTTTCTGCCCCTTCTTTCCCCTCTTCTAATAACCCTCCTATATGAATCCTATTGTATGGCGCAGATTCTCTTAGCAGCGTTTTTTAAATTACAACACTTGTACTGCTCATATTCTAATGGTTATGGTATTCTCTCCTTATGGAATTCTAGATGCTGTATTTAAATACTAGAATGAAAATACAGACATGGGATCTGGAGAGATGGCTCAGTGGTTAAGGGCACACACTGCTCTCACAGAGACCCTGGGATCAGTTCCTAGCCTCCAAATGGTGGCTCACAACCATCTATAACTCCAGGTCCAGGGTATCTGATATCCTCTTCTGGCTCCGGAAGGCATTACATGCATATGGTATGCACATACATACATGTAACCAAAACAACTATACACATGAAAAAATTTAAACATATGGATACTGTGGAAGTTCTTCTCTTTAACAATCCAACCTAATACTTAGCCTTTATCTGGCTTCTGCTGTCCCTTAAGCTGCAGGTCAATTTTTTTTAGCATTTTGTTTAAAATAAGTAGAATTTACCTAGATCAGGAAGGTATTTATTATTACCAACAAGACATGGGAAAGCTATTCCTGTCCTTTTACTGGATTGTTGGCAAACTGTTTGCTTTTTATTTATTATTTATTTAGTGGTGCTGGGGATTGGAGGCACAGCCTTGTACACTCTAAGCACATGCTCCATCATTAAGCTACACCTCAAGCCCATGTTTACCTTTTAAAAAGACACTTAAGTACAAAGGTAAATCCATCACTCTCGCGAATGGTAACAATACCACTTAGGGACCAGAAGAGAGAATGACCAATAGTGGATCTGAGAATTCACTATCAATTTGAAAAAGGAAATAAACGGAGGTGGTAGAGTTCCTGAACATATAATGGCATTAGCTACAATACCTTACACACCACTAAACACCATGCTTTCTTAATACTGCCTGTGTTTTCAGGGCTGACTTTTGTTTTACAAAATCCAATTAAATTTTTAAAAATTAACTGCATTCTTCTGAGACAGCTTCTAATGAACCATATTGGAAGACTAATAATTTTCACACCATGTCTATTTAGTTTCTGTTTCACATTAATGAGGTCTATAGAGATAACCAAAAAGTATGCACACCATCCTCATAGGACGTCTGCTCCCTCTTTGGAATGCAACGAAGCAATGGGCTTAGCCTGCTCAGGAGGTAGCAAACCCCACTGTAGCACAGTCACAGGGGTTCCGTCCCCACTCTTAGGTTAGGATCTACAGAGCAGTATAAAATTGATGCCTGAATGGATCCAACCCAAATCACTCCTTAAAGGAACCCAGAAAGCAAAGCCTCAGTAGAGATTTCCTGTCAACTTTAACATTGCATACTCACACTTGAAATAACTTGCAAGCAAATCAGAATCTGTCCATAATCGGCACATGTCACATACCTGGAGTGTAACCCCAGGGTTCATAGTACGATGGAAATACCCCAAGATGACAACCCCGGACAAACTCTTCATAATCCATGGGTAGCAGGGGGCTGGTGGAGGACAGAAATTCTGGGTGTAAAATCACCTAAAAGAGAAAGTTCTAATGAAGAAAATATAGCAACAAAACAAAACATAAAACAACCAAACAAACAAAAAACCCTTCGACCCCCAACCGAAGAGTGGATAGAGAAAATGTGGTACATTCACACAATGGAGTACTATTCAGCAGAAAAAAACAATGGAATCCTGAGATTTGCAGGCAAATGGATGGCACTAGAAGAAACCATCCTGAGTGAGGTAACCCAATCACAGAAAGATAAACATGGCATGTACTCCCTCATATATGGATTTTAGACTTAGATCTGGGGAGTCCCAGCCTACAATCCCATGGCCAGAGAGTCTGGGAAACAGAACCTTCATTCAGTGGCTGATAGAAGCAGAGTCAGACTCCCACAGCTAAGTGCTGAGCTGAACTCAAGAAAGCCAGTGACAGAGAGGGAGGACTGATGACCAAAGGGGTTAAGACTGGGCTGGTTTAACCCCCAGAAACAGCTGACCTGACAAGGGTTAGCTCTTGAATCCCAGACTGATGCCTGGGAATCCATCATGGGACTGATCAAGACCCCCTGAATTCGGGTGTCAGTGAGGAGGCCTAGGTAATCTATTGAGCCTTGGGTAGTAGATCAGTATTTATCCTGGGTATACAAATGGACTTTGGGCTCCCATCCAACAATGAGAGATGCACTCTCACCCTGAACTCTTGAGGGAGGGTCTAGGCCTTGCCCTGGATGAAATGACAGACTATGGACACCCCATGGAGGGCCTCACCCTCCCCGGGGAAATGAGGGGATAATGGGGGGGTTGGTGGGAGGGTGTGGGAGGAGGGGAGGGAAAAGGAGAGGGACCTGGAATTGACATGTGAAGCAACCTTGTTTCTAATTTAAATTTAAATTTAAAAATAAAATATTAAAAAAAACCCTTCTATACTTCCTTCAATCCTAGAGAATCCATGTGTTTTATGTTCAGGGACAGAGGGAAAGGTAAGTCACAAAGAAGTTAGCCTCTCCTTTCCTCCTTCCTCCACTCTGTAGCGCAAAGTCTCTTGACTTTGCCCTTTATCTCCAAATGTTGGTTCACAGGGTGGAGCGTTAGCATGCACACTTTCTGACTTCACACTAAACTAGCCCCTCAGGTCTTCTTCAGCCTTGTTCCCCAACGAGAGTTTTATTTGTTTCTCCAACTGCCAATCCCTGTCTTTTTTGTCACTCTGTTCCCAGTTAAGCAGGAAAGAGGAGATGGGATGGATCACTTGTGACCTACACATGAGTTGTCTGAGAGAAATAGACCCCGGGGGAGGAAGATATTGAAACAGACCTGTCCAGATTAGACCATGCCATTCCCTCTCACCAGATTAGACCATGCCATTCCCTCTCACCAGATTAGACCATGCCATTCCCTCTCTCCCAGAGGCAGTTACTACCTACCAATGCTTGCTTTTATCCTACAAAGCTCTCTAGTCCACACAACAACTGGAGTGTCCTGCAAAGATACGATTCATGCCTCTGCTCAAAAGTCACACTTGACTCAAAGAAAAATGCCACACGTACATAAAGGCCTGTGCCGGTGTTCAAGGAAATACCTTAACTATATGGATATTCTGGAAAAGACAGACTTGTCAGGAGTTAACAAACTACTATTCAGCAGTGCATATGCAGAGCACTAAGACTGTTTAGGACAGAAAAGCTTCCTACTCGTGCTACAGTGACAACTACACGCCTTTATTCGTTTACCCAGACTCAGAATGAACAAAACCAAGATGAGCCCCAATACGAAGGACGTTGGAGAGGTAGCAATGTGCCAACGGAGACTCATCACCTCCAGCAAACAGACCGGGCTGTGAGGATGTTACAGAAAGGAGGGGGTGCCTGAATGAGATGCCCAGCAAATGGGAACTGGACAATGGTCTGGAATCAAAGGCTGTCAAAAAAGTGTGTACACTGGGCTGGGAAGATGGAGGCATACATAAAGGGCTGACTGCACTAGTGGGCATAGCCCGCACAATAACCAGATGGGGACGGAGAGGTGGTTCAATGGCTAAGAGCATCATTCCACCAAAGGACCTGGGTTAGATTCCCAGCACCCACGTGGTGACTCATAACCATCTGTATGTAGTTCTGGTGTCAGCGTATCTGATTAGTTCCGGTGTCAGCCTATCTGATGCCAGCTTCTGGCTTTCTTGGGTACCAGGCATACCCAAGGCATACAACCATCCATTCAGGCAAGACACCCACGCACATAAAACGATAACAAAAACATCACTCTGTGTGGAAAGAATTTGTCATAGTAAACACACTGGCAGGGCCACGGAGGTGGCTCATCAGACACCGCGCCTGTCACCAAGCCTGACAACCTGAGTTTGATCCCAGGAACCAAAGGTGGAAGGAGAGAGAACTGACTCCCACAAGTTGTCCTCTGACCTTTTCATGAAATGCCACGGCACGTTATATGAATAGATATAATTTTGAAATAAAAAGAAAACGCTTAAACACATAACTCTTACCAGAGTTCTCCCATAAAGTATGTTTTAGAATTTATTTTGATCGTTAAAAAGTAGGTAATTTCTTTTCTCTTACTGGTAACATTGTGCAATTAAAACAAATGTTAGGATTAAAGCTAAGAGTTAACTAATATCTAAGAGTAATTACCTAAAACAAGAAGCAGAATCAGTTTTCTTAGAAGTGTTTAAATGTTTGTTTGTTTGGTTTTTTTTACAGAAGATGTTAAAATGATGAAGAGCTCGCAATAAATTCCCTCCAAAGTATACTCTATACAATTCTTTTGTTGGTGTGTGTGCATGTGGGCATGGGAATTTATGTTCTAGTAGGTGTGTGTGGATGTGTATGTGTGTGTGTGTGTTTGTGTGTGTGTGTTCATATCATGCATTTGTGTGTGCACGTGTGTGGAAGACAGAGCTCAGCCTGGGGTGCTGTTTTTAAGGAGTGCTCCATGTCACTTTTTGAGGAAGGGTCTCTTTTTGGCCTGGAGCTCACCAATTAGGCCAGGCTGACTTGCTAGTGATCAAGGATCCTCTGGGTTCCCTGAGCACTGGGTCTACAAGCGTGTGCCTACAGGCCATGCTGTTAGTGTGGCACTGGAAGGTGGCCTCGTGTTGTCACGCTTGCATGGCAAGCATTTTACCAACTGAATTTTTGCCTTGGCCTATTCTGCACATTGTTGAAGCAGTTTATAACAAAGCAATTAGTCCCACCTTGACTCTGTCTGCACGATTGTTGAAAAGTCCAATCCGTCTGATGGTGCTGAGAATGGGATCCGTGGAGTCATCAATCATGTTGTGAGTGGTGACAGGCGGCAAAGACTGTCTCTGAGGGAACAGGAAGAAAATGTTGGTGGTGAAGAGCATTAATAAGCGTGACTCATTTCTGCAAAAGGCCACTGACATCTCATGCACCCTCTGCACTCAGCCCTCTAAGATGACACTCGCTTTGAAAACTAAGCTTTTCGTAGTTCTGGGGAAGAGAAAGAGTTCCAGAACTTTCTTCACAGACAAGAACAGAAAAGTTTCTGCCTTCCACCCACCCCCATGCAGCTACTGTATGAAAGGCTTCTGGATTTTATTCTAGAATGTGACGGTACTTTCGAATCTTCATTCAAGATGAACTTGATTCACTGGAATTGTCCAGCAAACCACACTATTCACAGGACCCCCCCGTGCATGTCTAGGACATTACATTACATTTTAAAATAATTCTGCTCAGCTGAGAAACGCTGGCAATTTCTCTACTATGGCAGGGATTCTGCACTTTTGGAGATTTGTTGTTATTGTTATAATGGACATAGTTTTATAACTGAGTATATTGATTCAAAAGGAATTCTATGAATGTGTTCAAAGACAGAATTGTGAGGTTTGTAAAAGAATCCTTTAAAATGATTCATAAAAGCACATTTACAATTATTCAAGTGACTATTTAAGAGTACTTTTCTGGGTAGACAAAATGTCTCAGTGGTCAAAGGTTCTTGCTGCGGAGTCTGATGTTTTGAGGTCCATCTCTGGGACTCACACGGTGGAGAGAAAGGATCTAACTCCATCAAGTTTTCCTCCTTCCACAAGACTTCCACGAGCCCAGCTCCACAACCACAAATACACATACAATGGAAAGAGAATATTTTTCCAGCTCCCATATCTGAAATTTCCTCATTTATCAAATTCCTTCCTCTGAATGAAGAAAGTACTGCCTAGGTTGATTTTAATAATGAGAGATGGCAGGTACTTTTAAATTTTACTTACCTGAGTCGAAAAAATGGCTCTTTTCATAATTGTTATGTCATCTCGATCCAAGATACTATTCATGTCAGGAATTTCTCCTCTGTGATGACAACGGTGTTAAAAATAAGAACAGGGGGCACTAGTCAAGTGTTTTCTAACTGCCAGGCACATGTAGTTCATTTATTGTAATGAATGATGTTATTTATTGACATATTAGCACAGATTTAATATATGAATATTTAGTATTTACTTGCTATATTAAATCAAAATATACTTGAACTCAGAAGCTCCTTCAGGCACACACTGGGGTACTAATGAGTACCCACTGAATAAGAACCCGTGTGTGTGTATGCACACATGATCTCATAGGCGTAAGCTGTTTACTGATATTGTCAAATGAAAGGCAAAATGCTGGTGCTCATATGACATCTTCAAAGGCTACCAGTCCCATTACATTTGGAACAAACTGTGTGAAAAGTGAATAAACTGTGATGTGTGACTGTGAAGACCTAAACGTTGGCGTGTAAGTTGTTCAAGGTGCTCACCTCAGTAACCCATCGTAGAGTTTCTTTCCAAACTTCTCCTTCATAGCGTGTGCGGTGTCCCTGTTTGGCATAGACAGAGCTCTGATTCAGATGGAATCAAAACGTTTCATATTCACCTTTGGGGGGTTTAAATGAGAATGACATCCATAGGCTCAGATCTTTGAACGCCTAGTCCCTAGTTGCTGGAACTGTCTGGGAAGATTTAGGAGGCATGGCCTTGTTGGAGGAGGTGTGTCACTGGAAGTGGGTTTGGAGGTGTCAGAACGCCCATGCAATTCCTAGTTAGCTCCCTCTGCCTCATGTTTGTGGATCAAGATGCAAACTTTCAGCTACTGCTTAAGCATCACTCACATGCCTGCGCCAGCCCCGACACCCACTCACCTGCCTGCCCGCCCACCTGCCTGCCTGCTGGCTGCCATGCTCCCCACTGTGATGGTCATGGACTCTAACCCCCTGCAACTGTGGACGCTGAATTAACGTTTTTCTTTGTAAGTTGCCTTGGCCATGGTGCTTTGTCACAGCAACAGAAAGGTAACTAAGACATCATCTGTTGTGAAGGTGCTGTTGTCTCATTGGCATTCCTTGAAGCTACAAATATATATTTTTTAAATATAGCCCCTCCTCTTATATCCCTACTGGCTCATATAGCTTGGTTGAAAAGAATCCAGGACCAAGGTCACAAAACATTTGAACAGCCCAGAGAGCTGCAATCCTTTTTTGCTCGAGGTAACTGGGGAATGGTTAAGAGCACGGAGAGTCAGTGAACGGAGGCGTAGACAGAGCGGGTCTGGGCTGAGTGTAGATGGAGTCATCATACTCATCCCCTTGCTTTGGGGTACACTTTAATGTTCCCATCTTTAAAACCCATATGTGGATACTCGCTCATTCTGTGGTGTTTGTTAGGAACTTTTCCCAGTACGGCGCCCACTGTCTTGCGAGCTTTGCACAGTCTAACACAGCGGCTAGCCCCAGGAGAAAAAAACCACATAGCATTTATGCTGTAGTCTTAAAAGAAGAAGCAAAGCTCGAGGGCACAGTTCAGAGGTCACACACTTAGGCAAAACTCCCTTCACTCATTGCCTGAGAGGACCGACAAATGGGAGATTACCACAGCTGTTTCCGCACCGCCTGGCCCTTCAGGGTTTCCACGTTGAAATTGTTTGTCTTGGCAGGCATGATGAAAAACACCACCACAGTGACGTTACTCTTATGCATCTGAGGAGGGTTAGAAAACACAGTAGCGTCACCTAACAAAGATCAAAAAGCATCTGGCACGGGAACCTTAAGCTTGGAAAACTGTTTTCAAGTGTCATGGGGAGAAAGAATGCTGAGCTGTGAGACCTGACTTCCAATCAGGATTTGTCAGTCATGAATATTCCCACACCATTGGCCACGTAAATTAGATAATAGCAGCTACCCATGCCATTGTGTTTTCCTGTGGCTAAAGAACACGTGGGACCTGATTAGGAACAAAAAAAATTCCTTCTTTAAAAATTCAGACTCAAAATTTAATGAGGATTTACTTCTGATTCTTCTTCTAGCTCTTTCTGATCTACTGATTAGTACAAAAATTTTTTTAATGTTTCTGTTTCATGTCTAGATGATTCATGAGATGCATCTTGGCTTTTAGGCCAAAATCTAAAGGAAGAGGGCAAGCATGTGCTTCACGCTCTGATGTAGCAGATTCTGTGCTGGGGCACTTTAAATACACAACTGAACTCCACCCTTACAACCACCACACACATGAGATGTGTGATTCACCTCACATCTTAAGAAAGCATGTTAAGAAGCATGGTATGTGTAATATTCTATCTGCATGCTCATAGCCTGTTAGGAGCAAAACTGATACTTAAACTGTTATTTTTTAGCATCTGAAGTCTATGCTGCCTTGTTCTCTTCCACAAATGTCCTGGGCCTAGCATCTCTCACAGAGCGATGGTGTATATTAAGCAGCTTTGGAGTAAAAGCCTAAGTTCAGTTAAGATTATGAGCATATGGATATCCTTATGAACTAAAATTATAAGACTATGACCTGAGTTGGGGATATCATTCCATCAGTTGTGTGGCCTCTGCCCTCAGTCCATTCAGAAAATCTACAAAAGTCATGGGTCATGACTGCTGTATTATCAAAAAACAAAACAAAAAAAACTACATAGTATGCTTTAATTCTAAGTTGCATGATGATCTTTTCTCTCTAACTTAATAACAATAGGTTTTAATTACTTCATGTCATAAATGTATGGGTTGATTTATTATAATAATGACCCTAAACATGATGCATGTTTGATACAATTATGAGCATGTTTACAAAGCATGCTTTGTGACTATATTCCTAGAAATATGAGCAAAGATTATAGCAGAGTAATCCTTTTCACTTTAATCTTTTATTTTTGCAGATGGTATTATTATTATTAATCACTTTCTTATAATGCAGTTTTAGGAAATATTCATCATACATTGCATAATATCTTTGCTAACAGAAGGGAAAAAAGAATCATATTCCAGAAAAACTTGGAGACGATAATACAGAGCTTAGGAAAACCTAGGTTGTCTCAGTATCTTTTTCTGTTTTAAAAGTGTGCAGGTGTGTGGGTGTGTGTACATGCGCACAGAGCCTGAGGAGATCAGAAGAGGGCATTGATGTCCTGGACTTGAGCTCCAGGAGGTTGTGAGCCACCAGGCGGGTGCTGGGAGCCCAGCTCTGAAGAAGCTTGTGCGTTCAACCTCTGGGACACCTCCTGACTCCCAGCATCTCAGTGTCCCAATAGCACCCAGCTTTTACACTCTGTGTTTGTTCTGCTTTTTAGTTTGATAGGATTGGAATATAAACCCATCACTTTAATCAATAGCTGTGGCGTGAAGCCATTTTCTGTAACTGTCTCCCTGGGGCTGTGCTTCTCTGCTGAGTTCATAGGGAATCTGTTTTTAGGGCCTGCTTCCCGAGCCAAGGTGCAGGAGTAGAACCTTTTCATGTTTCCAGGGATGAACACTTGAAGATCCGTCAACTTGGGCAGCTGGTATAGATGGTAAAGTGGGGTGGAGAGGCTGAGTTTGCAAGGTGTGTCTATTCTGTGGAAGACTAGTGCTGTAACACTCCACTGTTTCACATGCAGAAGGACATGTCTGGATTCGGATTGCTAGGTGTGATGCCAAGGGTGACCTTCAGGACACTATATCATCACCCACATCTGGCTTGTTTTTTTTTTTTTTTTTTTTTTTTGATTTTTCAAGACAAGGTTTCTCTGTGTAGCCTTAGCTGTCCTGGAACTCACTCTGTTAGTCCAGGCTGACCTGGAACTCACTCTGTAGACAAGGCTGGCCTTGACCTCACTGATTCTGCTGCCCCTTGAATTCTGGCATTAAAAACATGTGCTTCCATGGTTTGCCTCTAGTTTCTAATAAATGATATATGGGTTTTAGTTTGTTTGACTTTGCTTTATCTTTCAACAAATTCCCATCAAGGAAAAGAACTATTAGAATGACTTTCTAACATGTAGTACGTATAGTATGAAATTCTGATTTAAAAATGTACTTTAAAGCATAGACAAAGACATGTATGAGTGACATATATAACTCCAATATGTAAATTGAACAGGTAGAGTCATTTCCAGAATGGCATTATCATTTTAAATGTTTAGTACCATTTCTCTCCTCCTCTTCCTCCTCTCTGTCTCTGTCTCCCCTCCCCAGTGTGTGTGTGTGTGTGTGCATGTATGTGTGCGTGTGTGCATGTGTGCATGTATGTGAGTGTGTGCATGTATTGTGTGCATGTATGTGTGTATGTGCGTGCACGTGTGTGTGTATGTGTGTGAGTGTGTGTGTGTGTGTGTGTGTTCAGAGGACAGCTTCTGCAAGTCTTTCCCTCTTTCTATCACGTGGGTTCTGGAGATGGAAATCAGACTTGGTGATAACCTTTTCCGGTTATCATTTTAAGATGTCAAAATCATATTTCCTCTTCACATCCACAGCAGAGCGTCAGCGTGCGACACCCCAGAGCTTTCTTACCCTTAGGAGGAAATTGAGCCTGGATAAGGATTCCAGGAAGATGTCAGCTCCCTTGTTTGAGAACTCATACCTCCCAGCGATGAAAAGGAATAAAGTCTTCTCGAGATCAAAATCCAAATGACTGAAACAAAACAAAGCAACTTCTCATAAAACAGAATAACTGCAACAAAATCCACAGCAGGACGTCTATTCAAGCAGAGGGGGCTAGGGAAAGAGAAGCATTTGCTATAATGCTCGGAAACACCTTGTAAAGGTGTGTGTGTGTGTGTGTGTGTGTGTGTGTGTGTGAGTGAGTGTGTGTGTGTGCGCGCGTGCGTGTGCCTGTGTGTCTTGGAGACCAGAAGACGGTGTCAGAGCCCCTCCCCATGTTAGAGTTACAAGTGGTTGTGAGCCAACTGATGTGGGTGCTTGGAACACAGTTCTGGTCCTCTCCAAGAAGAACGTGTGTTCATAACCATTGAGCCTTCTCTGCAGCCCCAGCGCTTGCTTTTTTTTTTTTTTTAAAGAAACAAAGACATACCCATAGAAATGACCCCGAACAAAATCCTGGATTCTGGCCTTGTACATAACATGAAGATTTTGAAATTCATGCACTGCAGAAAACTTCTTAACATTCAAGCCATTTGGAGTTACTACATCTAGGAAAACAAAATAAAGCCATTGGGAATAGTTCCTGAGAGATAATGTGCATTCTGTCACCTTCAAATAAATAAAGCCCTGAAATTGGTAGTTCCTTAAAGAGACGATTTTGAGTTAGTGTGGGAGGGCAAACACAGGAGGCTCGGTGAGTAAACAGAAGTGGCCCGTGTGGCTTGCTTTTCCAAGGTACTTGGCATGCAACCCTTTAACAGGGCCGCCTCGCCAGCAAAATCTTCACTTTAGAACAGGAGAAGGCAAAGCATGCGTGTAAGCTCAGAGAGGGGCGCTGTGGGCAGAGAAAAACACAGGGAGATCGGGAGAGAGATGAGGACATTGTTGGCTGAACTCTAGGGATCATGAGTGTAAGAATGAGTGAGTCCTACTTGGATCCTTTTGTCAACTTAGTAGCATATCTGGGAAGAGGGAACCGTGATTGAGAAAATGCCCCTGTGAGATGGGTCTATAGGCAACTCTGCAGCACCTTCCCCTCATCAGTGACTGATGTGAGAAGGTCCAGCCCATTGTGGGCGGTGCCTCCTCTTAGGCTGAGCAAGCCAGGCAAAGCAAACCAGCAAGCAGCATTCCTCCACGGTTTCTGTTCCTCCTCGTGTTTCTGCTTCAGTCCCTGCCTTGACTTCCCTTAACGATAGACTGTGATCAGGGCGTGTAAGCTGTAACAAACCCTGTCCTCCCCAAGTTGCTTTTGGTCATGGTGTTTATCATAGCAACTGAAACCCGAATTACGGCAGAGTCCAAGAGAACACCAAATCCAAGGGAGCTTTGGGAAAGAACAAAGAACACAGCATAGCCTATGCTGCCACTGTCCTGTCCCCGGGCACTTGTTTTTCGCTTGCTTGTGTTTGTTGTTTGACAAAACTCATTTATTGAAGGCCCTCCTCTAGGCCCCCAGTGGTACCTGAAAGCAAGGGAACTACAGGAGAGATCACAGCCATTAAGCAAGGGTGATGCGGTACAAACCCAGCCTCCCCAGTTACCAGGTTTCCGCTTCAGCATGTGCTCCGCCTCGATGGCTGTGATTCCGGACACCGTGCTGAACACGTGCGCGCAGTGCACCGAGGCCCGCTCCATGCAGTAGCGGTGATAAATCTGCCTTTCGCCCGCCTCTTTGTCTATGTTGAACTGTGGGAGACAAAAATACATGTTCCGTCTGCGATCTCTTCACAAGCAAGACAAAATCGGTAGTTCACGAGCTCTTCTTCCTCACACTGACAGAAGTCAAAATAACCCCATCAGAGGACGAGTGCGTGTCAAGCCACTTGCTAAATTATAAAACTGGCATTTTAAAAAGCATTGTTTGCTTCATGTCTCCCAGACTGATATTTCATCCCCTATAAAAATTTGATATTTTTTTGCATTTTCTATTCCTTAGTTTATAAGCATAAAGATAGTTGTAGCCTTCAAAGATTTTATATTTTATCATAAACAACGAACCATAAAATAAAAAGACAGTGTAGCAGAATCCTGCAGCAGAAGTGTGCTGGGCCCATACATTTAAAAAAGTTAAAAAAATAAATAAAGGAGGCTGGAGAATGGAGAATGGTCCCGTGGTTAAAAGCACTGGCTGTTCTTGCAAAGGACCCAGGTTTGATTCCCAGAATCCACATGGCGGCTCACAGCTGTCTGTAACTCCAGTTCCTGGGGGATCTGATGCCCATTTCTGACCTCAGCAGGCACTAGGCATGCACATGGCACATGGACATACATGTAGGCAAGACATCTGTATGGATAAAATGAAATTAAAAAATTTTTAAACGAAACAAAGCTGACGCTAAACTTGACATTGACATTTGGATAATTATTATCCTATTAACTTGTTGAGAGAGAAAAGCTGAGAGATTTCCACCACCACCACCCCCCCCCTTGGTTATATATGTCTTCGAAGTTAATGTCAAAGAGTATACGCTCACTTTAAATAATATGTTAGACTGTAGGCTCATCTGTCACTCGATATTATTTTTAGTATATATATTTATACTTATATACATATATTTATATAAGATTTCATATGCATGTTCTGGATATTTTAGCTAAAAACAAAAAACCCAGAAACCAAATCCTCAACGAGCCCTTAAACAGCTGGACTTCTTCTGTTTCCCTCACTCAGTGTTGTCTCTCACAAAGCTTCCTGAGACACTGGCGGTGTCGTAAAAGAGAATCAGACAAACTCCTCTACAGTACTGTCCGATGCCTGCCACGCTGTATTCAGCTCTGCTCTTCACCGTCGTGTTTAATCCCCACGAAACTCACGTCTTCTGTCTTCCTTTTACAGAAGGGGCAACTGAACCTTTCAGAGGTCAGGGAACTTTGCCCAGGATCACATTTCCATTAAATGTCTTATTTGAGGAATGTAATTTGATATGTTTATATATTGCCTAAATCAAAATCTAGTGTGAGCTTGGGATCTCCCACTGTAAAAAAAATGCATATGACTGTAACTCAAAGCCTGATTTTTGACAACTTGTTACCCACTAGTGGATGGCAGAACCATTCACTAGAATGACAGGCTTGAAATACATATGATATATCAGAACATACTTGACATATGTAGTCATCATCCAGGGCATAATGATATAACTATTTAATCAAAGGCTTGTTGCAAGCTATATGTGTCTTATAATGTGTTTGTTCCTAAATAAGACTGTGCATTACAATTATTAGATTTCATTGATTGTTATCTATAAGCCCGCACAGCTCTCTGGAGTGGAGGACTCCATGGGTCACTATCTGTGCCTTATAATGTGTTTGTTCCTAAATAAGACTGCGCATTACACATTATTAGATTTCATTGATTGTTATCTATAAGCCCGCACAGCTCTCTGGAGTGGAGGACTCCATGGGTCACTGGAAGATCCAAACCTGACCTTCTCAGCACAGTGACGAGGTGCACACCACAGGTTTGCCCTCATTAGTGGACAGTTACCGTACACTGTTTGCAGGTCTCTTTGGTCTCCTGGTTTTCTGAATCCCTTGGTGACTTACTGAAAGCCTGGGCCTTAGCTTGGGCTGACCTTTTTGTAGGGCAGCTCTCATTAGCACGGCTGTCTGCACTGTTAGAGGCTTTCAGCCAGGAGCGTCCTTGCATTCCAAATGTGTTCGAGACAGCGGCATCAACTTCCCAGGCTACTGATTATTATTCATGAATGTGCATCCACGAACACACACATTCTGATTCATAGGATCCCAAAACTTTTAATTCTCGGTAAGTTTTTTAAAACTCAAGTTTTCAACTCCCTAATTTTCCTAATAATGAAACCAAACCTTCAAGCGCTAAACTAACTTGATAAGTACAATAGTTATCAAAGACACATGTTTTAGTTTATGATCGTCAGATATGTGCTTTGGATAACCTTTCTGACTTTATAGAAGATGCCTTGAGACTGTAAAGACAGCTCAATGGTAAAGGCACGTGCTGCTCTTGCAGAGACCTGAGTTCAATTCCCAGCTCTCACTTGAGCAGTTCACAACAACTCATAACTCCAGCTCCAGACAATTTGATGTCCTCTTTTGGTCTCCAAGGCACTTGGACACATGTGGCACACACTCACACAGACACATAAATAAAGGTAAAACTGGGAAGATACTTTTATCACGCCAATGAACTGAAAGTTGAAGAAAGATAAAAACTGAATGATCTGAGGTCACAGAATTAGGCAATCAGTAAAATGAGCCATCAGATGTCCACCGCCACTTCCTGTGACACCTGCTCACTGGCCCTGCAAGCTCCTCACCTGTGCACTCCAGAAAGAAGCTGAGGATAAAGCGATAAGGCTCAGATCAGGGAGGTCTACCTAAGACTCCAGCTGTCTACCTGTCAGTCATCAGACCTTGAATCCGGGAAGGAGCAAGAGCCTATGCCTGGCAGTACAGTCTCTCTCTCTCTCTCTCTCTCTCTCTCTCTCTCTCTCTCTCTCTCTCTCTCTCTCTCTCTCTCTCTCTCTCTCTCTCTCTGTCTGTCTCTCTCTCTCTCTCTGCCTCTCTCTCTCTCTCTCTGTCTCTCTCTCTCTCTCCGTCTCTCTCTCCTCTTATGGCCATCTGGGCCTCCCAGCCTCTATATCCAATGCACACAGAGCAAAGTTAAATCCCTTCCAGTTCCATCACCCAGGGCAGCCCTCTCCATGAATCCTGATGAGCTGAAAGGGCATGGCTGCCGTGTGACTGTGAGCTGAAATGCAGAGATCAATAGCTTTCATCTCTGGGCTTCAGGGAGCTGAAGGAAAGGGGACAAGTGGGGCTGGTGGGTGGTTTACCTTGTCAAGCTGGTTGTAGAAGTCAATATTTGCTGCACAGAGATACCGCCCAAGTAGTGTGGCATGGGTTGTAAATATTGTAGCGATGGGGAGTTTCCTGGCACGAGAAAGGACCAGCCCGGTTCCAGCCTGCCATTCATGGAATTGGGCAATGACATGTTTACCGTCTGCGTGATCTGTCACCTGAGTCAGGAGAAAAGCCTTTAGAAAAGTGATTGCTGATGGTTGATCTTGAGAATTGCCCACAGCAGGAGGAGAGATGTGAGGTTTATAAAACGTATCCCTCTTAAAGGAGCCTAAACGAGAAGCGTGCAGACAAGTAGAATTCACTGGTCAAGTCCATATGTTTTTTGTGTCTTAATCCTTCCTTTAAGTAATTGGTCAGATTTATTTTTGTATCCACAGAATAAATACAAATATTATTAATAAATAATATATATCAGCTATACTACTAATAACTTGAATAAACATGCAACAAACAGTAATATTCATTGAGTAAATGACTCAATAACAGAAGTAATGCTTTTGAAGAAGCCAAGGGAATCCACAGTCTACCCATGTGACTCTTTCAAAAATATATCACACACAAACCCTTGCAGAAAATACACCCCCATACCAAACATACGCACACCACACGCACACACACACACAGACACACAAACACACAGACCTTCACAGTAAGCATGTGTAGTAAAGTACACCCAAAAAACACAACACACAAATATATCCCCCTACCAAACACATACACATACCACACCATACACACACACTTTCCCATGTAAAACACATATTTACCACATGCAGCACACACACACACACACACACATACCCCCACACCAAACACACATGCATGCACACATATATAAACATAACCCTACACCAAACACATGCACGCCATACATACACACACCTTTCCGCATAAATATACCCCCCACCAAACACATATTTACCACATACACCACACATACATAAACATAAATATACCCCCACACCAAACACATGTGTGTGCACATACACACACAAACATACCCCTAAACCAAACAAATGCACAACACACACACACACACCCCACTTAATGGCTGGTCTCCCACTTGGGGCCATGGCTCAGCCAGGAAGACTGTAGAGGAAGAGTTGGTGGCACTTACTGGTGCCATGGGACTGTATATCTGTCATTATGACAGACTTTTTCCAAATCACTAACCTGTCTTCCCTTCTACCACCACTAAGAAGCCGCCCGCTCACCTTCTCCAGTCAGTTCTTGGTGAGTATCGGGTAGGACTTCATCAGATGGATCTGGTAAGGGCAGCACCATCACAATACTATGTCCTTAGCGCCCTCCTCACTAGGGGTCTCCTTCCTTAAGATCTGACTTTCCTGTCAGATGTAACCATTTGGAGGTGATAACAGGCCTGCAGGGAAATCCTCCTACTGTGCTTTGAGAAGGTAAGAGAGTAGAGCCTGGGCTCACTTAACAAACTGGCTCCCAGTGTTCTTACACTGTACTCCTCCAGACTAATCTGCTGCTAAGGTTCCTGCATAGCTGCTGAGGCTGATGCAGCCCTTAGTGAATGATGGAAATCTCAAGAAATCACTGTAAGTGCAGTGTGACTCATGCATAGACAAAGTGAACTGTTTCAAGTCTTTCCTGCTGTCTACAACTCACATATATTTTTCATGACTTTTATATATTTATGCATATATTTTGCATATCATCTACATAATCAGGCAATGTAGCTGGGTGTTTATATACATGACTTCATTTAAATATTACATAAGACAAATAGTAATAACTATTACTACTCTGTTCAAAGGTTGGCACATAGTTGAGGAATGGTAAAGACTTCCTTGAAATCCTTTTAAAAATACATTGTGACAATCAATAGAAGCAGTATCTCCAGATTCTCGGGTCATTGCTGGATGCTCAGTGCCGTAGGATGCCCTCATTTCAAACTGTACCTCTTTTAAGAACCAGGCAGTTAGAGACCCAAATATAAGCATGTCGTTGGCTTCTCGGTCATGATGCGGGATGCCAACGCTGCATGCTTCCCAGAAGTCACCCTTCCATCTGTCCAGGTTCCATGCTGAAGAGCTTATGTCAAAAAGCACCACGTATGGACTCCCTTCTATCAACCATCTTCCAAAATACACCTGATACAGAGAGAAAACATAGCCATTGTCTTTTAAGTACAACATAAGGAAGAATGCGTATTTGTGACTTAGAAGCTGCAAACATTTGGAAAGGGTTGTGATTTGAATGTGAAGTGTTTGATCGCTTGGTCCCAACTATTTGGGAAGGTTGTGGAGCTTCTAGGAGGTGGAGCCTCACTAGAGGAAGGCCTTGGATTTCTGTAGCCTGCTGGCCTGCCCTGTGTGCTGCTATGTTGTTCATGCCCCAGGGACTATATCCTTCTGTAATTGCTAGTCAAATACACCCTTTCTCCCTCAGTCTTGTCAGTGTTTGTCATCACAGCCACAACAAAGGGACTAAGACAAAGAAGCATGGCAGACCAAGGGTTAGTGTGAAACGCTTCCCTAAAGACAAAAGCTCATGTGTTGGACCTTTTCTTTTGAGCCACCAGCCAGCTCCCAAATCACGACACAGACCTTATTATTGGTTTTGAATGCTTGGCCTAGCTTAGGCACATTTCTGGCTAGCTCTTTGAACTTAAAAGAACCTGCTCCTCTTTATTTACCTTGCCCTTGGGCTGATTACCTTTCTTACTCCTGTACATCTATCTTGCTTTCCCTGCTTCTCTGTGTCTAGCTGGTTTATTCCACCTGGTGTGTCCCTCACTCCTTCCTCCCTCTTCTCTCATTTTCCTTCCTTCTCTCTTTTTTCTTTTTGAGCCTAGATTTCTCCTCCTATTTATTCTCTCTGCCTGCCAGCCCCATCTATACTTTCTCCTGCCTCGTTATTGGCCGCCCAACTCTTTATCAGACCAATCAGGTGCCTTAGGCAGGCAAGCTAAAATAGATGCAACATATCTTTATATAGTTAAACACGATCCATCCTTATATAATTAGACAAATGCAGCATAAGCAAAGGTAACACAACTTTACACAGAGTAATATTCTAGGTGCATAAACATCTAGGTGCTCATCAGTTGAGAGTTGCTGGAAGATGTGTGTGTGTGTGTGCGTGATCTGCTTTCTGATACCAGCTCACTGAGAGTTACAGAGGGAAGGGACAATTAGAATCTTTTACCTGGCAGCCGTGCTTATTCATGGCATCCATGGCTCTCTTGACAGCATCATTGACGGGCTCACACCGTTCTACTTGAGTCTTCATATTGTGCTCAAAGTAGGGACCTATCAGAAAGTAGTTTTCTCCCCATTCATCTGCTGTTGTTTTGGCCTTGGTCTGAATCACAGTATAGATGCCCCCAACTGTAGAGGAGAAAACATACCATTATTATTCCAGGTGGTAACTCAAGAGATGAATTACTATCTGCCACTGTACCATTTAAAGTAGCATTTCACTTAACTTTTTAAAGGGTGGGATTTAAGATGTTTTGAAGAGTTCAATGTTGGGCCTATTCTAAGCCACTTGAGGTATTTCTCATGGGTTTCACAAAACACTTCAGAGACAATCCCGTGTTTATTTTACAAATGAGTAAACCAAGGCACAGAGAGACTTCTTGATGGACCCGCATTCACACCTTAGGCTGACTCCACAACCTTCAGACAGCAGAGAAAGATCATAACTCAAGACAAGAAGCAATGAATTGACTGGTCTTTAAAAGTCACCGAGGGGAGATACAGCGGGGGGGGCAGGGGGATAAACAGTTTCATGAAAAGATAAACTGTATTGGGTTTCAGAGGGTGTGACGATGGTTTTCTGTTGTGGTCTCAGAAACCCACGTGGAAAGCAAGAGCTCAATGAGGTAGTTGGGATTTAGCTTTCTTAAAAGTTTTAAATGACATTTTTATTTGTATGTACGAAGGGTGCATGTGTGCCATGCCTCATGTGTGAAGACCAGAGGACAGCCTGTGTGTGTTGGGTCTCTCCTTCCACCTTGTGGGTCCCAGGGATTGAACTTGGGTCACCAAGTTTAGTTGCAGATACATTTATCTACTGAGCCATCTCGTCTCTGGTTAAACTTGAGTATTTTTGTGGAGGGGTGTGAATGTGTGAGTGTGTATGTGCTTGTGTATGAGTATGCGTGTGAATGAATGTACATGTGCATGTATACTTCTGTGTGAGTGTATATGTGTAAGAATGTATGTATTTGTGAATACATGTGTGCATATGTTCATGTATGTGTGTATACACATATGTGTAAGAATGTATGTATTTGTGTGTGCATATGTTCATGCATATGTGTATGCACATATGTGTAAGAATGTGTGTATTTGTGTATGTGCCTGTTTTCTAGATACTTTTGGACTAACAAAAAGGATCCCAGTGACTTAGAAAGTTTAGAGCCACAGCTTTTCTTTCTATTTTCTAAGTAGCCACATTTTTATGGTGTGTGTGACCTCTCAGTATGTGTACACTATGCAGTGTTGAAGTCAGGGTAAGCATGCCCCCAGGGAAACTCAATGGAGAAAGCCTGGCAGTTCCCTCTGTAAACGCTAGGTAAGAAACTGTTCATATCCAACATAGTAACAGAAACCCACCCTGGAGCAGAAAGACATGAGGAAGAAATGACCAGTTTCTAAACCAGAGAAAAGAAAGATTTTTGCTATTTGCAGACTGCATAATCTATTATCTAGAAATTGGTGCAAAAACTGCACCAAAAAAAAGTTAACCAGCCTACTAGAACTAACAAATCAGTGAAGTTCTGATGGGATTTGAAGTCCTCACATAGAAGCAATGACATTTCCATATGCCACTGTAAAGAAATCAAGGAAGGCCAGGCAGTAGAGTGGCACACCTCTAATCCCAGCACTCCGGAGGCAGAGGCAGGCAGATCTCTGTGAGTTCTAGGTCATCCTGGTCTACAAAGTAAATTCCTGGACAGCTAGGACTGTTACACAGAGAAATCTTCTCTCAAAAGCAAAAACAAACAAACAAACAAAAAACCCCAAGCCAGGGGCTGCTAAGACAGTTTAAGAGTTAAGAGTTAGCACTGGCTGCTCCTCCATAGGACCCAAGTTTGATTCCCAGCACCCACATCAAGTAACCTACAACCACCTATAACTACAGCCCCAGAGGCTCAGACATCCTCTTCTGGTCTCTATAAATACCTTCACACATGTGGCGTGCACACACACACACACACACACACACACGAATAAATATAAACCTGTTTTGTAAAAAACTAAGTAAAAAAGAACAAAGCAAGAGGAATTATACTACCTGGTTTCAAAGCACACTACAAAAATGTAGTAATCAAAACATCATGGTGTGGGTATAAAGATAAACGGGGATTAGCCAGGTGGTGGTGGTACCCGCCTTTAATCCCAGCACTCGAGAGGCACAGACAGGCGGATCTTTGTGCGTTCCAGGACAGCCAAGGCTGTTACACAGAGAAACCCTGTCTGAAAAACAAAACAAAAATCAAAAATAAATAAGTAAATAAAACAAGAGACAGGGATATCAGTGAAATAGAATAGGAGGCCCAGAAATACAGCCCCACAGCCGCAGGTGACTGACTGCTGACAAGGATGTAAAGAACGCAAGATGACGGGAGGACCTCAGGGACCGATGCTGGGAAATGCGGGCATCTGTGAGCACATGGCAATGGAACCAAGCATCCCCCACAAAACCCAGCCCACATGCGTCCAACACTTCAGCTGGAGATGAGAAGGCCCTGGAGGGAAACACAGAAGACAGTCTTCAGAACGGTGGACTAGACAAGGGTGTTCTGGAGGAGACCCTCAAAGCACAGGGAGCAGCCAAACTCACGCCCAACCAGCCAAAGAAGCAACAAACAGGGTAAACAGAGGCTTGTCCAAGATGAAGTGGGCTGACTATTAGTCTCATGAAGAATTAATAACAACAGCATGTCAGAAACACAGTTCCATAGTGAATCGTCACCCCCATATGGTAAAGGGCAGACCTAAATAGACATTTCTCTAATAGGCTGTTGTTCTCACATCAATCCCTGGGCTATCTGGAAATCTGATAAAAATAGCAGGCTCTCTTCTCAGAAAAAGTCTTACACGAGGCCCATGTAAAGAGTTTGCCATGCAAGCCTGAGGTCCTGACCCACACAGGATGTCATGATCCTCACAGGAGAGGACAGGCAGACGTCTTCGGTTCCCTAGTCAGGCAGTGTAGCCTTATCAAGCCAGTGAGAGAGAGCCTGTCTCAAGAAACAGCCCTACAGCTGTGCACCAAACGGCGAACACATCAGTCCCCAGTGAGTATTTCCAAACACAGACAATGCTGATTAAAGCCAGTGGTCACAAAAAAAAAAAGGCATGAATGTGTGAAAGAGACCTGTAGGACAGGGAAGAGGACAGGTGGGAGACAGTTTATAAAAGAGGGTGGGGTGAGAGCAAATAGAAATGCATGTACAGAACTGTCAAAGAACAAATTTAATCAGCGAATGAATTCATTAGAAGTGAAGGACACGGTGATGTAATTCGCAGGACATTTGATACAATTGGAGATCATCATGAGTAAAAACAGACCGGACTCAGGGTGACAAACAGTGCACGTTTCCCCGTCATCTGTGGGTCTTACCTCTGTCTCCTTAGGGTAATAATTTATCAGGAGTTTCACAACCCAGCCCTGCCTAGTCTCTCGTCACCCCACAGACTCCTGTTTGCTCTCTCCGGTCTGTAAACAGGGAACACTGTGTATCTGGGTTTACACGCTGTCAGTCTTGGGGTGTATTCTTCTCTCTCTCTCTCTCTCTCTCTCTCTCTCTCTCTCTCTCTCTCTCTCTCTCTCTCTCTCTCACACACACACACACACACGACCCTCTCTCCGAGTTGTTGCCCCCTTCCCTGTCTTTGCCCCGCAGTGACTCGGCCCACAGACCTTTGCACAAATGTCTCTCCACTGGGCAGCTGAGACTAGAGCAGGCTGGGAATTGCACCCTGAAAGCCAACACACAGTACAGTCCACACCCATCACACCCGATGATGAAATGCAGTCGTGGCCATCTTCCCGAGAAGCCTGTGCGTTTTAGAGGACTGGACAAATTCTGCAGGCTTCAAGACTGTCTGCTCTTCCAGTACCGGATACCTGGTAGACACTTAATGCTTTTTATTAAACAGTACCTGGGTAGTTGTAATAATAGGCAAATGGATGAGTAAAAAGCAACCGTTTGAGGCTAGTGTGAACAAGCAGGAATAATTGTCTTGAGGTCTGAGCATAATGTATAAGAACTGGGATTCATGGGAGAATTATTTTTCCTCTCTCAGATGTCTCTTGTGGGGCTGGAGAGTTGGCCCAGGGGATAAGACCACATGCTGCTCCTGCAGAGGGAGAACTTGAGTTCGTTTTCCAGCACCCTCAGCCATCTGTAACTCCATGTTGAGGGGCCAGAAGCTCTCTTCTGGCCCTCATGAACACTCCGTTGCAAACAGTACGGAGACCTACATGCAGGCCAACACTCAGACATATGCATTCAATAAAAAAGAAAAACTTTTTAAAAGTCCTGTGTTCTTGTCTATGGACACATCTCTTCTTCTCCACAGATCATTATAGGATGGCCAGAGCATGCTCTATTCACTTTATCCATGAAGCACCTGATATTTAGACATCCTGAGGGTTTTTTTTTCATTTTCTTTTTTTATCTCAAAGCTTTAAAAATCTCTGATATTTGACAATAAGAGTAAGACAATGTTGTTTCATCTATGGAAAACTTCCTTAGACAGTAGACGTTTTTATATTTAGTTGTTATATGGATTTGGAAGAGACAAGTTTTTCCCATCTCTGCCATTTGTGTGATCATGGGGCGCCCCATGTGTCCTTTCAGCTATGAAGTGGGGGCGGGTGACTTCATAAGCTCTAAGCCGCCTTGTATGATAGCCACAAACGGCACAGGACTGCAGCCTCAAGCTAGGCTTGTAAAAGATGCTACGAGAGCAGTGGGTTATTAGGGATTGCTAGAATCTACAAAAGAATTTAGGAAAATTAGATTGAAAATGTTAGATATGTGCTGAAGATGTCAATATGAGTAGATAGCATTTTTTAAGCCAATTAGCAGGGACTGAGAGATGGCCCAGCAGTTAACATTTGCTGCTCTACCGGGGTAAGATTGCAGTTCTCTTATGGCAGCTCACAACCCTCTGCAACTCTAGTTCCAAGAGGACAGACGCCTTCTTCTGGCCTTTCCTGCACACGTGTGGAAAACATCCGTACATATAAACAAAAAGAGAAAGTTTTTTTTTTAAAAAAGGGGCCCACTGAACTCTTATTTATTTATTTTTTATTCAAGACAGGGTTTCTCTGTGCAGCTTTGGAGGCTGTCCTGGAACTCACTCTGTAGACCAGTCTGGCCTGAAACTCACAGGCATCCACCTGCCTCTGCATTCTGAGTGCTGGGATTAAAGGTGTGAGCCACCACCACGCAGCTATGAACGTGTTATATATGCCAGGGACCTCTAGAGCCAGAGATTAGCATGCACATCTCGTAGGACCCATGGGACTGCAGCTTTCACCAGAGATCTCCCCTAACGCCCCATTCGTGTCTGTTCGATGGAGAACAGAAGCAAGAAGAGCCCTGTGGATGTCAGCAGTCTGTGTGTGGCCCTTCACGACTAATTCTCAGCACAAACCCAGGCCAGCTCTCCCCCTTCAAAAGCTCTCTCCTAGAGTTCCTGCCTACTCTGCAGAGAAAACCCTTCTCTCCAGGGACACCGTGTAGTAGACGTGGCCCGGTTCGCAGGAATCTGGCCTTATTCCGAAACTGGAGAGGAAGACTTGGTGACTGGAAAGGGGCATTTGAAAGAGCTTTGACTATAGCACTCTCCTTCTCTGAGCTGAGGTGGGGTCCTCTCTGTGCCTCCTCGCTAATCCAGAGGAAGAAGAACGCATTCTCCCAGCGAGCCAGGTCTGGGCGCTTCTAAACAGAAGAGCGCACTGCTAATCCTTTCTTTCTGTAGTTCCTAAATATGTAGCAGAGAACTTTGGACAGTCAGAGTGAGGTGGAAACCAGGACAGAGTTCAAATTCTCTCTCTCTCTCTCTCTCTCTCTCTCTCTCTCTCTCTCTCTCTGTATGCTACACGTGATGCACATGTGTGTCCATGTTCCTATGAGTGCACGTGTGAATGCATATGCACATACACACATACACAGGGAAGCCAGAGGTCAGCAAAGGCCTGTCCTGGGGCTCTACTTTTTGAAACAGGGTCCCTCACCTGCCTGGAGCATAGCACTTCTGCGAGGGTGACAAGCCAGTAAGCCTCTGGGGTCCACCCAGCCCCGGGACAACAGGCATGTGCTGCCACACCCAGCTTTTGCACGTGGGTTCTGGGGATGGAACTCGAGTCCTCATGCTTACAGTGTTAGCATTTACTGGATACAGTATCTCACCAGCCTCAGCAAATAAAATTCTAACTCTCACACTATGCTGACTCTCTACAGGTACAAGGAAGAAGGAGGACTCCCATTCGTTCTCAGTTCCCATCGCCACATTGCAAAGGTTGTTGTCACCGTTCATCCAGCCATCTCTCTGCCTGGTTTTGCATGATCTTGGGGAACTCAGCCGTCAAAATTCATTCACCTGCTAATGCTCCGCTGAGAGTCTTAATCCAGGTGTGACGTCACACACCTTTAGTCCTAGCACTTGACATTCGAGTTCTAAGCCAGCCATGACTGGACAGTGATCCCCCCATCCCAGCATCCTTTAACTAGAAGCCATAAATCTACAGAAATTGGTCTCCGTATAGTCTTAGAGATATCTGCATTAGGAAAATCATTAGTTTGACTTCATTTTAAAAGCATTTTGTTTTGTTTTAACAAGTTCTGTTTTCTACCGTATTTGTATTCTCTCTATATGCATGACATTGGAGAAAGATTAATTTAATCCCTCTTAATAAAATACAATTTAAATTAAAACCTAATCCAATCTTTGCCAGGCGGTGCTGGTGGCACACACCTTTAATCTCTATAAGGTTGTGGCCAACCTGGTCTACAGAGTGAGTTCCAGCACAGCCAGGGCTGCACAGAGAAACCCTGTCTCAAAAAAATCAAAAACGACAAAAATAAAACAAAACAAAACAAGCAAGCAAACAAAAAACTGAAGCAAAACAGAAAAACCTAATCCAATCTCATCTTGAATTCTTAGAAACATTTATCGAATTTTTCATATAATCACTAATAGTATAAAGACTAATAGTATAAAGAGCTAAAGTTATGTATTGGTCCTGACCACATGCAGCTTTTCCTGTAATAAAAGAATTACTTAATTTGCATCTTATTCCAGAGGAAAATGCTCAAACAAACAAAACCTTTTAAATTTCCATTTTGTCATGACATTAATTAAAATATCTAACATAAATGTGTATATTCAACTACCACTACCATTTTCAATTCTCTCCCTCTCCACCCCATAGGTAGGTTTATGTTTTCATCGCCTGTTGAGAAAAAGTAATGCGATCTACGGGTGTCTTCAGTTCAATATGGCCCCACTCTCTGGTAGTTCATCGTCATCGGGGTCACCTGTGGGTCCCAGCATGCATTCCTCCGCACCCAGCACGGGCCAACGATAAGGGTAGTACAAACCTTTGTTGGTCACCTCCCAAGAAACTTCAAAAAGCAGTAAGTCTTCCACGGGGAGTCTTTCGGCTTCCCACACAGGGAGCCCACTCAGGGAAGCCACAGACAAGGACCGGCCTCTGAGCATTCTTCCGGTGCCTTTGGGGACCTGTTTCAGCGATCCACAGTCACAGGAGATGACCAGCAGCGCAAACCGAGAGGCGTCGGCCTTGGGCTCTGCTCTGCAGTGCGAACCAGCAAGGTGAGGGTCACATGAACTCGCGGCTGGATGAACCGTGCCCAGTTGCTGCCTCCCAGGGAGGCTCTTGAAAAGGAGATACCCGCAGCTACAATCCACACAGACACTGCCTCCCCTGCCCCCCAAAAAATTGCAAGCGAAACCTGCCTGTTCCCAGCCAGGCAGGTAGCCAGAGGACAGACTGAGAGTGACAAGAGTCCAGCCCTTTAGCCCTTGTCCTTTGGACCAAACTCCTACGCTCCCTGGATACCTGTTTCATCACTTGCAGGAACACGAGCAGGGTCTCCCTCACGGCATCTGCAGACTGCGTGGCAGTGTACGCCTTGCTTCTGTCCTCCCTCTCCTTACCTAGAACTTCCAATTTCAGCCCCGCTTATCTTATTCTAAGCGTACAAGCGGAACTGTGGTGAGAGGTTGGATATTGAGTCTCCATAATTGCTGCACCTTTTGTCTGATACACAAGCACAGGCTGAAGTGTCTTTGTGAACAAACACACAAAGAGTCTAACTTCGGCGGTTTAGTGATTGTCGGTCCCCATCTTAACCGCGGAATAGAAATGCATTTTCGTCACATTTGTAGATTTTAAATGTCAAGTACTAGAGGATTTATAGTATTTGATAATTCAGTGGACAGGAAAGTATTCAAATATGGGGAAAAGTTGCAAAATAAATTAGGCTCTGAACTTTCACCGGGATTACAACACCAGTAAATGCCATATATTGTCTCTTCCTGTGTCTGTCAGTATACAACTGTGTGTGTGCCAGTGTGTTTATTCACACGTACAGGGACCACCCACCCACCCACCCACACACACACACACACACACACACACACACACAGCAGTTACAAGTATATCAATTTTGAGTCATGTACATTACAGGGTTAACTTGCTGTCAGCATATCCACATTATTCTGCTTTTTTCTTCAGAAAATCGGTATTTGCCCCACATATTTTTTATGTTGGAATGTTAAAAATGGTCAGTCCAGTAAGACCATTCAGCAGATAGAAGAGCTGGCTGCCACTCCTGATGACCTGAATTTGATCCTAGGAGCCATGTGGGTAGAAATAGACAGCCACCTCCTGCATGTTGCCCTCTGACCTTCATACTTGTATTGTGGCACATGCACATATATATACATGCATGCACACAAATACACACGTGTACACACAAGCACACACACATGTGCACACATACACACATGCACACATGTACACATGCACCACATACACACGTGTACACACACATGCACACACATACACGCATGCACACACATATGCACACATGTATATATATGCAACACCACACACAAAGAAATATAAAATGTAAAAATAGAATTTTTAAAATTCTTACAAGATGGGCGTTGGTGGCATATACCTTTATTCCCAGCCCTCGGGAGGCAGAGGCAGGCGGATCTCTGTGAGTTCGAGGCCAGCCTGGTCTACAGAGCGAGTTCCAGGACAGCCTCCAAAACAATACAGAGAAACCTTGTATCAATAAAACAAACATAAAAAAATAAAATTCTCACAAAACAACTTAATTATTAATACAGTATAGAAAGCATTATTAGGCTTTCAATATTGTCTGGAGTTGGTCTAATTTGCTTAAACCTTTTTTAATGACTCAAAGTGGGTAAACTCATATTACATTGTGTAACATAAATAAATCTATAGAAATGAAATAGAGTGTATGTATGTCTTCCAGGATTCAGTAACATTTAAGAATCATTATCCTTACCGATTAATACACATGCAGTTACATAATTTATTATTTGCTTGTTTGGAGTCCAACAAAAGAGCTTATATGGCTAGCTTTAAAAGTCAAGTACAAGGGCTGGTGAGATGGTTGGGTGAATAAAGGGTCTTGCAGCAAAGCCTGCTCACTTGGCACACACACAAATGAATCATTTTTAAAGAAAATCAGATTCTGCAATAGAATAGACACATGACACACACTCAACATGCCCGTATCTTTGAAGAAATGACTTGTGTGTATTGACTTAACCACTGAGGGTTCTGCAAATACAAATTCCAGAAAGACTGAACAGAGGGTCATGCTGACAAGGAGTGAGAAAGGGGTGCCAGAGCTTAGGTTTGCTGTCATCTCAGCCACCCGGAGACTGTTCTCTTCTAGCACAGAACGGGTTGCAGAGAGCTAACTCACACTACTACCTGCTAAGATCAATTGCTCAGCTGTGAATCAGTCCCTGGTGGGGGTCAAGTGGAAAAAAAAACCACTTCTCAAGTCACATGAACTTCTGCTGTCATTTACTCGGTTCCTATCCAACACATACAGATCAATTCTATAGATGTCAGCATGTTCAATATGGGAATAAAGTCACAAAAGAGGTCAGAGATTGGCTGGAGAAGGGTCTCAGCTGATGTGCCATCCTGGTCACAGTGTCTATAATGGCAGTGGTCACCATGAGGGCCTGGTAGGGTGAGAGGAAGCTTTCGTTTTCAAACTTATTTTGAATATCATACTGTGGATATCTAACTACATAAAACACTTGGAGTGACAACCTTAGGCGAGTAAACACATTTGAAGGCTCATCGCATAAATAATCAGTAGGGTATAAAGTAGAATGAACAGTAAGATTGACTCACATCCGTAAACATGTGTGTGTATGCATGTATGTATATATGCATGTATGTGTGTATGTATGTATGTATGTATGTATGCATGCATGCATGTGAATGGAAGTCGAATCAACAGGCTTAGAGGTTCTATGCTAAAAACCGGACTATTTTTATCTCTGTGTGGTAGTGGTTATGTCTACCATACACGGTTTTGTGCTCAGCAAATTATACATGTATATACACCACACACAAAGTAAATAAAATAGCTTTCAAAGGTGTAATCATACATCTTATGGTTGTTTTATACATTCCCTCTCTTGTTTTTTTTCAACTTTTAAAAGATTTGCTCGTTATGATTTGTGTGTGTGTGTGTGTGTGTGTGTGTGTGTGTGTGTGTATGAGAGTGCCCACGCAGTCCACAAGAGGGCTTTCTACCCCTTAGGACTGGAGTTACAGGTCTCGGTAAGCCACCAGTGTGGGTGCAGGGACCCAAAGGAGCAGTCAGAATTCCCAGCTGCTGAGTTGTATCTCCAGCCCTATTTTGATGACTTTTTAAAAAAAAATTCCTGGTTCCCCTTTTACTTTCTCATGTCAAGTTCTAACAAGTTCAGTGGCATCTCCTAATGATGCCTCCAAGGACCTTGCAGGCACCTCTTTTGACTGTTGTTCTCAACTCGAGGAGTTTTCTGACAAAACTTTTGCTATTGTAGTGGTGAATACTGTTTTCAAAGTTGCTATTTGAGTCGAGAGACATGAAATCCATGGACCTCTATGATATGTCACTGCAGGCTATATTCTCACAAATCCATGTCACTGATATGGAGTCTCATCCACAGAATGCCAGAGATCGGGGCAAGAAAGGAAGGAAGGAAGGAAGGAAGGAAGGAAGGAAGGAAGGAAGGAAGGAAGGAAGGAAGGAAGGAAGGAAGGAGGGAAGGAGGGAGGGAGGGAGGAAGAATTTGCATCAAGCAAAGTTCTCTTCACAAACCTCTGAAGTTTATACGAAAAGTACAAAGGGATGAGCTTGCAGCTGAAGGAGCAGAACCGCCCTGACAGAGACGGAGGAAGAAGGACTCTGAGCCCCAGTTTCACAGCTGAGTTACCTAGTGCTTTTGCCACTCAGGGCAAAGAGGCAAGAGAATGAGCTGAACATGATGGAGATTGAATTTGAGTCCTGTGTTAAGTAGGCCAGCAGGGGTCACCAGATACACTTAGGAAAGCACCGTTGACTGTGACATGTTGGAACCCTCCTGTCCATCTTTAGGGCTCCCAAGGCTTGAAAAGTTCCACCCATATGTCCAGAACGATTCTGGGCGTGTTTTTGATGTTGTTGTTTGTTTGTTTTTCAAGGCAGGGTTTTTCTGTGTAGCCCTGGCTATCCTGGAACTTGCTTTGTAGAACAGGCTGACCTTAAATGCACAGATCCACCTGCCTCTGCTTCCCAAGTGCTGGAATTAAAGGTGTGAGCCACCATGCCTGGCTGATTCTGGATGTGTTTATGAAGTACCTGTTATGTGCACTATTCTAGTGGCCCATGATATTTTCTTTGTTTATTTGTTTCTTTGTTTGTTTGTTTGAGACAGGGTCCCTATACATAATCTTGGTTGTCCTAGAACTTATTACGTAGACCAGGCTGGCCTTGAACTCCAGAGATCCTCCCGCCTCGGCTGCCATGCCCAGATATTTTTCACTCTGCAGTAGTCTCTGCTTTTAATGTGAACATAGAGGCTTTAATCTTGTTAAGTATAGATAAGTCATCCTGGATGGGGTAGCACTAAGTTCCTGAAAAAAAAAAGACTATAAGTGGTAAGCTGTATCAGCAGATGGAAAGGGGGCCCTGTGGGGGCCAGGAAGTGGTGTCAGAACAGGAACCTGGTGAATACATAAAGATCTGGAAGAAGGGGTCATGAAGGCTTCCATTCCCACAGTAACAAAAAGAAAACCAGCCTGGAACTCGAGTAATAATGAAAGTCAAGGGAAGACAAGACAAGAGGAAACAAACAACAAACAGGCCACAGAAAAACTGAGAGAGTGGGCTTTATCCAGTTCGTAACAGGGTGACATTAGAAGGCTTTGACAAGAGAGTTTGCTTTGTAGAAAAGGAAACATTGAGAAGGGCATGGGAGGATGCTTGGAGCCAGAGGATACACAGCCTACATTTTCAGTGACGAATTCTAGAATGTAAAAACTTGCCTCTGCTGAGGGCAGCAGCATCATCTTCATGTTTTCAAAACTGAAATGAAAGCGAATCGTTTAGCATTTGGATGTTCAGGTTTTGATTCCCCATGTGGCATTGTTATATATTTCCATGTTGTTGTCTGTTCAATATGCACGCTTTACGGCACATCTACTGCTGTGATGACAAAATCGAGAGTGCAGTATCAGGCTCTGTGATCAGAAACCGAGTCCTTGTGGGGTTTCCAGTAAAGCAGACGCTGATGAAATAAATAGTGGCCTTGGGTTAGTTACCTCAGTAGCCACTGACATGATGGAAACAAGGGAGGAAGGGCTTATTTTAACCTGTGGTCCTAGATGTGTCAGTACATCATGACAGGAAAGGCATGGTCATGTGCCTTGATTCATAGCAAGATCAGGAACACAGAAAGGAAGATACAGGAAGGGACCTGGGCAAAGTACTGTGAGAGCTAAATTTATGTTTTAAGTTTTATTTACTGTGCTTAACAGACCTGCAAAACAAAAATGCCCCCAACCTGTAAGCCCCACTTGCCTGAGGGCAGATAACTTCCTGTAATCCTGGGGACTGCTGTTAATGGAAGATAACAAGTCACATGTTTTCACTTCTATACACAATGCTGGTTGCCCCAACTGCATAGGATGTGCCTGATCACATGTAGGTGGGAACTGCATAGGCAGGAAGTACGCCAGGATGTATACTTGTCCTGATTGGACAGTGGCAGGGAGTATATAGTCTTGTGGGTTTTGCCTTTATACACACCTGATTGACATAACTCACAGGCATTCTG